GAGACCCTGTTGTGGGGTGACTGTGTCTCTTTGGGACACGATCCAGGCCCTGTTCCTGTAACTGCCAAGGGTTTGAATTTGAATCCAGGGAACCAATCGGCGGAGAGGGAAAGGGTCAGTGAAAATGCAAAAAGAAAAGGAGTACTTGTGGCACCTTAGAGACTAACCGATTTATTTGAGCATGAGCTTTCGTGAGCCACAGCTCACTTCATCAGATGCAGATGACCTGGCTGGCAGCAGGGAGGAGCCGCTAGGCTCAGGCTACCTGCCTGCCTGTAACCAGACCCCTGGGGCTGGGTGGGACAGAGAGATGCTCCCTGCCCCCTTGCACACCAGACTGGGGACTCTCGCTGGCTCTGATGCAGTGAGGAAAGCAGTGGCCTGCCCCCACTGGGACAGCAAGGGCAGTGCTGAGCACAGTGGGAGCTGAGACCCCCGCTGAGTGGGGGGAGACACAGGCAGGGCAGGGGATCTGTGGGGAGTGGCAAGGTGCTGGGTAAGGAAAGTCTGGATGAGCCTAGGCAGCCTTGTGAGCTGATGGCTGTGTCTAGTCAGCAGGGTGGGAAGGCGAGGAGAGTGGAAGATGAGTGTCCCTGGACCTTACCTGTTAGCTGGGTGGAGAAGTGTGACAGGGAAGGAAATGTGCCTCTGTCTGTCAGGGGTATTGACTTGCCTGTGGAGGGAGCTACCCTGATCTCCAAGCAGTTGTCTGTGACCAGCCTTGTGTGCTGGGACAAGGGGAGAGAGGTCCCAAGCTGTGTGTCTGGTAAAGGAGAATGCGTCTCCCGCTCTTCTTTGTCTGTGGAGCAGACAGAAGGGGCCTTTCAGCCTGTGATGGTTGAGGGTAGTGCATTTTGTCTCAGAGTTGGTTCTGGATTCAGCTAAAGCCCAGGAAGGGAAGGGTCCTAAGTTTGTGTCTGCTCGGGAGAATGGCCCTGTAATTAGGTCGCATCCAGTTAGAGTCTATGTAGAATCCCAGAGACCAGATAATTCTGGTGCTTGTATTTTTGCCTGTTGCTAGTGTGTTGTTGGAAAGGGTGGAACAACTGTGTCTAATCAGGGTGAGATCCTAGCCAGGGCACAAGGAGAGCATGAAGGTGATGTGATTGTGTTACCTACTGAGGGTGTGGAAACCTGTAGCAAGAAGGAAAAGATTCCTGAACTTGCGTGTGGCAAAGGGAAGGAGAATGCTGCTGACCTTTTATCTAGGAAGTCTGTCAGTTTGCCTGAAAGGGGATTGTGTAGGAATCCGCCTGATGGGCCAGAGGTGATTCTGGATGTAAGGGAGACCCAGAAAGAGTCTGTTGTTGCTCAGGAAAGTGTTCCTCTAGAGCAAGCCCTAGGTAAAGAGGGTAAGAGCAGAATTTCTGGGAGGGGTGAATTGTTGCATAGAAAAGCCCTGGGGAAAGGAATCCTCATGGAGTCTTTGCAAGCAGTTTACTGCAACTGAAGGGTGTGAAAGTGATTTAATCAAGAAAGTTTCAGGTCCTAACAGCCGGAAATTTTCTGTTGTGAAAGGATCCACTGACTGTCCTGTTGAAAGACCCAGTGTGGAGAGCTTTGAGAAGGTCTCAGATGAAGTGAAATCTGTTAAGAAAATTAAACAGTCCTATAACTAAGTGGCTGTGTTTGGCCAGCTTGTTGGGGAGAAGACCCAATCCCAGTTTGACCCCCTGGGGTTTTGGGATGGCCAAAGGGCATGGGCCGCAGAAACCTTCCCACATGCGGCCTGCGAGTGCTATCGACCACCCCCGACCTAAGGGAGGGCGTGAAACTGGAAGGGCCTGGTGTTAACTCCTACCAAGGAATGGGAGAGATGCTGGGGCATCCATGGGAACGTTGGTGGCTTCGAACTTCCTCAGGTCACCGGGTAAAGTGACCCCACTCAGTTCGATCTCGAAGGGGGGAGAGATGTGACGAAGTGGGACTGTTCTTAATGTTTCCTCCGAATATTGTGGGGGTGCTCAGTTTCCCCTATGCAGTTCTTAAGTATCTAGGGGGTGGGGTAAGGGTGTAGGATCATTTCAGAGCCCTAGAGGGCAGGTGTGTGCAGGGGTCTGGACACAGAGAATGGCCGACACCCTGTTTCCTGGCAACTGATGGCCTGGGCCCTTCCCCCCCCCCCAAGGTGAAAGCTGAAGGGTTGGAGAACAAAGGAATCAGGTGACCACCTGGCCCGGGAAAGGAACAAAGCCCAGAGCAGGGGGGGCTGGAGGGAGTTTCAGTTTGGGGCTGGCTGGGACATGGAGTGAAGGGCAGACGTGGTTGTCTGGCTCACTGCCCCCCAAAATGGACCCAGCTGAGGGGTCCTGTTCTCTGCACCTACAAGCTCTGTGTTAGACCATGTTCCTGTCATCTAATAAACCTCTGTTTTACTGGCTGGCTGAGAGTCCCGTCTGACTGTGAAGTTGGGGTGCAGGACCCTCTGGCTTCCCCAGGACCCCGCCTGGGCGGACTCGCTGTGGGAAGCGCACGGAGGGGCAGAGGATGCTGAATGCTCCGAGGTCAGACCCAGGAAGGTGGAAGCTGGGTGAGCTGTGTGTCCTGCAGACAGGCTGCTCACAGAAAGGAAACTTCCCCAGAGTCCTGCCTGGCTTCATGGGGAGCAGTTCCAGAGCATCGCCCAGGGACTCCGTGACACCTCCTCACTAGGTTAGCCAGCCTGCTGGCAAAGATGCTCTTCCCTCTCTTCGTAAGATGGAGCCCGTCTCTGCCCAGCACTCCTCCTTCATGGAACACCATCCCATGGTCAAAGAATCCAAAGCCTTCTCTCCGACACCACCTGCTTAGCCATTCGTTGACTTCCACGATTCAACGGTCCCTACCCAGGCCTTTTCCTTCCACGGGGAGGATGGACGAGAACACCACTTGCGCCTCCAACTCCTTTATCCTTCTTCCCAGAGCCACGTAGTCCGCAGTGATCCGTTCAAGGTCATTCTTGGCAGTATCATTGGTGCCCACGTGGAGAAGCAGGAAGGGGTAGCGATCCGAGGGCTTGATGAGTCTCGGCAGTCTCTCCGTCACATCGCGAATCTTAGCCCCCGGCAAGCAGCAGACTTCTCGGTTTTCCCGGTCAGGGCGGCAGATAGATGACTCAGTCCCCCGGAGGAGAGAGTCCCCGACAACCACCACCCGCCTTCTCCTCTTGGGAGTGGTGGTCATGGAACCCCCAACCTCAGGACATCGCATCAGCGCAGCACCCACAGGATCCGGCTCTTCAGTCAGATATCGGCACAGCTGAGCTCATGCAGAAAGAGAAATCAGCAGAGCAGCAGCAGGTGCTGGGTGGGGCAGCTGTGGGTGTTGTGTAGGGATCTGGAGGGGAGGGGGCTGCAGAGACGGGGGGTGGGGCTCTGGGTGCAGGGAGCACAGCCTGGCTGGAGCTGACAGCCAGCTCTCAGTGCTGTGTCCTGGAAAGGTAGAGACAAGGGTGATGACTAAGAACCCCCAACGTGTCATTCACACCTGCGGAAAAGAGCCTGCGAGCCCTGCAGGCAGGGGCTAGGCCGAGGCTCACTCTGTAAACTGCCCAGCAGGCTTCAGGCGCTGGCTCAATAAGTGACAAGAGCAAGAACTGACCTAATGAGCCATAAGCCCGGCCAAGGGGTAGGGATGCAGCTGTCCCATTAGGTCAGCCACAGTGCGCGAGGAGGTCAGGGCAGTGCCCGGGGTGGTCAGGGCGGTGCGCGGGGGGGGGGAAGGGCGGGGGGGGGGAGGTCAGGGCAGTGGGCGGGGCGGTCAGGGCGGTGTGGGCGGAGGTCAGGGCGGTGCCCGGGGGGGCCAGGGGCGGTGCCCGGGGGGGACAGGGCGGTGTGGGAGGAGGTCAGGGCGGTGCCGGGGGGGAAGGGCAGGCGGGGGGGGACAGGGCAGTGTGGGGGGGGGGACAGGGCGGTGCGCGGGGGTCAGGGCGGGGCGTCAGGGCGGGCTGGGGGGAAGGGTGGGGGGGGGGTAGGGCGGGGGGGGAGGTCCCGGGGGGGACAGGGCGATGCCTGGGGGGGACAGGGCGGTGTGGGAGGAGGTCAGGGCGGTGCGTGGGGGGGACAGGGCGGTGTGGGAGGAGGTCAGGGAAGTGCGCGGGGGGGACAGGGCAGTGTGGGGGGAGGTCAGGGGGTGGGGGGTGGTCAGGGCAGTGCGGGGGAGAGACAGGGCGGTGTGGGGGGAGGTCAGGGCAGTGCGCGGGGGGAGGTCAGGGGTGGCGGGGGAGGTCAGGGAGGTGTGTGGGGGGGAAAGGGCGGTGTGGAAGGAGGTCAGGGCAGTGTGGGAGGAGGTCAGGGCGGTGCGGGGGCGGTGGGCGGTGCGGGGGCGGTCAGGGCGGTGCCCGGGGGGACAGGGCGATGCCCCGGGGAGGTCAGGGCGGTGCGGGGGCAGTCAGGGCGGTGCGGGGGGGAGGTCAGGGCGGTGCGCGGGGGGAGGTCAGGGCGATGCCCGGGGGGAGGTCAGGGCGGTGGGGGGTGGTCAGGGCGGTGGGGGGGGGGTCAGGGGGGGTGGGGGAGGTCAGGGTGGGGTGGGAGGAGGTAGGGGGGGGGGGAGTAGGGGGTGCGGGGGAGAGGGAGTGTGGGGGGAGGTAGGGAGTGGTGGGGGGAAGGGAGTGGTGGGGGAGGTAGGGTGGGGTGGGAGGAGGTAGGGAGTGCGGGGGGCAGGGCGGTGGGGGGGAGGTAGGGAGTGCGGGGGGAGGGGGTGTGGGGGGAGGTCAGGGAGTGCGGGGGGGGGGGGGGGGGGGGGAGGGGGCGGGGGGAGGAGGGGGGGTGGGGGGAGGTCAGGGCGGTGTGGGGGGGGGACAGGGCAGGGTGGGGGGAGGTCAGGGCGGTGCGTGGGGGGGACAGGGCGGTGTGGGGGGAGGTCAGGGCGGTGCGGGGCGCTGCCTGAGCACGCGGGGGCCGCCCTGCGGCAGGGAGCGGCGGGGGGGGGCGGGGGCGGGATGGCAGCACGTGGCCGGGCTCCCCCCGCTCTGCCCCAGCCCCCGCCCCCACGCAGGCCCCGCCCCCAGCGCTTCCCCCGGCCCCGCCCCCGGGCCCGCTCACAGGCTCGCCATGGCTCCGCTGCGCTTCGCCGCGAACCTGAACTGGCTCTTCACCGAGCGGCCGGCGCTGCCCGATCGGCTGGAGGCGGCGGCCCGGGCCGGGTTCCGCGCGGCCGAGCTGCCCGAGCCCTACGCCTGGGACCCGGCGCTGCTGCGCGGGGCTGCGGACCGGGCCGGGCTGGCTCTGGTGCTGATCAACACCCCGCCAGGTACCGACCCGGCTCCGGACCCGAACCCGGACCCCCCGCCCGACCCCGACCCGGACCCGGCTCCGGACCCGAACCCGGACCCGGACCCCCCGCCCGACCCCGAAAAACCGACCACCCCACCACCACAACCCACCCACGTTCCCACCAACCCCCGACCCACCCGACCGACGCACAAACCGACCCACCCGCCGACCCGACCGAACCCCCGCCCGACCCCGACCGTACAACCCCCCCGACCGAGCCGACCCCCACCCCCGACCCCGACCCGGCTCCGGGTCCGACCCCCGATCCTCCCCCGCCCGACCCCGACCCGGTTCCCGACCCGAACCCCCCCCTGCCCGACCCAGGTGCGGACCCGAACCCCGAAAAACCCCCCACCCACCCCCGGCCCGAACTCCGGCCCCGGCTCCGGGCACGAACCCCGACCCGACCCCGGCTCCGGGCACGAGCCCCGACCCGGCTCCGGACCCCGGCCCGACCCAGCTCCGGGCCTGACCCCCGAACCCGCCCCCCCTGCCTGGCTCCGGGCCCGAATCCCACTGCGCGATCCGGGTCCGGACCCGAACCCCCCGCCTCTCCCCCTAGCAAGCTACCGACCCGGGTCCGGACCCGAACCCCCCCCCCTTGGCCGCCCGACCCCGACCTGGCTCCGGGCCCGAACCCCCCGCCCAACCCCAACCCGACCCCCGAACCCTCCCCGCCCAACCCAGGTGCGGACCCGAACCCTGAAAAACCCCCCACCCAACCCCGACCCGGCTCCAGGCCCCGACCCTGACCCGGCTCCGGGCCCGACCCCCGAACCCCCCCGCCCGACCCTGACCCGGCTCTGGGCCCGACCCCCAAACCCCCCCCCTCGCGACTCCGACCCGGGTCCGGACCCCAGCAAGCTACCAACCCGGGTCTGGACCTGCACCTCAAACCCCCCCCCGCCTCCAGACACCGACCCGGGTCCGGACCCACACCCCGAAACCCCCCCCGCCAGACACCAGCCCAGGTCCGGACCCGAACCCCCCTCCGCCGCCAGACACCGACCCGGGTCTGGACCAGAACCCCGAACTCCGGACCCGAACCCCCCAGCCCCCCAGGAAGGTACCGACCCGGGTCTGGGCCCCCAGGCAGCAAACTGGACCTGGGTCCCCGCGCAGTCAGCTACTGCCTAACACCAGCTCTGTCTAGGAGCCAACTTCCCGGGCCTGTCCCTGAGCCCAGCCCCCAGATGAAGTCATGGGGCCTGGGGGGCTGCAGCCCCCAGTGTATGGGCAGATGGGGGCACTGACTGCCCAGGTGCGGGGCCCTGGAGCGAGCCCCTCCCACGTGGCTGCAGGGGTCCCCATCTCAGGGCTTGGTCTCTCCTGCCTCTAACCCGGGGCTGTCCTGGCTGCTTTCTCCCTAGGGGACCAGGACAAGGGCGAGAAGGGGCTTGGTGCAGTGCCCGGCCGCCAGGCTGCCTTCCGGGAAGGCCTGGCCCTGGCCGTGAAGTACGCAAAGGCCCTGGGTTGCCTCAGGTAGGGAACCAGCCCAGCCCTCCCGCCGGAGCCAGGGGGAAGGAGCCGGGCCTTGGTGACAGACAGGGAGGCTGAGATCACAGGTGTCATTTTACTCGTGGTGGGAGCTGGCATTCTCCAGCCAGGGGCACTGTAGGCCAGCAGAGAGAGGCAGGCTGCCACGGCCAGGCACGCTGGGGCCCCACACCCCTGGTCCTGCGCCTCGGTCCCTACCCACCACACCCAGCCTGGGCTCTTCCCATGCCCACAGCTCAGCCGAGGCTCCACTCCCACCCCCTGGCCATTGCCCCAGGGGCTGTTGGCATAGGGGAGAGGCTGCTAGCAGCCATGGGCTGGGCGGCGTAGACCAGTTAGTGCCAAGCATGGTCAGTTACAGCCAAGTCCCTGGATGGGGGCAGGCAGCTCCCAACCCAGCTCCCTGGGGCGGCGTTACACCTGGCAGAGCACCGGGGATCACCTGGTGCACGGGTCACAAGCACCCAGAGTGGGTTTTAATACGGCTCAGTGTAACGGTACTCTTAGGAGCCAAAACCCTTGCCATACCTACAGGATGGGGGGCACTGCTCAGGGAAACAGCGACTCAAACAGATTTGGGGGCTGTGGTGGGTATTCAGCTGAACATGAGCTCCCAGCGGGATGCTGTGGCCAAAAGAGCTGGTGGGATCCTGGGATGTGTAAATGGGAACCTTACCTAGGAGTCGAGAGGTTATTTTACCTCTGGGTTTGGTACTGGTGCGACGGCTGCTGGGATCCCGTGTCCAGGGCTGGTGCCCACGATTCAAGCAGGATTTGATGAATCGGGGAGGGTTGAGAGAAGAGACCTGATGAAAGGATTAGAAACCAGGCTCTCTCATGAGCAGGTCCAGCCGTTCAGTCTGGTTAACCAAGAGAAGATTTGGGGTAACTTGATTACAGAACCTACCACAGGAAATTGATAATAGACTTTATCAGAGAAAGGGGGAGCTGAAGCTAGACACACACAGGTAATTTTTGAGTAATTAACCAGTTAACCAAGGGAGCAATCTACCGAGGTTCATGGCGGATTCTCACTTTGTAACGCTGGGCTGGATGGTTTCTAAGAGCTCTGCCCGAGGAGCTACTGGGGGCAGGTCTCTGGCCTGTGCTGTGCAGGGGTCAGACGATCGCAACGGGCCCTGTTTGTTGCTGTATGAGAATACAGCACCGTGGGAGAGCACCACACCACAGCTCTCTCCCCCGGAGTTTGGCTGCCTCCTCCAGCACCTGGTTCTCGGGGCTGGGCTGGGCGGGCCAAGGCAGGGGGGGCTGTCCAGGGGAAATCCCTGGGTTGGGGTCCTTGGTTGCTCTACATTGCAGAACACTGTGCTGGGGTTCAGTGCTGGCCTCCATTGCACAAGTCTGTTCCAGCAGCTTGTAGGAAGGACATTTCTGGAGCATCTGTTCTCGGCCCTGCGTGATTGTAGCTCCTTTGTGGGTGTGGCAGCCCTGGGCCGTGTCCTTCCCCAGCATTTGCTCTGCCCGCCACTTGTAGATCCTGGCATTCCTGGGACTCTTGCTCACAGCGGCCTGATTGCTCACAGCGGTCTGACTGCTCCTCTTCCACGAGGGCCCCTTGGTGAGTCACACACCCACAGCCATGTACCCAGTGATGAGCTGCCAAAATCTTAACAACTGGGTCCCTCCTCACCCCACGAGGGGGTCGTGGCCCGTCCCCGCCCCCCGGGGACTCCTGCCCCATTGAACCCCCTGCGTTCCTTGACGACCCCCCCCAGGACCCCTGCCCTATCTACCCCCTCCCCTGTCCCCTGACTGCCCCCAGAACCGGGCAGGAGGGTCTCGTGGGCCACCCTATTGGGTGCCCACCCTGCCCCTAAGAGCCAGAGGGATCTGCCGGGGGGGCGAGGTGGGGAGTCCCAGCAGGGCTTACCTGGGGCAGCTCCCAGGAAGCATCCGGCAGGTCCCTCTGGCTCCTAGGGGCGGGGGAGCGTAGCTGGGGGGGGGAGCAGGGGGAGCAGCTGCTCCCCCCACTGATCACATCAAAAGTGGCGCCTTAGACGCTGACTCCCTGGGTGCTCCGGGGCTGGAGCCCCCACGGGGAAAATTTGGTGGGTGCAGAGCCCCCACCGGCAGCTCCCCACCCGGCCCCAGCTCACCTCCGCTCCGCCTCCTCCCCTGAACGCGCTGCCCCGCTCTGCTTCTCCTCCCCCCCCCCCCCCCCCGCTTCCCAGGAATCAGCTGTTCAGGCGGGAAGCCGGGGGGGGGGGCTGAGAAGCAGGCGGCGGCTTTGTGCTCAGGCCCAGGGAGGCGGAGGGGAGCTGGGGTGGGGAGCAGTTCCCCTGCGCCCCCCCTGGGTTACCTGCTGCGGTGCGGGCAGCCCTCCTCGTGCACCCCCGCCCCAGCTCCCCTCTGCTCTGCCTCCACCTCCCTGGGCCTGAGCGTGAAGCCGCCCCCTGCTTTAACAGCTGGCTCCAGCTCACCACTGCATGTAGCCCCGGCATCAGGCGGGTCTGGGCTAGGGGTACATGGCTGCGGGTGTGTGAATCACCAAGGGGCACACCTGGCTGCACACCAGCGTTGAAATTGGGAAATGATTCTGGCCAAGGTGAGCTTGGGGCAGGGAGGGGTGCCCAGATAAACAGAGAGGCCCAAGCAGGTGTGCGATGTGGGATAGCAGTGGGAGGACTGCCAGAAGTGCAATAGTTCATTCAAAACAGGGGTGCATTCCTATGACCCTTATTCAGTGGGACGCCCCCCTGCCCCTGGAGGCAGCCTCTGCTTGGGAGGCTCCAGGGGCTGGGAGTGCGGGCCTGTGGAGGGCACGCTGAGACTCCTCCCAAGGGGTGAGTGCTGCCCGTGGGCCCCATGCCAGAGGTGGCAGGGGAATCAAAGCCCACCTCCTCCCGCCCAGCCTGAGGCAATGCTGCTGAGCCCCCCTGGATCCCTCCTCAAATCACAGCTAGTGCTGCCCCTCAGAGGGCACCCCAGCTCCCTCCTTGCGCCGTGGCCTGGGCCGGCGCCCCAGCTGCTGCCGGAGGGCGCGTGCCCTAGAGCTGTTCCCTTCACCCCTCGTGCACTGGGCACCTGGAGCTGTTTGCTTCATCCTCTGTCTCTGCACCCATCCCACTCGCAGTCAGGCTTGTGCTAGGCCCTGTGGGTGGCTCAGCTCCTGCCTGCAGGCTCTGACCCAGGTCTGTCTGCAGGATCCATCTCATGGCTGGGCGGGTCCCTGCGGGCACCGAGCGGACAGCGATGGCTCCGGAAATGGAAGCCACCTTCATCGAGAACCTCAGATATGCTGCTGATATCCTGGCCCAGGTACGAGGGGACACCAGGAGTCACTGTGCCCCCCGTGGGACTTTCCTGCACCCGGGAGAGGGATAGGCAGAGGAGACTCCCCCAGTGGGGCTGCACCCCTGGGGGCATGGGGCCACACAGTCCCTGAGATGACTATGCCTCTGCACTGAGGGACAGCCCCTGCGTGAGACACTAATACCAGCTGGAGGAGAAGGGGTGGGTCACAGTTCCTGCCTGGCCAGAGGCTCATTCTGGCTGGGGAGGGAGGTGAGGGTGCAGGGAGCTATGGCCGCCCTACCCCATTGAGGGGACAAACGCCCAGGGCCTCAATGTGGTTTTGCAGGAGGACATGACAGGCCTGGTGGAGCCTATGAACAGCCGCATCACTGACCCACGCTACTTCCTGACCACCCCTCACCAAGGTAAGGGGGCCCTGCCATGCTCCGACTGCCCCGGCCCGAGCTGAGGGGAGCTGGGTGCTCACCCTGGGGGGCCCCTGCTTTGACTGACTTGCCTCTTCCCCCCACAGCTGCAGCCATTCTGGAGAAGGTGGGGAGGCCCAACCTCTGGCTGCAGCTGGTGAGTTTCTGTAGTGCCCAGACCCGTTTCCTTTACAGTTAAGTAAGTTCCCAGCCCCTGGTGCCAGGAGAAGGAGGCAGGTGCCAGCCCCTGGGTGCAGCAGGTGGGTAAACCCGCCCCAGTGGTTGTGCAGAGGCGCCTGCTTGCATGGGCAGCACTGGATAAGTGATGGTGCCATCCCCCAGGTGGGGCTGAGCTACCCTGGCCATGCCCCCACCATTCCCCAGCCTGCCGGAGGCAGCGTGGGCCCTGGGGAGCGTTGCGCTGTGCGCAGCGAGGGGCGGGGAGAGGGTCTCAGACATCCCAGGCACTAGGTCTCCGCTGCCAGCCCGCTGCAGGACAGGAGTTGCACTCATTCCCTGCACCTCCCAGACCCTGAATTGCAGCTCTGATTCCTGCAGGACATTTTCCACTGCCAGATCATGGATGGGAACCTGACACAGACCCTGAAGACTTACTTCCCGCTCATTGGTGAGGGTTGTGGCTCTGCTCCAAGCGTGGTGGGGAAGGCACTGGGCCTAGGCTACGGGGTGGGAGGTTTGAGTCAAGGCAGAGCCCTCCAGGGGCAAGGCTAGCAGGGGTGGTGTGTGCCTGTCCCCGGGAGGGAAGGGCTGCTCGTAGCATGGGTGTGGTGGGAGGACTCGTGGGTTAGGGGCTGTGCCCCCGTGGATCAGAGCCCGGGGCCATGCTCACTACAGCAATGCCCCGGACACCCTGAGGAGATGCTGGTTCCACCCCCAGGTCACATCCAGATCGGGCAGGTGCCTGGTCGGCATGAGCCTGACAGCCCAGGCGAGGTGAACTTCCCCTACCTCTTCCAGCTGCTGGAGTCGCTCGGCTACGAGGGCTACGTGGGCTGCGAGTACACCCCGCAAGGTGAGCGGGGCTGGAGCGCAGGGACCCCACCAGCATTTGGGGTAGGGGGGGCTGGCTCACTGTAGGGTGGAGCCAGGGCTTGGGAGCTGAGAGGTGTGCCTCTGCCTGGTCCCTGCCCCTGCTGGGAACAGGGCCAGGGGGCACATGCAATGCCAGGCTGGGAGGGGGGTGCCCACTGTGGCTCAGACAGCAGGTGCTGGACTGGAGCAGGGCTCCCGGGGGAGGAACACGTGTTCGGAGAGGGAGTGTTGCAGAACTCACCTGGTGGGAGCTGGCCTGTAGCTGCTGCTCGCTCACACAGGGTCAGGGGTACCTGGCCTGCTCCAAGGCAGGGGAAGCTGCTCATGGCCTGCTCTCACAGTCCCCGGCTCTTGTTGCAGGAGACACGCTGGAAGGACTGGGCTGGTTGCACGCGTACTGGGAGAGCCGAGGCCGGCAGCAGCGCCGGTGGTAGCCCTACGCAGGAATATTTTTAACCCTCCCACTCACTCAAACAGGCGAGTTCTTGAATAAAAAGTGAACAGGGGCCCTCCAGCCACGCAGGGCCCCAAGCAATTGCTTAGTTTGCTTCTGCCAGCGCCGGCTGTGCCCACCAACCGGGGGGAGCTGCGAGGTGGAGGCCGTAGCAGCGGGGATCAAGAGCCATCAGTGGCTGAGACGCTGAGGGAGCAGCTCTCCTGTGTGCTGGCTCCTGTCAGTTCGTGGAGGGTTCACGCCCATGTGCCCCTCCCGTCACACTGCCCCACTGCTTACGCAGGAGGCTGCCTTGATTCTCCCGTGCGCCGGCCCCAGCAGCACACGCATCTGCTCCCTGAGGCCTGCTGGGACAGGAGAGCAGGGCTGCCTGCAGCGGGAGGAGTGCCATGCCCCACACAGAGCAGGGGTAAGTGGCTGCAGGGGGGGCAGCCATGGGGCAGGTCTGGTTCCAGGGCTCTGCTCTTTCTTGGAGAGGCCCCAAAACTGCCTCCTTGCAGCTCTGGGTAAGGGTAGTCACTTGGCAGAGCCTGCCCCAGCCAGGCTGGGAGCGTCTTATCTCCACCTGGTAACGCTCTGGGCCCTTGGTCCCTGCTGGGGGTGGGGGGCGATGGCAAAGAGCAGGTAACCGTCCCCCGCCAGCCCTGCAGCTGGCTCGAGGTAGTCTCTGGCTTGCAGAGGGGGGAGCAGCACTGAGCCCAGGCCCCTGTCCCTCCACAGCTTGGCGAAGTCTGTCACTCCTGCCCCAGTCGACCCAGCAAGAGGGCAGGGCTGCAGGCCCATTGCCACGCTGAGCTACTCCCTGAGACAAGCTGCCAGCCCTTCTGGGTGTGGCTACAGCCCTTTAAAGGCACCAGGAATAAGCAGGCCAGCCCTTGGGCAGGGGCCTCCCAGCAGCAGCACTGTTAACTTTCCCTGCTGAGCACCGGGGTTCAGAGAAGGGGCAGGGAGCGGGTGCTCCCTGGATGGCACCCAGGAGACCCTCCCCCCCGTCAGACCAATGGGCTCGAAAGCTGGTGGGGCAAAGGGAAGCTAACCCTGCAGAATGCCCAGAGCCAAGCGGATGGAAGGACAGTGTGGTGACTGTCAAGGGTCCCCCAGAGTCCTTCACAATGTGCTCTGCCCTCCCCATTGCCCTGCTCAGCCGGTGAGCTGCCCCCACGCAGCCCCACCACCACAGGGCTCCCAGTGCTTCATCCTGCCATTCCCAACAGCTCCCTGCACTCATCAGCCAGGCTGCGGGGCCAGGTCGAGGAAGTTGCCCTGGCAGGCCTTCTGCCTCCCCACTGTGCTCGGGGGGAGAGGGTAGGGGGCCCTGTGGGCACTGCCCAGCTCCTTGGGAAGGCCATGGGCAAGGCTCGGAGCACCCTGCCCCGTGCAGCGCCAAGCTGAGAGCCAGACAACAGCAGGCCGGTCTGAGGCAGTTTATTTGACAGTGACATCCTTCAGTACATCCTCATAAAACCCCCTGCCGCCCCGCGGCTGGCCCACCACTGAAATCCCACCCATCGAAGTGACAGGCCGCAACAGCCACACTCAGTGCCCTCAGGACTGGGCCTGGCTCCGGCCCAGCATGCCAGGCAGCTCCGTTGCCAGGCCCAGCGGGCTGTGCATACGTGGGTGCCAGGTTTCTGGGCCCAGAGATGGCAGCTGTTTCGCTATGGCATGTGCGCCAAGCTCCTGCTGCTGGGGCCTCCCTGGGTCTCCATTTCAAATCCATTCAGTGTCAAACACACGTGAGTGTCCTTAACAGCAGCTCCTCTACCTGAGAGGGGGGGACCCCTCCTGCCCTGCCCCTTCTGGGGAGTCTGAGCTAGCTGGAGGTCCAGGAGAGCCGCCAAGCCCCATGCACCCTCCACTCTGTCCATTACTCATGCATCACGTGACCCCCATGCTGCCAGCAGCGCCAGGGGAATCCTGCTGGAGGTCAGCTCCTTGGTGCAGACTGGGGTGCGCGGTGTGTCGGGCTGGAAGGTGCTGGCACCTGGCTAGAGCAGCCCCGTCCAGAGGTTGAAGCAGGCCGTGTTGATGACGGATTCCAGGTGATGGTAGGTGGACACTAGCTGTGGCAGGGGGCTCTCGCTGTTCTGGGGCTGCACAGGGAAAGGCTCCCGGAAAACCACTGTCAGGCTCTGCAGAGAAAAACAAGCTGCTCACAGCAGAGCAACTGCCCCCCAGCCCCTTCCCAGCTTGGGGCCAGCTCAGTGCCTGTATCTGCTCTTGGCAAGGATCCCTGCACCTGCCAGCACAGGGTCCCAGAGGGGGACATACAGCTTGGGGGGGGGGGGGGGAGGAGACAGGCTCCCAGAGGGACAGATACAGCGGGGGGGGGGGGAGCACTGGACAACACAGGCTCCTGGATGGGATGAGACCCCCAGTTGGGGGGCAGGGCACCAGCAGGCCCTTGGGTACCTGGGCTCCAGGCTGCTGCCTCATTGAAATGCTGCAAGTCAGGGCTCCTGGACTTTCCGTAGCGTGAATCGTTTGTTAGATATGGCCCCTGCTGCCCCCAAATCGCCCCTGCCTGGCCCCCCATTTGGGAGCTGACACCTCTCCGGGGAGAGCACAGCAGGAAAGGGATGGTGGAGCTCTAGCTCCGAGTTCTGGGCAGAGGCCAGCCTGATGGTGAACGCTGAATCCCCGCCGGGCTCTGCCTGGGCACTAGAAGCCCACTCCCTCCTGCTGCCCCCGGCCAGGCACACCTGAGGAGCCAGGTACCTGCCCAGGCCCCCGCAGGGAGCAGCTCTTACCGTCTTCCCTGAGTGGGAATCCAGAAACACGAGAACAAAACAGTCTGTGAACTTCTGATTGAGCACGACCTGCAGAGAGCACGACAGGCTGTCAGGGCGTGCAGTGACAACGGCTAGGGGGGATCCCTGATGTGCTGGGGGTCACAGTGCCAGAACCATAGGGGGCAGGCTCCCCAGCATCCCACGGGGCACAGCGCCAGAACTGTGGGGCATGCTGTGGGGCACAGTGAGAGCGCCGTGGGTCAGTGCGCAGTGCATTCGAGGCAATGCTCCTACTGCTGTGCCCTTGTGACATCACACCTCCGGGCAGCCCCACTAAAGCCAACACAGAGGCGTCACATCCAGCCCTGGCGCAGGCAGGAGCCTGGGGGCGCGTCTGGGAAAGAAGAGAGTCCTGGGGCAGGGGAGCTGTCTCTGGCTGCAGGGCAGGAGGTGGGTCTGGCCATAGGCGCGGGGGCAGCATGTCCAGGGGCAGCGGCCGGCTGCAGGGGCTGGGGCGTGGGCGGGGCAGGGGCCCTAGTCCTTACTAGATACTGGGTGCCAGTTTCGACGTTGTGGAAGTGGCAGCAGCTCTGGGGGAAGCGGCTCAGCAGCACTTTGATGAGGCTCTGGTACCAGGGCACAGTCATGGTGAGGAAGCAGCCCTGCAAGGATGGAGAGAGGGTGAGGCCAGGTCCCCTGTACAGCAGCGAGAGACCACCGTGCCAGAAGAACACAACCCAGAAGCTCCGAAACTCATGAGATGTACGCTCAAACCCAGTTCCCTGCCAGCCTACTGGACCAAGCCCCGCAGCTACATCCCCAGCAGTGCCCAGCCCTACCCCTCACCAGCGTGGGGGACAATGGTCCCAATGATTCCCACACGCCATGCGTGTCTCCACTCCCACCCTCACCAGCTGGGACTGTGCCTGCCCCCACAGATGGGGATGATGGGTCCTGGGGGTGTGTATACACACATGCGTATCTCCCGCCCCTCTCCAGCCAGGGATGATGGGTCCTCGGGGGGGAGGGGGAAGGAAAGGGGAGACACGACGTGTACACATGCGCGCGCGCCCCCTGCCCCTCACCAGCTGGGGGTCGATGTCGGCGATGGATTTCCCATGCACTGCGTTCAGCAGCTCCTCCAGCTCCCCCAGCGACAGCTTGCCCAGCTTGAGCTTGTCCGAGGCCAGCGGCTCCAGCAGGAAGAGGCGCTTCCAGAGGGTGTCCCTGCGGCAGTGGCATTTGGCCAGCTGCACCATGCTGCTCAGCTGTTTCTGGGCCACGGCCACCTCGGAGGCCAGCAGGGGGAAGAGCGGCGAGGTGTAGAACAGTCCAGGGCCCAGCTTGACCTGGGCACCACCCGCGTAGAATTCGCTGCTGTCCTCTACCTCCTGCCACAGGTCCCGCTCTGCCTGCTGCTGGCAGCCCTGACCGGGCTCCGGCGCCTCCCACGCCGCCCGGCCCACCACTGGCTCCAGCGTGCTCTCCCGCTGCAAGCGCGGCTGCTTCTTGAAGCGCCGCATGTCGGCTGTCAGCCGGGGGAACAGCTCCCGTTGGCTCGTCATGATGACGTAGAAACGCAGCCTGCAGACGAGACGCCTGTGAGGAGGGGGCACCCCTGCCAGCCAGGCTATGTGCCCCCAGGGCCTCCTGAAACGCTCCTTCCCCATGTGGACGTGCCAGCCAGTGCCCACCCAACCCAGGCCCTCCCTCCCCCGCCAGCCAATGCTCACTACCTTGGGACTGCACTGGTACCACACCCCCAGGGCCACCCTGTTTGTGCCCCCAGGAACCTAGCCCAGCAAGCAGCCCTGGCCTGCACACCACCCCGCATCCAGTCCCCAGGCACGTCCCCGCCCAAGCCCAGTCAAGTCCCCCTGGGCCTCCCCACCCAGCCCTGACTGAGGACCCTGGTTCTCACCGGAGGACGTGCCTCTCCGCCTCGCTCTGCTCCTCGAACGGCGCCGCGCTGTGACACACCAGCAGGGACACGTCGAAGTCGTCATGGTGCCGCAGCCCCTCCGAGTCCTTGTAGGAGCCTGAGCTACAAGCACAAGCAGAGCGTTGGGGGCCCAGGCGGTGCCACCCCCCACCACAGCTCGAATCACCGGGGGCAGCAGGGCCTCGCAGATGGTGTCCAGGGAGGGGCAAGGAGAACCAGCGGCAGCACCCACCCACCATCCAGAGCCCAAGGCCAGCAGCTGGCGTGACAGCGTCTCCCAGCCCATCCTGCTTGGCTGTGACCAGGCAATGCCCTAAGCGGGGCAGGCTCTTGGGGTTCCCGGAGCCATTGGGGCATTGCCAGGTGCTTACCTGTTCCAGATGGAGACCAGCGCATATTCGTTCTGCTCCATGCCCGGGGTCCCCTTCCTGCCGTCGCTGCCCGCAGCCAGCCGGGCCATGCGCAGGGGCTTCATGTGGTAGGTGTTGGCATGGTCTGCCACGTAGTTGTAGAGCTGGTGGGCTGTTATCATGTTGGTGGGCATGGCCAGCGTGCCTAGCAGAGGAGGAGTCACTGTTTGCCAGGGTGTCCCCTTGTCTTCAGGGGCTGGTCGGGGCCCCCAGAGCCAGACACTAGGACAGCAAGATTCTGCTTCCCAGCCCCCAGAGCGCACTCACGAGGCAATGACGCCTGCCCCGAAGTCCCCGGGCAGGGCCCTCAGCACAGCCCCAGCTGAACGCAGCCTGGCTAGTCCCAGACAACCCATGCCCTGGAACCGTGCAGGCCAGGGGGGTGGCACAGCGTGCCGCAAGCGGAGCTATGGAGCAGCTCCACCTAGGTTGGCCGAGGAACGGACGGGGCTGGATGACACTGAATTTGGGAAAGGTGTCTCCAGCTGGTGCGTGGCCCCAGCCCTGGGGGAAGGCCCTGGGCCCGGCACTCCTGGATGCGGAAGTGGATTCAGCCAGGAGCATAAGGGCCATGGGCAGCGCCCCTCCCCAGCTCACCTTGGAAGACATGATTGCGGCCGAATTTGGGGATGTCGGGGTGGTGGGCAATGAAGTCCTCCAGGAAGCCGGTGAGATGGTAGCCCTGGCGCAGGGTCATGTGGGAGCCCAGCAGGTACTGGTGCACGATGCGCAGGTGGAAATCATAGCTGAACGAGTGCACGTGCATGAGGTCCCGCACCTTGTCACACTCCTCCGTGAAGAGCATGGAGAGCTGGGGAGGGGCACAGGGTCAGGGCACAGGGCAGGGGAGCCCCAGATGCCTGGAGCCCGGCTGGTAGCAGAGTGAGAGACACCAGCAGCCTCCTGGCAAAGGCACAGGGCCTGGCAGTGCGGGGAGCTGCCCATTCACCCCTCTCTGCCCAGGCTGTGCCCAGCCCGAGGCAGCTGTCGCTTCAATTCCAAGCCCTGGTGCAGAGTCGCTGCGGACACCTGGCTGCTAGGAACCAGACAGACCCACAGCTGGCTTTGAGTGGCAGGGCCCCAACCCGACAGCCTGCAGCAGTTCTGCTCTCCCACCTTTAGCCTAGCTCTTCGCCATGCTGCACTGACTTCCAGCCAGCCAAGACCCCACCGGCTGGCATTAGGCAGTCAGGCCACGGGCAGGCAGCACAGCGCTCGGCAAGGACTGCAGAAGGCTGAGGGCAGAGACTTGGGCTGCCCCCAGAGCAGGGAGCTAGGGCCTGCTTCAGTCTCCACACTTCCTGCCCAGCCACCCTCTCTGCCCTTCCCCACACGCCCCCAGATGCGACACGCCCTGCTGAGCTCAGCCACTGGCAGCCCCAGCAGGACGCAGCACAGCTGCTGGGATCCCGCCGCGGATGGCTCACCTGGGCCAGCTCTGACCACAGACACCCCACCCTAACAGAGCACAGCTGACACACAAGGCCAGTTCCCAGAAGGCCTGAGGAGGGGAGGCAGAGGTGGCTTTCCCCATCCAGATCCTGGGGCAGCCAGAGGCCAACTGGGCCGGAGCACAAGCTAGAGCAGCCTCAGGGGCACCCTGATGTGTGCCGCAGTACCTGCCCCGGTCCAGGATCACCAGAGCACAGTGTGCTCCGGTCACACCACCCACGAGGTACTGGCATTACTGGGCTGGCTCCAGCACCTTCATTCCTCACAGGGATGCCCTCTGGGTTGCACCAAGGGGACAGAGCTGGCCCTGAGCGTTCGAGAAATGGGGGTGAACAAGCAGCCAAGGGGACTGGGCAGCACTACTCACTGCACCCAAACGCAGCACCCTCACCCCATGCCAGCATCAGAGAGGACACCAAGCGGATCTAAGAAGTGAGCCCAGCAAGAGGCGCCTTTGCCCCAGCCTGGGAGAGAGAAGCAAGACGAGCGAGGCTGTTTTCAAGCCCCCTCCTGAGGGCCCAGCTGCCTGCTGGGATGTCTCCCTCACGGGAACCACCTAGCAAGAGGCCCAGCATCAGCCAGCACCCAGGGCAGGAAGGGGCTGTGGGTACAGAGCACCCAGCATGCCTGGCAGGGCGAGGCCCAGCCCTGCACAGGGAGATGCTGCAGTGCCACGGCAGGAGTGGAAGGAGAGGACGTACCGCAGACTCAGAGATGGAGCTGGGTCCCATGCAGCTCTTGCTACGAGCTCTGGCCGTGAGAGCACCCTGATGGAGAGAGGAGACGCGCAGCCAGTGGGAACGGGGACACTGCCTTGCACTGCCCAGGCCTGCCCCTGTGCCCTGCCCGCCCTCCACGGGCCGCAGGGAGGAGACAGCACTCCAGCCCTGTGGAAGAGGGGCTGGCACTGCAGTCCCAGCCCCCGGGGGAGGAAAGGCCCTGCCCCTGCAATGAGCCCCATGCTAACCAGCCCTGCCCAGCGCTGCAGAGGGAGGCCAAGCACCAGCGAAGAACTGGGCAGTATCTCCCCATCAGATGCCCCAGCAGAGGTGGGACACCTGCCACCCACTGCAGAACCCTGGGTGACCTACCAGCGCCTAGAGGGATCTATGGCGACAGGAGCTCAGCTCACCACATGAAGGCTCCCCGGAAAGCAGGCTCCATGTGCCCTCAGCAGCTGCTTCAAGGGCCTGGCAGACTTCAGCCCAGGGGAACAGCCCCACTAGCCAGCCAGGGCGATCAGCTCCTGGTAGGACCGGGTGCTCTGCTCCTCGCCCTGCTGGAACTTCTAGGGCGCTCGCTCCCTGGGGAAGGAGGATGTGTGCCCCATTCCCAGAGGCCTCCTGCACTCAGCCCAGACTGCTAGGGCAGCAGGCAATGGATGGCTGGCCCCTCTGGCAGCAGCCCGCTCCTTATAAGAGACCAGGAAAGCTGGCACGCTCCACATTCTACCACTGCTCCACTGGGGCTCCACGGGGAGCAGGGCAGACCCAAGGCACTGCAGTGGGCATAGCAATGCATGGTCCTGGAGGGGCCTCTCCCAGCCCAGGGTGGTCCATGTGCGTTCTTGGACCTGCTTCCCCCTTGTTCAAGTGAAGCAGAAGAGTTATTGCTTTTACTGTAGGAAGTCAGCCCCAGAGCAGCCGCCCCATGCCAGGGGCCTAGGGAAAGGTGGATGTGTTACCCGGAGCCCTTGCAGTCCTGCCCTCCTGTCCCGGCAGGTAGCAAGCTGGAGATTCCAGCCCTGCCTGCCCAGGCCCAGAGCATCCAGGACAGAGCAAGCACCTGCAGGCCAGCTGTTACCTGCGAGTTGACGGACTGGCCCATGGGGATCCGCGAGCACTCCAGCGCATACTGCTTCACGCAGAAGTAACAACCCTGAGGAGAGAGCGCACTAAGCACATGGCCCTGCTGCCAACAGCCTCCCACAGGGCCAGCAAGATCCTGTGCACATAGCCAGACCACACCCCAATCGTTCCTCAGCTCCCCTGGGCCAGGCATCAGATCTCCCGGCCTGGGCCCTCCCCCATCTCTGGCCTCACCACTCTAGTCCCAACGAGCCACGAAAACACTTTCCCTGGGGCATGGCTGAGCACCCTCACGGCCCGGGCTCTACCCTCTCGCTGCCTCTTGGGCATTCCAGGCCCTTCCTGGGCTGATCTGTGAGGAAGTGCGCTGGGCAGGGCCAGACGAGGGACAGCTCTGTCTAGACAGCGTCTCCACTCCCACCTGCCATGTGGGGCTCGTCTCCTTCAGCAGCTAGTTCTTCAGGGCAGGGACAGTGCCCAGCACGGTGTGAGCATGGCTGGCAGAAGCTCCATGAGGGCCCTAAGTGAGCTGGGCACAGAGAGCCCGGCTAGGGACGACAGACCTCTCTCTGCCCGCTCACCTGGAAGCCCAGCTCCATGAGTACGATGCCGCCCGGGAGGGCTCTCTGCAGGTGGTAGGTGGTGACTGGGGGGCTTGTGCTCTGGAGAGAAGAGGAAGAGAGCTGATCAGAAGGCAGGTGGGCACTGGTGCCCAGCAGCAGCCGCCATCCATGCCAAGAGCCAGGCAGCAGAAGCTAGGAGAGGCAGCTGGCGTGGGCGTCCCTCCCTCTGGAGCCAGCTTGTTCCCCACACTGTTGGGAGTCCGGAGGGGGACCCAGGGCCACCCAGGGCTTGGTCTGTTTATCTGAGAGAAGGGGAAGAGGAGACTTGTCTGGAGACGCCCACCTTGGGAGGTGGTTTCTGGTCAAGGGTCCGTTAACCTGCATTACAACAAACCTAGGGACATGGTGGATTCACTGGCTCTTGGAGACTAAGCCTGACCGGACACCAGAGGGGCTGCTCTCTCCCCCAGCCCGAAACCCTCCCCACCAATTCCTGCCCAAAACCTCTCACTGCGGCCTGGGCGACACTAGAAAATTTACTCTGCTTAACTCGGCGTGTGAAAAATCCATCCCTCTGAACAGCGTAGTTAGGCCGACTTAACCCTGCCATGTAAACAATGCTAGGTTGATGGAGGAATTCTTCTTCTTCTCACTCAGGGAAGTGGACTGCCCGCAGATTTCCTCCCATTGGCATAGGTAGCAGCTACACTGACATGCTACAACCGCACAGCTGTGCCACTGTAGCATTTTAAGTGTAGACACACCCTGAGCTAGAGCAGATCTCATAGAAAGACACTCCTGGTCTGGGTGAAGAGACTGTGCTGGAGACCCACCTACATCCCTGGGTGAGTTGTTCTGATGGTTAACCAACCTCAAAGCTTCATTTGCACCTTATTTCTAGTCTGGGTGGTCTTGCTTCAGCTCCCAGCCACCAGAAGAGCCCTCTGCTATGGAGCTCTCCTCCCCAGATGGAACTGCAACCGCAACCAAACCCCCTCACTACCACAGACTGGGCTCCTTCAGTCTCCTACAGGCAGGTTTTCCTCATGCGACAAGCAGAGCATCACACTGCATTGTGTGTTACACAATTCACATACCCAGTGAGAGGCACCAGGGCCCAGAACACCCCTGGCTGGAGCTCTGGGAGAGAGGATGAATAAGCTGTGGAAGGAACCTGAAGGGTGAGCACTGGGTCCAGGGGCTGGGCAGGGTCTGCTGGGTTGCAGCTGTCAGAAGAGGTGCTAGATACTGGATGGACGTGCCAAGAGCATGCCCAGGGGCCCCAGGAGAGGGATGCGTAGAACCTCCAGGATCCCATGATTGGCTCTGCTCCCAGCAGCCTGGTGAATAGCCAAGAGCAGGCATGTGAGTGGAGCAGTGACCCATGCCCGCCCTAACACTCGGCTCTCACCTTCGGACTCCCATCTGCTTTGGGTTTGTAGGAGAAGGAGCCTCTCCCCTCAGTGCCCAGGAATGCCAGAGCTCGGATCCGGCTAGTGCTACTGCAAAGCAGACAGAACAAAGTCATCTGACCAGGGAGTCCAGCCAGAGTCACCCTACAAGTATGCCCTGCCCGCCCGGGCGTCACTCTGCACGGGGAGGGTGGGGGAGGGCAGTCTCTGAGTCACACTGACCTGCGGGCAGGCGAGGGAGGCCGCACCTGCACCAGGATGAAACCCATGCTCTGCAGGTACTGGATGTACTGCTGCAGGAAGGCGTTGCACATCTCCTGCAGCCAGGGCTCCTCCTTCAGCTTGCAGGGCAGCACCTCTGCCGAGTCGCAACTGTGGCTCCGGTCCCGCCCCGACGCTGTCGAGTCGCTCGAGCGATGGCGTTTCTGAAAGACAAGAGAGCCGGGGCAGCTAGCTCCTGCGGTAGAGAAGGGCCAGCAGGCGCTGCCCCGCCCGAGAAGAGAGGGACTGGCTGGCTGGCTGGCGATAGCCGCTCAGCTGCTGCCCCCGAGTGCTGGAACACAGGAATTGTCTGGCTGGACGGCTCCGAGGGCCTTCTGGCCCAGTGGCCTGACCCTGCACAGCTGGGGCAGAGCCCCTCCTCCAGCTCTGGGGGAACTGGCTCCCTCCCTGGGACAAGGCTGCAGCTCAGGCAGGATGGGCCCCATCGCAGCACAACCCCCACTTGGTGAGTTGCTCACCTTCCCCTCCAGCTTCGCCTGTTGGTCGGCCTGGATCTGCTGCCGGAAAGCTGAGTCGAAGAGGAGTGGTGTGGCACAATAGTGAACCAGGCGAGAGGACTGCTTCAGGGTCTCCAGGTCTGCCAGCTGCACAGTACAAGGGGCACAGCTGCAGGGGATGGCCCATGGGAGCCTGCTTCTCCCCCAGGCCCATGCAGGGCGTCCTGCCCTTCCAGGGCCCACCAGCCTGCTCACCTGCCCAGGGGGACCACTGGCTCTTCAACCCTCCCCCGCACTAGTCCCACTGCAGGACTCCCCACCCCTGGGGCAACACCTCCCCTCCCCACATGTCCCTATGCCCCCAGCTGAGGCTCCACCTGCCCATGGGGGCAGTGACCATATCAGAGCGGGGCGAGATGGTCATGCTGATGGGCAGCACTTACTCCGATGGGCATGTTGGACTGCGCTGATCTCTGCTGCCACGTCACAAAGAGATTCTCAATCTTCATCTGCTTCTCCAGCTCTGAGAGGGAAAGGAGCAGCCATGGGATCCGGAGCCACAGCCAGGCCGCTCCCACCCTACAGGCTCCCACCGTCCCCCCACATAGAGTAAAGCCTCCAACCCCCCTTGAGCTGCGGGCCAGGCTTCCCACACTCCTGCTGGGAGAGGCCAGGGCTGGAAAGCAGGAGAGGCTGAAATGCTGTGGCTGTGAGCACCCCCATCCCCAGAAACCAGTGCCCGGGGCTGGACAAGCTGGGGGTCTCCCCCTTTACCTTTCCTCTCCAGGCTCTTGATTTCCAGGAACTGGGCACCATGCCAGGACACCGGGTCACGTGGCCCCAGCTCTGGGCCGAGGGGGACACCCTTCAGGGTGGTGACATCTCGCAGAGCCTCGTCAAAGGGCATCATGTCGGGGGGGAAGTGCAGGGACGGCAGACTGCGCGTGGAGCTGCTGAGCCGCCCTTGCTCCTTGCTGGGGGGAGGGCTCGAGCTCCGGATCAGGGCATCCACCTCCAGGGTGGAGTTCAGGAAGGGGTTTGGTTCCTACATAAACAAGAGACAGCCCTGAGACCCCCCCTCACCATGAGCCTGGGAATGGGAATCAGAGAGCCGAGAAAGCCCCTGAAGGCCCCTAGACCTTGCCCAACAGGGACAGGTCCCCAGAGCGTAGCCCCAGGGCTCTGCCGAGTCCTACTTCTAATGTGGCCCCTGCCATAGGCAGCAGATTCCCCAGCCTGGCATGGCCTACCCCTCCCAGTTCATGCCCTTGGCCCCTGTTGCTGTGATAATTGTACCCGAACTGCAAGCTCAGCCACAGGAAGTGAGAGAAAGCTCATAAGAACCAGCTGGCAGGAAAAGGTGCAAAAGGGAGACGCGCTGAATTAGTCCCAACAAAAGGGCCTCCTGATAGAACTCGAGGACTGCGTTAAGATCATGCTTGGTGAACAAGAACAGGGTGGGATCAGAAATCTATGGACCAAAATTGGTGGGTTGGATGTTAGGTATAATTGTTGAACAAAACAATGAGGAAATGAACTATTCCACCCATCGCTCCCTTCAGAGGGGTCTTAAAAAGAAACAAAAAAAGAAAGTGTGATGGAATGCACCCTGGATTCACACCCTCCACGCTCGTGTAGTCATCCATGTACAGAGCATGCCTGCTGAGGGGTCACTTGAAAACTAACAACTTTCTGGTCAGTAGTATCATGGTGAAATGCATGTAGCAACTTTACACGTAAAGGTATGAACGTGAGTTGGAATCATGACTGACGTGCATTTACCAGACAAGTCTGAAGAACGGGTAAACTGGTTTCTCAAACACAACGGACAATTTTACACCTCTAGCCAGGTGTCAACAAAGCTGATGGGCCACCACTAAAGCTGCGAGTTTGTCATGGAAGTCACAGAATCCATGACTTCCCGGGACCCCTGCAGCGGTCAGTACAGCTGATCCGGGAGCAGCTCTGGCAGCCCCTGGGTCAGCCGTACTGGCCGCTGCTGGGGCAGTCTCGGGATGGGCAGGAGTTTGGGTGTGGGAGGGGGCTCAGGGCTGGGGCAGGAGGTTGGGGCATGGGAGGGGTGAGGGCTCTGGCTGGCGCTTACCTCGGGGGGCTTCCCGGAAGCGGTGATGGGGCCCTCCCGCAGCCACTCGGAGCTGAGGCGAGGCCAGGTGGCTCCATGCGCTGCCTGCGCTTGCAGGTGCTGCTCCTGCAGCTGCCACTGGCCACAGTTTCCGGCTAATGGGAGCCGCAAAGCTAGTGCGCAGAGACCCCTGGCGGCGCCTCCGCATAGGAGCCAAGGAGCATGTCGCCACTTCCAGAGAGCCGCACAGAGCCAGCCAGGAAGGCTGCCAGCCCCGCCAACGTCCCACAGCAGCAGCAGGGATCCCCGCCCTGAGCTCCCAAGATTTAGTCATGGGTATATTAGTACAAGTCATGGACAGGTCACAGGCTGTGAATTTTTGTTTACTGCCAGTAACCTGACCATGACTTTTACTAAAAATACCAGTGACTAAAACGTAACCTTAGCCATCACCTCTCAAGCAGCCATTCTTTGTTCCTGATCCCGTTCCTAGCCAAACAGATTCTGCATCTTAGCAAACAACAGCATGAAACCTCTTTCCCACCAGACTCTATGTCTCCTTTCTCTGAGCCAGAAAGATCTTTATCTAGGGGTCACGCTCCGGAAAATGCACTTCAACGGGGGACTGACCTATAAAGGTGAGGGGCAAAACCACCCCAAGTTCTCTCTCTCTTTTCACAAGAGAGCAGAAAGAGCCGCAGACCTTAGGAGCAGAGCCTGACCAGAAACTTGGTCAGCATTGCTACTGAAAACCTGTGGTAAGAATTTCACCTTGAACTAGAATCATAGAATATCAGGGTTGGAAGGGACCTCAGGAGGTCATCTAGTCCAACCCCCTGCTCAAAGCAGGACCAATCCCCAATTAAATCATCCCAGTCAGGGCTTTGTCAAGCCTGACCTTAAAAACTTCTAAGGAAGGAGATTCTACCACCTCCCTAGGTAACGCATTCCAGTGTTTCACCACCCTCCCAGTAAAAAACTTTTTCCTAATATCCAACCTAAACCTCCCCCACTGCAACTTGAGACCATTACTCCTTGTCCTGTCATCTTCTACCACTGAGAATAGTCTAGAACCATCCTCTCTGGAACCACCTCTCAGGTAGTTGAAAGCAGCTATCAAATCCCCCCTCATTCTTCTCTTCTGCAGGCTAAACAATCCCAGCTCCCTCAGCCTCTCCTCATAAGTCATGTGTTCCAGACCCCTAATCATTTTTGTTGCCCTTCGCTGGACTTTCTCCAATTTATCCACATCCTTCTTGTAGTGTGGGGCCCAAAACTGGACACAGTACTCCAGATGAGGCCTCACCAATGTCGAATAGAGGGGGACGATCACATCCCTCGATCTGCTGGCAATGCCCCTACTTATACATCCCAAAATGCCATTGGCCTTCTTGGCAACAAGGGCACACTGCTGACTCCTGTCCAGCTTCTCGTCCACTGTCATCCCTAGGTCCTTTTCCGCAGAACTGCTGCCTAGCCATTCGGTCCCTAGTCTGTAGCTGTGCATTGGGTTCTTCCGTCCTAAGTGCAGGACCCTGCACTTATCCTTATTGAACCTCATCAGATTTCTTTTGGCCCAATCCTCCAATTTGTCTAGGTCCCTCTGTATCCTATCCCTGCCCTCCAGCGTATCTACCACTCCTCCCAGTTTAGTATCATCCGCAAATTTGCTGAGAGTGCAATCCACACCATCCTCCAGATCATTTATGAAGATATTGAAAAAACTAAGGCTAGTTTAAGTTTAGAATGTGTTTTATCTTTATTTCTCTTGTAACTGGTACTGACTTCAAATCCTAGCTTCTGCTGTTAAAGAAACTGGTTTTATTCTTTAATCAAAATTACTCCCATGCTGTGAGCTGTGTGGGTAGCTGCATTGAGGTGGCAAGCTGCTGCACGTTGTTCCCTTACAGGAACAACAGACTGAACGATATCTGGACTGCCCAGAATACCACACACATTTCTGAGGGGGAATTTGGGACTGGGAGTGGGTTGGGGTCACCTGACAAGTAGTGACCGAGGCTGTTGGGAGCCAGTGTGTCCTGGGGTTTGCGGACAGGCTCTGGGTTAGAATTGCCGAACCACACTCGTGGTGCCCGGTGAGTGGCCCAGGTGGGAGCTACGGCAGGAAAGCCTTACAGGGCTGGCAGTGCCATTACCTGCTTGCTGTCCTCATGCCAGGGTGTGTCCAGGTAGCAGTAGTGATGGAAAAGCCCCAGTTTCTGACTGAGGAGGCAATGCACGACGTGGGAGCGGGCGTTCTGCCACTGCAGCAGGCGGGTGAGCGAGCTGTTCAAGGAGCTGCCCAGGTCCGGGGACCAGTTGTAGGTGTAGAGCATCAGCTAGGCGGGAAGGGAGATGGTGAGAGCTCTGCTGGGGGAGGGCCCGCACCAGCTGAGCCCCGGCCAGGCCGCTGTGACCCAGGAGCCCGTGGGCTGCTGCTGCTTGGTGGGTCCCTGCTGCACCACCAGCTGGCTTCCACTACAGGACGTGGGGTGGGGGGCACAGCTGGGAGGCCACAGCACCAACTCAGCGCCCAGCCGATCACCACGGTGACGTGTCCTGGTGTTCACACCTGCTCTGCAGCACGAGGGCCCAGAGATGCTGACAGCAAAGCACCTGGGAGCACAGGCTGGCCATGGGCCTTTGGGAGCCACCAAGGCTTTGGGACCAACAGCTGTCATCAGCATGCCCGGTCGGAGAGCGTGGCAGTGCCAGGCCGCAGGGAGACCACTGGGTTTGCCGTGCAAGAGCAGACAGAGAGGCAGCTGCACAGCACTGCCCTGGCACGGCTGCCTGCTCCGCCCCACCTCACTGTTATGCAGGGCCCCGTGAGGAGCCAGGCCAGGCTGTCCTCACCCACGGCCCCCGCTCGGACGGGCTCCGGGCCAGGCTGGATTTGTGCCCACCTTCTTGTCGAGGATCTCCAGGAGAAGGAATCTCTGTCGCGGGGCCAGCGAGGGGCTGGAGTTGGAGCCCTTCTCCGCCAAGCTCAGCTCCATGGCCTCGAAGTGCTGGAGCCCCTTGTGGGCTGAAAGAGACCAGAGAGAACCACAATGTGCCTTCCTGCTGCTCACTGCCCGCACCTTGCAGGGAGGCGTTGGCAGGAACCTGGGCGCCACAGACCCCCTGTCCTCGGGAAGGAGGCCCAGGACAGCAACTAGCTGGGAACCAGCTGGAGCGTATCAGTGCTGGAGCCTGCCAAGACCCAGCTGGCCAGGAGGGCTACACCGTAAGTTCCAGACTAATCCCCAACCACGCATGCCAATATTTGCTCCGGGCAGGCTGGCCGTGCAGCGGCAAGAGCCCACCCCCCACCCTCAGCACTGAAGATCCCAGAGCGACTTGGCAAAGTTGCCCCAGACCCACGCTGGGCTGCAGTGTTCTGTGTCCATGTCTGATACCAATTCCCGCCCCCAGAGGTGGGTGCATTTCAGTGGGTATGTAGGGAAGGACCAAACATTGAGGGCCACCAAGCTGTAGGGAGCACTCCCCTTGTGCTCCCCAGCCCTGTCTCAACGGAGGGCCCCTGTGATGCTGCCATGCCAGGTCTAGGGTGGAGCCAAGGCCCCCTCCTGCCATCCAGTCCTGAGCTAAGGGCATCCTAGCCATACCCTTCTCTCGGGCCACGCCCCCTCTCTGTGCTGACATCACAGGGAAAGGGAGCTGGCCCTACCCGCCATGCTGGGGTGACCCAGGCCATGCTGCACCAGAGTCTCAGTCTGTAGAGCACTGGGAAGCAGCTACTCCTGGCTTCCCCACTTCCTAGGCAACAGTCACCCCCAGATCCCTGCCTCTCCCGGGAGGACAAGTGCTCAGGGCACTAGTGTTAGAGCCACACGGACACACTTGAAACCACAGCAGCACAGAGCCCAGCCCCTCTGCTGGCTGCAGGTCTCCTGTGTCTGCAGCCCCTAGGGGCGGGACAGCCCCGTGGCTGAACCTGGTCAGATTAGCCCTAATCAGCAGCATGTGCAGCGTTCCCTGCCGTGGCAGGAGCACTTGCACAGCCGCCCGCTTCCACTCCAGCGCAGAGGCCCGGAGGCAGCCTGCAGCTGCCCTTCCACTGGGTGGCACAAGGACTGGGGTAGCAGTGGCCCAAGCGCTGGCTCATCACTCCAGCGAGAGACTCACATTTTAACCTCCTGACACCTGCTCCTGCTGCGTCTCACTGCAGGCGAAGACAACGTCAGCTCCCCAAGCCTGCGCAGGCCCCAGCTCGACCAGCGCTACCTGCTCTGGGGCCTAGTCAGGACACGGGCCGGAAGGGACCATGACAGCGCTGGCGAACGGGAGCACCCCCAGCCAAAGATGGGCCCAGGGGCACATCCCCGACTCCAGGCAGGGCTAAGGCGGAGAGCTCAGGCAAGACAGGAGCAGGGCTCAGGTCAGGCCGGTACCATGCAGCGCCACATCTCCCAAGCTGCTCTCACTGGCCACTCTCAGCTGGTAGGAAAACCTCAACGCAGGGACGCCTGCGCAGCTGCTGCAGAAAGGGGTGAAGGGACTGCCCCGTGCACCCCGGCGGGCTCAGCGCCTCTGCCTGGATGATTGCTGAGACATCAGCTGTGCTCACTATTTCATCCCCCCATGCGAGAATCCGGGAGGGTCACAGACCTGTGCAATTTACTGCAGGTGGCCACGTTCTGGAGCCATGAGTGGATGGCGCTGGGAAGACGTTTTATTTTTCCCCAGCCAAGGTGCCAGGCCCAGGGGCACATACACACCCCACCATGGGGAACGCAGGGCAGCTTCGGGCGCTGCGCATTCCTGTGTGGGACATCTGCCACGAGCAGCATCATGCTGGTGGGCACTCATGGTGGGTGGCGCTTATTTTGTGGGCGTGGCTTGGAAGAGTGCCCTGCAAGTGTGAAGGTGCCCAGCTGCAAAAAGTGCCCAGCCTGTGCTTGGAGCCCACCCAAAGGGCAGAGGGGAGCTGATGGCAAAACCTGCTCAGGCCACCGTACGGACACTCGGCATGGCCCTTCTTGGGAAGCAGAGGCGGTTTCTAGTCAGGAACATCAGGTCTCGTCTGCCCTGGCTCCATCAGGGTCTTGAGCACAGGATGGGAGGATCAAACCCTTCCCAAAGAGCTTTCCTGCAGAGTGCACGCGCTGAACACCAGTGTTGGCAGCCTCACCCCTGGGTGCTGGTACAGTCAGAGCCCCAGAGCTCTGCAGCCACCCAGAGACCAGGCCTGAATTTTAATGGGAAGGACCGGACCCTGGGTACACATACACCCACCCACTCACCGAGCAGCAGCCCCCCGTGATTCTCCTCAGCAGAGGATGAAGTTTTGATAGAGCTGATGCTGGAGGAGTTCCTCTTGTTGCTCTCCACATTCTCCTGAGCACCAGCTCTGAGCCTGTTTCGCTGGGACCTCACTCCCCTCCCTTTGCCCCACATGGGCAATAAGTGTTGCCCAAGGGGGCGGGAGACTAAGGGCAGAACCCCTGCAGGAAGCCAGCCAGGGTGGGCATTGTCCAAGCCAGCTACCCGCTCTGATGAAGGAGCAGCATGTCTGGGGACAGCACAGTGTGTTCCCCAGGGGCGCCAGCTTGTCCCTCCCTGCAGCCCCTGTAGGGCCTGGCCTTCCCTTGTCCATACGGCGCGCCACCTGCAGGAAAAAAGCCCCCCGCTCACTGCGCTGCGAGATTCCGGCAAAGCAGAGATAGGTTAAAACTCCCGGCGGGCCCTGGCCCAGGAGAGTTACCCTCTGCTCAGCCACCGCACATTGCTCTGGGTGGAGCAGCCACCCGGTGCGGCCTGAGGGGTGCACGGCGCAGCCTGCGCCGCACGCATTGCTGGGGCGTCTCAGAGCAATGGCTCCTCCTGGAGGATGTGCCGTGTGGGGTGTTCGCTAGGACACAGGCGGACTGGGAGAGGGGGACTTGGGGTAGGGCAAGCCTGGCAGCTTGGCCTACAGGCCCAAGCCTGAGTCCCAGCTGGGGTGAAACAAGCCCGACAGGGGCCACGAGAGAGTCTGAGAACAAATGCCTTGTGGGTCCAGAGCTGGGCATGGGAAGTTTCCACCTGGGCGCCTGCCCTCTCCCAACACGGCTTGCTGGGGCCCCCGGGCGGCTCCCCAGACCCACAGGATGCCTGCCCCCGGCCCCGCTCACCCTGCTCCGTGCTGTAGCGCCACTGGGGGAAGTTGCGTCCCAGCAGGATGAAACGTCGGACGGCCGCGGGCCGAGGACTGGAGCGCTGACTGGGGTTATATGGAAGGAAGGTGGCGCCCCGAGGGCAGCTGCAGAGGAGAGCACCACACAGAGCATTGGCCGCCAGGAGCCACCCCACCCAATCCCTGCCAGCTGCAACAGGGAGCGTGGCAGCAACCCCCCACCCTACCTCCCAGCTGAGCTCAGGGCAGCCGACTCCCTGGGCCCTTCTCCCAACCCCACAGCCGATCCCCCCAGCAAGACACTCACCAGTGCTGCTGGAACACCTTGACAGCGGTGTCGCTCGCCAGGGCCGTGACCAGGCTCACCACCTCCTCCAGGATGGAGGAGAGCAGGAAGCGGGAGACGATCTCCACCGAGCACTGCTGCACCGAAGGACACCCTGCCCCGCACAGGAGAAGCGGCATGAGCCACACACACACCCAGTCACAAAAGCGGCCTGCTGGGAGCAGAGGGAGCTGGCCTCCTGCCGGGTTCTCAGAGTGCTCACCCTAGTGGGGACACGCTTGGCAGAGCACGGACTGGGAGGAGCCGCAAGGGTCTCAGGCTGGTATTCCGAAGGCACCAGAGCTCCTCTGCAGAGCTGGACAGCGCCCGACTCTAAAGCGCACTGCGTGGGGCTGGGCTCTGGCCTGTCTCCTCTGGCGGGAGCCCGCTGGCTGCAGACGCCTAGCAGACGCTCCCACATCGAACCCTCCTGATGGGCTGGGGAGTATGACCAGGTCTCCCAGGCTTCCATGTGCCAGACCACAAGCCTTGGCCTCTGTGCGGGCATGTGCAACACTGGACACTGGCTGGCCAGTGCAGGCCCATCTGTCAGAGGCCGGGTTACTGCTGAAGCTACACCCCGGGCACATGGTGCCTTTAAGGAAACAAACAGCACTTACAAGCTGGGCTAGAGGCACAGGCTGGGGGTCAGCATGGGCCAGAGGAAGGAATGGTTACACGGGGTCCCACAGACAAAGCTCTGGGGAGAAGATCCCCATTCCAGCCCCATCCTGCAAGGCAGGGGAGATGGGCCCGTAGTACATACCCAGCCGACTCATGAATGCCATCCACTGCCGGCAGGTCTGACTGAAGAGCGGGTGCATGGTGCCCACCTCCCCTTCCTCGAGCTGGCAGACTTGGCGCCTGTGGGGGCAGGGCACTGGTTATGCAGCCGAGGCCAGAGACAGACATAAGGGGCAGTGCAAAGCAGAAGCTAGAGGGATGAGTGGATGGTGGTGTCCCCCCTGGGCACATGTGATGTCTGGCCACTCTCCGTCCCTCCCTGTCCACACGCAATGCCCTGTGTGGGCCACCACAAGCCTCGGGCCCAGTGGGCCAAAGCCCCTCTTGCTCAGAGTCCTGCCATGCACACAGCAGCAAGGGCAGCCAGACACAGCGTGAGGCCTGCTGTGGCCATCGCAGCACCACACCGTGCGCCTTCCCGGGCTGCTGTGGGTACAGCTGGCTGGCCGCGCGGGGGGCACTTGCCTCTGGGCCTGCTCCAGCTCGGCCGTGGCAGAAGCACGCTCCTGGCTCAGGTGCTGCTTGACGCTCTCTGTCTTGTGGCGGCGGCGGGTGCGACTCTCCTCTGGCCGCTCCAGCACGATGTCATCAGTGGTTTTGGGGCTGCCCAGCTCCGAGGAGTCGGCCTTACTCTGGGGGACGGGGCACGAGAGGGGGTGAAGAGTGGAGAGAAGCAAAGCTCTGACCTCCCCTTGCCCGCCCACCCCAGCTGGCTCCCAGCTATAGGCCTGTCCCCAGCACAGCTGGCTCCTCCCCTCCCAGGCCCCGCTGTGACCCCAGCCCCGGGGGCCGGGCTCAGTCTGAGCACCCTGCTACAGCCCACGTCCTTCTGAGTGTACCAGCATGTCCCAGAAGCTCCGGCGTCCCATCTTGTTTGTGGGCGTGACTGGCTCGCCAGAGCCAGAGCTGGGGGCTGAGGCGAAGTGCAGAGGGGGCGGGGGCACTCTACCGGCACCAGCAGTGCCCGCAGGAAGAGCCAGCCCCTTGGTCTCCGACATGGTCCTCCTGAGGCCTCCTGCAGACAGAGTACACATCAGAACCTGGGCAGAGGCTGTGAACCCAGCACTGGAGCAGCACGGTGGGGAGCGCTCAGCCAGAGCAGCCTCCCCACGGAACCAGGTCTCCCTGGCTCCAGGACACAGCTGGCTGAGGGTCCTGGCCCCACAGATGCTCATGGCAAGAAGACCCAGAAGAGACCCTGCAGCTTACCGCCACCGCTTTGCTCCTCCAGCGGGCAGGCAGCCTCCATGCAGAGTGGGGCCGGCAGCACTCGGAACTCCATGACCGCGTCGCAGAGGGCGTGGCGCACGGCACTGCGCAGCTTCTCCGACAGCTGCAGGGGGCTGATGTTCCCTTTCTCCCAGACATCCAAGCGCACCAGGGTGCAGGCAGCTGCAGGAAGAGGGTAGTCACCAGAGCTGCACGGCCCCTGCAGAGGGATGATCCCCCACAAGGCTCAGAGACACCTACAGCCACATGATGCCCTCTCCCCTGGGCACAACAGGCCCTCCCCAGCTCCAGCGAGCCATCCTGGGGACACGGTTGGAGGGCCCCCCCCCCAGAGCCCTGAGCCCACTCTGCCTATGGTGCCCAGAGCTCGCCCGTCAGGCTGAAGCTCCTGCCCGGGCATAGGGTCAAGGTAGCTGCTCAGCGGCTGGGACTGGCTTCAGTACAGAACATGCACCTGGTTGGAGGGTGCCGGGCTCAGCATGGTGCCTGCTGACTGCAGTGAGGCTCTCAAAGTCTGAGTCCTGCAGCAGGTCTGTGCCAGGTGGAGACGGGGGCAGCTCCAGGGGACTAGACCGTTCCCAGCGCGCCAGTGAGAGGGGGCTGCCACGCTCATCCACGAATGACAGAGCAATGCACGCAATTCCTGCAGGAGAGGACAGCCCGAGTCACTGTGTGTCCGCCCTGCACTGGACACCCCCAGCCCACAGGGACTCTGGGCCCATGGTCCCTGGCCGGGGGAGCAGAGGGGATGGGTTGCAGATGCCCACATGATGTCTGGAGGAAGGTGCGTGGGGGTCCTGTACTCATCATGCTGCGTTTGTATTGTTGCTTTGGTGCCAGGAATCTAGCTATGCTGCCCTGGATCCCCCACCCCCCAGAATGCTGCCCTCCCCCGCCCCCCATGGATGTCCCCGCAGCACCCTAGCTAGAACATGCCCTCCCCACTTCCGGGACAGGGCTCTGGTGTCCTTGCTCCTCTCCAGGCCAGCAGCCAACACTCTTCAGTAGCCCCCTCTGGGCCAGCACAGTGGTGCAGGACCTGTAGCTCCTGGTGGTGATGCTGGGGAAGGCTCCAGGCCTGCACTGGGGTTTTTACCCCCTCAGGGACTCACCCTGCAGGGGCAGACAGAGTGAGGGGATCTGGGTGCAGGGCATAAAGCAGTTAGTTATTTGTATGGCAGGAGCCAGACCCTCGACTGGCCCCACTGTGCCACACACAGCCAGAGGCCTTGTCCCCAGGGGTCCGCAATCTCCATCGGGGCATGGGGCACCAGCAGGAGAGGAAGGGAGGCAGCAGCAGTGGCAGGAGCAGGTGACACAGCCCAGCCCTGGGACCATAACTCAGCCACCCAACCCCTGCTAGCCCTACCCAGCCACACACTGTGCTTCTTAGTGCAGCTCTCCGAACAGCCACAGAACGGCAGCACCACGCTGATTTTGCAGACAGCAGCCCATGCAGGAAAGGCCTGTGCAGGAAAGGAGGCTAAGAGCAACATGTCCACTGCACATTGTCCTGTGTGGGGTCCCCGCACTGCTGTGTCTCTGGAGAGAGAGCTGGCTCCCCATGGGCCACCAGGAGGGCCCTGGCAACTGGGAGGGGGTGCGGGGAAGCTGGCGGGGTAAGGGCGAGATCCCTCCTAGGGGCAGTATGCGCAAGGCGGCCCAGGAACCGACACTTAAGGGCACGGAGACAGGCAAGTCACTGCACAGCGGCTGGCACACGAACGCGCGCAGGACCCACGCGCAGTGTGTGTCAGTTACATGCCAGCAACAGTGGCCATCACAGGGACCGCCAAGGCCCTGCCCCAATCCATCTCACGGGAGGGTAACCCCCTCCCCTGCAGAGGGCAGTAAGTCATTCTCAGGGTGCCAGCAACCCAGCTGGGAGAGTGGGTCACCAGGGCTGCCCATCACACAGGGAGGGCAGCAGGTGGCCGTGGCCTGCCCCGACTCAGCACCGGAAGCAGCGACTCCTTTTCCAGGGGGTGGAGGGAAGCTTCCAGCAGAGCAGGAGTCAGCAGAACGGCAGGTTTTTATCTTAGTGCCGCACCTCAGACGGTGCTGGGCCACTTCCCCTGCGGGGAGGGGGCGCAAAGGAAGGTGAAGAGAAGCAAGTGATGCCCCCTGCTACACACACTCCAGAGCGCAGTGCCCACCTTGGCAGCCCAGAGAGGTGCTGAGGTGGTGCCTTTTCCTGGCGCCCACATGTCAGAGCTCTGCAGTCTGGGATGGCAGCAGAGCGCTCAGATAGGTTCCCTGCAGCCTGCCCTTCTCCCAGGACATGCCCTGAAGTGTCGGTGGCAGATTCCCAGCAAGGTGGGTGCTGAGAGACGTTCATTGAGGACTATGATCATCATCCAGTTTGACCAGGCACGTAGCAGGCCAGAGACAATCTCTCCTGGGATTCTTGGATCCAGCCTAGAACTTCGGTCTGAGCTAGAGCAATGGCTAATTACGTCCAAAGTTTAATTTGTTTATAGTCTGAATTGCCTAGTTCAGCATCCCGCCCCAGATCCCGTTCGGCCTCAGTCTGCCAGCCTGAAGAGCCCTCTGCTAGCCAAACACGAGGCTCCGCCCCACAGGTAGGTACTCAGACGCGCTCCAATCACCCCTTCTCTCTCTCTTGCCAACACACTGAGCTCCTTTAGTCTCTCCTGACCAGGCAGGCTTTCCAGCTCACGAGTCCTCCTTGGGACTCCTGAACCTTCCATCCCCCGAACGCACGCACACCTGAATGGGACACAGTAGCCAGGGCTGGTCCCTGTCTGCCTGCAGCAGGAGGGCTGCTACCCCCTCCCTGGGGCAGGGCTAGCAGTGCGGCTTTTTGACCTGCCTGACTCCCCAGGCCTGCTCTGTGAGTGCCTGCCCCAGACAGATGGCTGGTTCCCATGGGCTGCCCCAGCACGAGAGGCCAGCCAGGATCCAGGCACAATGCTCTAGAGCAGGGGAACAGGCTGGTGTCCACCAGAGCAGACCCACTGTTGCACCTGCAGGGGGCTCGCTCCTCCTCCAGATGCCAACGCTGCCAGTCCCATTATGAGAGCAGAGGGGAGCTCAGCTGCGGGGTCCCCACGCTGGGCATGGTGGCTGGGAGCTGCGGGGGCCCCACTATGGCTGGGCCTGATGCCTGCAGCAGCTCAGAGCTGCCCACTGCCACCCACAGCAGATGGGAGCTTCGGGGTTCCCCTGCTGCCTCATGCCGCGGGAGGACCCTGAGGTTCCCAGCTGCTGCAGGCTGAAGTCATGGAGGTCTCGTGAAGTCAGGGACTCCGTGACTTCCATAAGAAAATCATAGCCTTAACCATTGCTGGTGTGATGGTGTTTAAGGCCCAGCTGAAACTGCAAACCTACTCTCCCACTCTCGGGCACAGCCTAGACGGGCAGCAACCGAGATCATGGTCCTCCCACTTCCTGCCAGGATTCCCACCCAGACCCACACTGATGGAGATTAGGGCTTTGTCCCCTCCTTTGTCCCCGTTCCCACTGGAAGTGCGGGCCAGACTGCAGCAATCACCCAGCCCCATCGCACCGGATCCCCTCCATCCAGCCCCATCACACCAGGGGTGCTGGCCACTATAAACCCCCAATGCAGCCACCTGGGTCTTGGGGTGCAGGGTGACCCCACACAGCTTTATGGACGCAGCCATGGAGGGAGCCTGTACCCTGTGGGCACTGCCTGCAGCATGCCCTGGTGGCAGGAGACATGTTCCCATTGTACAGAGCCCTGGAGCTCCCTGGGCTGAGCTAGGGGGCGGGGGGAGCCAGGAGCAGAACACTCTCTCCAGGGGATTTGAGGGTCATGGCCCCAGGCAGCAGCAGCCTCCTGCTCACTGACCCCACAGGCCGCTGGGAAAAGGGAGCCTGGAGTCACAGACAGCCACACAACGAGCCAGTGCTGAAGCCACAATACAACCCAACCAGTCCATGGCAGGAACCAAAGAGGGGCCAGGTGGGGGGAGGGGAAGAGGTTCAGTGCAACACGAACCACAGGTGCTACCTTGAAAGTGGGAGAGCGGAAACAGGTGCTGCACAAGGTCCGACATGGTTCCTACACAACAGAAGAGCATTCAGAGGGCACCGCGGGCCACACCAGCCTCACCACAGTCAGACACAGAAGGGACACCACCACCCAGCACAGGAGGGGCACAAGGGACCAGCTCCAAGCACAGGACGAGCAAGCTCTCCTCCAACAGCCCACAAGAATGGGCAGGGCACTGCACCCATAACAAATCCTCAGGAGCAGGTGCCTACGGTGCTCAAGGGACTCCATTGCCAGGCGCCTGCACCCAGCGGACCTGCCCTTCCCCACCCAGGACCCTGAACCCTGAGGGTTACCACACCCTCCTACCTGTTGGAACCCAGCTGCGTCTCACCCCAGAGCTGGCTGAACAGTGACCAGGGTGCACTGGGGCCCTCAGGGAACAGCGCCGCAGGAGCTCGGCCATGTCCAAGGAGCCTCCAGCCAGCCCCAGAGCTGCACTGCAGCAACACCGCTCCAACGGAAGGAATGGGGCAGGGGACCCTCTCCAAGCTGTGCTGGGCCCAACGGCCACGGCGGGGCTTTTCCCTGGGGGGACTCCCCAGGGAACAGATGATCCCCACGGCACCAAATCCACACTCTGCGCACAGGGCACGTGCTGCCTTCCTTTCCCTGTGGGACGCTCAGCACGAGAAAGCAGCTCCCTGCTGCTCAGCCCCTCACCCGATGCTGGAGAGCCCAGCGCCCCAGTACCTTTGCCGCCAGTGCCTTGGCCACCGGGCTTGTTGTACAGGTAGAGATCTAGGTCGGGACTGCCACTCTGCTGGACGTAGTGCTGGGGAGCAGAGACGGAGCGGAGTGAAGGGCGTGCCAGGGTAAGCACCCCGCTGAGCGATGGGAGGCGGACCCAGCCACATCAGCAGGAGAGCAGAGCCTTGTCCCCAGGGACGGGCGCATGCCAACCCAGCGTGGCTTCACCCACTGTAAGCGCTCTGCCTCCAGCCACATGAGCAGGTCCCTTGCTAACCCTGAGCCCACCCCACATGGCATCTGCTTCAGCCCTGCCCTCCGTGCTCGGCCCTCATCATCTACCAGCCTCTGGGACTCAATGGGCCCTGGGCCGGTGCATAGCAACCTGCCTTGCTTGCTAGTGGCATCACCCCCTCAGCCACAAGTCCAGAAAGGCTGCCTGGGACACTGAGCTGCCTAAGATGGCTGTCAACCTGCCAGGCCCCACAGCTGGAGGAGAGGGGAGCAGACAGCCTGCCAGCCAAGCAGCACACTGCTGGGGGTCAGCGGGCGCTGAACTCTCCACCACCGGCCAGCCCCACCTTCACGCTTTGCTGTGGAGTGGGTGGGGCTAGAGGCTGGGTTCCGGAGTCTGAGCCTTCCTTAAAGGCATGAAGCCCTTGGACACACATGGCAGCACACCCAGGAAGCTGGAGCCCAGCAGACCCAGGGGAAGGCTCAGCACCCACATGGAGGCTGGCACAGCAGCCCTGCTCATTCTGTAGGTGTGGCATGGCTGGCCAGAAGTGCTGGCTCAGTGGGGCCAGGAGACAGAGCCACGGGGCATTGTCAGAATGGAAAGAGACAGACGTGGCAGGGGTGTCTCCATGGTGACTGCCAGGAACAGGACCATCAGCTTAGCTAAACACAGATGAGTGCTGCAGCTGGGCCCCTCCTACTCCCCACCCTCCTTGTCCTCTAGGTCATACCCCCCCTCACCCCAGGGCCTCAACCCCCTCCCCACCCATGTCGGCCCTTGGCTGCGCTTTGCTGTGCAGAGCGCTAGCTCTGTGGGGCATCAGCCTGTGCGTGGGGACAATGCCCAGTGCAGTGCAGTAGGGAAGTGGGGGGTGACTGCAGGGTAAGGAACCAGCACCAGGCAGTGCTGCCTGCACCCACTGCTCCCGGAGGGCTCTTCTCTTTGGGTGGGATTTCACTCTTCTCAGGCTCCAGAGCGGAGGGTCAGCCTGGACCACTCCACCACTGCCCATAAGCGCAGCCAGGCAGCCACAGACTGCACCCTCTGCAGCAGGTGGCACCTACCCAGTCTGAGCCCTGCACTCATACCACCCCCCAGCCCACTGTGGGAACATGGCCGCACGCAGGGCCCCAGCCCCTCACCTTGAAGTGGTGCTCAACGTTGCTGTCTGTGTACTTGGGGGTGTGCAGGAAGATGAGCAGGTTCTGGCGCAGGTAACAGGCCACGGCATGGAGCCAGGGCAGAGAGGCAGAGGGCAGAGTGAACTGGAGGACTTCTGTGGGCGGAGAGCCCGGGGGCTGGATGAACTGTGAAGAGGAAACCTGCTAATCCCTGGGCACAGCACTCCTGGGAAAGGCAGCGTCAGACAGGCCCCTCCGAGCGCTGCTGCACACAGAACCCCTGAGGACCCAGCAGATGTACAAGGGGTGTTCATGGGCACCCTGTTCCAGAGATGGCCTGAAATAGGGGGTCTGCACTCAGACACCTGACAGGGGGCCTGTGCCACCCCAGCGCCTGACACCCTGGCCATGGAGACAGCCTAAGGCAGTGGATGCTGATTTTCAGCTGTTCCCTGCAGAGGCAGGGAGACTGGCCCAGGGGTGGGGGACAGCAGAGGCGCAGCTGGACTGGGGGCTCCTGGTCTCTAGCAGGGTTATGGATCTGGTTCCGGGTTCTGTACTGCACAGGGCAGCTGGCTGCAGGCCCTGGGGAAGCGTTACCTCCACGTCGGCTGGGGTCAGCTTGCAGTTCCGCACCAGCATGACAGTGATGATGTCCAAAGTGGCTTCATCCAGACGCCTGCGCAGAACCTTCACCAGCTCGTCTGTGATCTCGGGCCCTGGGGAGAAGCAGAGGTGAGAGCAGCCCCCAGGACAACATTCTCATCGGGGCACCACCACCGGAGGTCCTGCCCCACCCCTCAAGCAGGGCACCCGCCTGTCACAGCAAACCCCGAGAGGCCACGTGCCAGAGCAAGCTGCTCCCATCGGTGGAGCAGCCCTGGCACCAACCAGGGGAGGCATGGCACTGTCTGGGCCGCACATGGCATGTGGGGTTTGACCCTGGGGCCATCTGGCATCAATGCCCAGGACAGCTAGGGGGCAAGGGGAGAACAGGGCCCAGCCAAGGGAGAAACTGTTCCCCCTGCACCGAGACATGCCCCATGCCACACTGAGCTGCTGAGTCCAAGCCCCAGCACCTGGGGCATTGCTCAGAAAACAGCCAGGGCAGAGAACCTTGCCCCCCAGCCCACCCCCCACCACTGCCCCGGGGCGATCTTGCCCCCCAGCCCACTGCCCCGGGGGCGATCCTACCCCCAGCCCACCCCCACTCCCACTGCCCAGGGCGCACCCCAGCCCAACCCTGCCACTCCCACACCACTGCCCAGGGTAGGGGGTGATCGATCCTGTGCCTCCCCTCCCCTCCCCGGAGGTCATGACTCACCTGCTGGGGCGACACCATGCACCGTGAGCTGGATGTGTCTGTCCACCTGGCCCACAGGGCGGGCAGAGTCCGCGCTGCGGCAGGAGGCTGTGTCTAAGGAGGAGCGCAAGCCCTGGGGGGAACAAAGGGGCTACACTAGACACACCTTCTTCCACAGCCCCACCCAGAACTACTGGGGAGTCACTGAGCTCTGGCAAGGTCCAGCACCTGCCGCTGCTCAGACGACCCCCCTACCCCACCCTGTCTGCAATTCCCCCCACATACCTCCCTGCCCTACCCGCAACCCCCCTACCCCACACTGCCCCCTGCCCTGCCTGTAATTCCCCCACCTGTACCCCCCAACCCTCCCATGCCCCACATGCACCCTCACAAACCCATGACTGCCTACCACAGAGGAAATGGGGCTGCTCCCTTTATCCCAGGCTTTCGGCGCCCACCACCACTGCGTGCCCATGCTGGGCTCACTGACCCGCCCCCCACAACCCTGAGGAGCTGCCCCAGATCCCGCATGGACAGAGAGCACTGCAGACTTACTGTCTGATCCTCCGTGTAAATGGGCTCCTGACTGCGCGTCAGAGCCAGCGAGCGGCACACACAGCCCTGGATGCTCTCCCCTTCCCACGCCTTCCCGCTGTGGGTGGTTTCAGAGAGTCTGGGCACAGGGAGAGAGGGACGGGAGAAGTGTGGGGCAGCAGCCTCAGCCCTAGGGGGTGGGGCCTGGGGCATTAAGGTGTCAGTGAAAAGGAGCAAGAGTTCAGTGGGGTTTTTACTGCAGGCTCAACGGGTCTCCGTGTGGAGGGCCAGGCAGCAGCGGGCAGGAGGGACCCAGTCTGCCTGGCACCCCGGTGGAATGGTGCAGTCACTGCGGGTGCTGCCCAGACACAGACCGTCCCTGCCCCAAGGAGCCCAGAAATCCAGGGCAATAGCCCGGGATGGGGGCACGGCCTAGGGACAAGGCGACCAGGGGCAGGGTTGGGGAAGGGGGCTCCTTACCGGAGGTAGAAGACTGACTTGGTGGATCGCTCCTGGTAGACAAACATGTTCTTCCTGTTCACCACGCAGAAAGCATTGAGCACCGAGCGCAGCGCCTGGATAGCTGCAGAGACACAGGACACTGAGCTCTGTTCTGCAGCCCGCTGCCCAACTGAGCGCTCTGCCCCCTGGTGCAGACATGGGGCCTCCGCAGGCACCGCTCAGACTCCCGCCTGCCGGATGCTTGGGAAAGGCAGGGCCCGCCCGTCTGTGTCAGCAGGGCAGTCGGTCCCTATGGCAGCGAGGGGACCCCGATGGTACGCACCTCGCGAGACTCCCATGTTGGGCCCCATCTTGAGACGGGAGTGCACATGGATGAGGGTGCTCCACACCACGGGGCAGGCAAAGTGACCTGGCATGAACTGCATGGTGGCTGCCAGGTAGTCACGGGGCTGGTAGCTCTCCTCGGTGGAGTAATCTGCAGGGCAGAGAGTAGGGCACTCTGGTCATGCCGGGGCTGCAGGCCTTTCCCTGCCTGGCAGCAGGGGAGGAGAGTGGCTTACCATCGGTGGGCTGGGCGCGCTGCCGGTAGGAATTGTAGGGAGTCTCGCTCTTCCAGATGTCCTCCTCGCTCTCCGCCACCAGCAGCGTGTTGCAGACGTGGCTGTCGTGCAGGTCCTGCAGCAGCAAGTGCTGCAACAGACATGGGGGGCTCAGGCCGGCTCACCACGGCCCGGGCCCCAGGGCAAGCAACGCTGGAACCCAGGGCCCAGGCGGAACAAGGGCTGCAGAACCCTCCTTGCTCTGGTGCTACAGAAGGGAACTGGGTGCTGGGCCGAGCCCAGGAACCCCTGTTCATTCGAGAGCCAGGCTGGGCCTCAAAGCGCCAGAGCCTCCCCAGGAGCCACGTTACCTGGTTAACAACCCTGCAGATCTCGCCAATCTTCCTCACCACGGTCTGGTGGAGACGCAGACATTCCTCGGCCGGCTCCTTCCCGGCCTCAGCCATCGCCATCTGCTCCGCACTTGGGCTGCTTCGTGGGGATAAGAGAGGGAGGTCAGCAGGCCTATGGGGTATAGGCTACGGGGCCCAGCGATGGGCACAGGGCCTGGGAGCCCCAGCTGCACTGGGGAGGTCCTTGGCAGCTGGCAGGGACGGGGGAAAGCTGGCAGAAAGGGCTGGTCTCCCAGTGGGCAGGAGGGATAGAGAGGAGTGGAGTGATGCATGGAAGGGGAGCACAGCCAGTCAGGACCCCAAGCCTGGACAATGGAAAAAGCAACAGCCAGAGTGGCTGGCAGGACAACATAGGGAGAGAAAACGAATCACTCCTTGGCAGGGAGATGTGAACTGGGGCTGTGAGAGCAGAGACCCAAGACTGGGGCGCAGGGCTGGGAGTGAGAGCAGTCACATGGGGGTCCTGGAGAGAAGGGCAGACAAGGGGATCTCAGAACCTGTGGGAGCAGGCTTGGGGCAGGCATACTGGGGCAGGACGGAGACTCGCACCCCGCGACCCAGACTGCAGGCGAAGGTGCAGGGGGACTCCGTCTGCTGTGGGAAGGATCAGCAGAGGGGAGCGAGTGGGATCCAGTGGGGAGGGGCTGGGAGCAGCAGAGGCCGCAGAGTCCTGCTGAGTGGGGTGTGCGGCCATTACAGGCTCCAGACAGGGAGCAGCAGAGTTGCTAGCAAGGAAGGCAGCTTCTCCCATGAGTGGCTAGGTGCCTGCCCCAATCCCCCTGGCCACGGCCATGGCTGGGGGGGGCAGCTGGAAGGGCAGAGCGACAGGAAGCCCCAGCTAGCTCAGCTCACAGAGATTGGCAGCATTAGCCCAGCTTACCCTGCCACACGTGAGAACGAACCACCCAGCTGTTTGTCTGAGGTCGTGAGCGTTGTGACAGGGGCTGTTGTGTCCTGTGCCCCATGTGACATGGCTGGCACCCGAACACCCCAGTGCTGGGCTGGGGGCAACCAGGGTGCCCCCGAGACAGACAGCAGATGCAAGGAGCGAGCAAGGCTGGGAGCAGGTTACAAGGGAGCAAAGGCACTGGGGGCAGAGAGCAGGAGAAGTCTGCGGGCCAATGCAAGTGACAGGAAGGGGGTGTGGAGATGGGAGCTGGCACAGCACCTTCATTACCGTGTGTGAGAATACACCTCTACCCGGTCCTGCTGGATCTTTACAATGAGCCAGAAATCTGGCATCAGGGGGCACTTGGGGTCATGGTCGCTCATCAGGGCTTCCTCGCACTCTGAGTCACTGCTCCCTCCATCGTAACCTGCCGCAGAAACACGGGCCCTGTGAACTCAGCCCTCCCCCGGTTCCTTCCAGAGCAGTAGCCGGCACCTTGGAGCCCAGCGCCCCAGCAAGTCCCGTACCCCACGCTGCCTGCCCTTGCCGAGGAGAATCTCACCTAAGTGATCCGAGTCCATGCTGCCCTGGCTTGACACTAGACTCTGCACTCGGCTGGGACGCTGCTTACTGGCGCCTGCGGGAGAAGAGGGAGCACTTAGCAGAGCACTTGTTGCAGCTCCCAGACCTGCGCTCCCAGACTCCACAGGGTGGGACATCACACCACCCGATGAGCAGCACAGGCCCAGGGTTCTGGGAGGTACAGTGACAGGCCCAGGACTGACTCTGGAGCGGCCTGTGTGCCTAGAGACACCCAGCACAGCCCAGTTCATGAACCTCCGTGTGCCAACAAGCAGAACCAACCCCCCAGGCTGGCATGGAAAGGGGGAGGCAGACGGCCTTGAGACACCCCATTCCCAGGAGCAGGGCTCCCCCGATGCAGAACACCCGTGTCAAGCAGGGACCACGAGGCAGCACCCAGGAAGCTGCTCTCATGCCGTAGGCTCCAGCCCAGCACATGCTGCCCAGCCCCATCAGGGCTCCTACCTTCCCTGCCCTGGGTCCCCGAGTCAGACAGGATCGCTGTAGATGGCGATTTCTCAGCACTCCCCTTCTCCGAGGACAAGGGCAGGAACCGAGAGTGGGGAGGAGTCAGGGGGGTCATCTCCCGGGCTGCCTCCTCCAGCGAGCTGTGCCCCACAGCTCCACTTTGCTCCACCACTCCACTTTGCTCCAGCCTCAGCACCTCCTGTGGCTCCTGCACCCAAACCAGGGACTGCATTACTGACCCACCCCCAGGGCTGGTTGCCAAAGCTCAGCTCCCCCATGCCATCCAGACAGCATCCATCCTTCTCACCTCATCCTGCATCTGGTCGCTCTCACCCAGTGCATTTCCCACATCTGGCCCAAACTGGCTCTCACCCACTGGCCAGGCCCAGAGGCCCCCAGTTCCCTGCGGCAGGGAGGGCATTGGATGGTTTGGCTGGAGGCCTTCAGCATCTGCTTCGCTACTCCCCTCCTGCCCAACATGGCTCTGGGCTGCTCCAGGGCTTCCTCCTGGCGCAGGCCGCTGCAGGCTGGGGACAGCGCTGGCGGGGGTCTCTAGGGGGCTCGGCCACGCCTGTGGGGGCTGCTGCAGGCTGTGGACAGTACTGGCGAGGGTCTCCATGGGGCGCAGGCGGCTGACGGAGATGTAGTGGTAATCACAGCCCTCTGCATTGAGCACGTAGCCCGGCAGGGTCATTCTCCGGAACTCCTGCAACACAGAGCCCAGGAGAGTGCGCTGGAAGGGGGGCTGGCCACTGCCGAGGGCAGAGCAGAGAGTATACTGGGCACGCACGTGGGGGTGGGGCGGGACACATCGGCAGGGGCCGTGGGGCTCTCACCTCTCTGAACTTCTCCAAGGAGTGCTCGGGCCCGAAGACAAACTGCAGGGGCACCACCTCACTGTGGCAGCTGGGCCGCCCCTGGGAGCTGTAGACATGGGTGGCGACCCGGTCCAGGACCGAGGCGCTGACCGCCTGCGAGCGGCGCAGGGCAGACACCATCTCATCATCCAGAAGCCAACGGATCTAAGGGCCAAGGACACGACCTGGATGACCTGTCCCCACACTCCCCGCCATGCATCCTGGGTCTCTATATCCCTCCCCAGCCACGCCCACTAGTGGCCAGAGACCCTCCTGCACCAACCCCAGACCTTGGCTGGATTCAGACAGATTTGCCCCAGCAGCTGGGCAGCACACAGCCAGTATGCAGCCTGCTGCAGGCAGCATTGGTCCCCGGGCTGGGACACGCTTGGTTGGGCGAGAAGGCGGCTCTGCGGTGACCCAGGCAGGGCAGCCAGGGCTCACCTCATTCATGGTGGCTTCGACAGCTTGTCTGTGTACCCCTGGGAGGTTGGAGAGCGCTGGGTGCCTATGAGAGACAGAACAGTAGGGTTCATTCTCCCACGCCCCCTGCACTGCAGCCTAGCATGATGTCCAGCGTACCAGCCCAGCTGCCAGGCCAAGGGGTGCAATACCTCTCGCCTCCCGTAGACGGCAGCCGTTCCAGGTTGTGCATGAGCTCCTCGTCCGAGCGAAAGGAGGAGGGCTGCCCGGGTGAGCGGGCGAAGGAGATGCTGCTCTCAGACGTGTACCTGCCATGGGAAGAGAGCACAGGTTGGGACAGCAGCCCCAGAGCCCCAGGCAGGAGCCACACAGAGGTGGCTCCAGTGGAGTGCAGGGGCCCCAGGCTAGGGCTGGGCAGCTGTGGAACAGAGGGCTGTTTCTCCCATAGCCAGGGACCCTGGTGCCACATCACGGGGAATCAGGGCAGTCTGGCTCTACAGGAGGGTCCAGAATGCAAGGGGGGAATTCCACCTTCCTTGTCTGGAGGGGTCACAGTTCAGGAGAGTCAGGCCAGCTGGGTGCCTGGTCTGAAGGTCTGCCGGTCGACAGGGCTAGGGGAGCCGGGCACCTGCTCTATAGATCGGCAGGGCTGGGGAAGCCAGCCCCTGGTCTGGAGGGGTCAGTTCAGGGGAGCCAGCCCGGTCCCACACCCACCTGTTGTGGTGAAGGTCAGCGTTTACACCTTCTATCTCCAGCGGCAAAGTCAGCACGAAGATGTCCAGGGTCACACAGAGGTCGCTGAGATCAATGCTGGCCATAGCCTGGTGGCTCTCCAGGCAGCTCAGCACTTCCCCTGAGGAAGGACACCAGGAGGTAAGGAGAAGGGGCTGGCATGGGGGTCCTGTGCCAAACTCCACCCTGCTCAGACAGGTGGAAGAGGCCCCTGAGGGGTGCAGGGGAAGCCCAGGTTCTGCAGTTCCTGTGGAGCACCCTGAAGCCACTTCCCCAGGGACCAGGAGGGCTGGCTGGCTGATGGCACCAGCATGGTACTGGGAGAGCTCTGGCCTCCAGCCTGGGTGGGAACCTGCCTCAAGCGAGCAGCCTCTGGGGCAGAGGGAGAAACGAGCGCGCTGTGCTCCAAGGTGCTCCGCTCACCCAGCCAGCAGCCTGGCATCGACCCAGGCTCCCCGCTGGAACCCTTCAGCTCAGGCTGCAGCCAAGGCCCTAGCCCTGGCCGCCTGCAGGCACGCTCTTACCCAGGCAGGTGGGCAGCGACCGCACGGGCATAGAGCTGTGCTGGCTGCGCAATTTCACAGAGCAGGTCAGGTGCATGAAGAGCGGTGGCATCTCCTGCTCCAGGAGCTCCTGCTCATTCAGCGAGTCCCCGCCCAGGACGCTGAACGAGTCGTCGTCATCGTGGTTGACGGTGTTCGAGTCCGAGAGGGAGCCCACGTCTAGGAATTCGTTCTCCAGCTTCTCCCGATACTCCACCTCCAGCTCTGGGTCACTCTCCGTGGCAATGCCGCAGCCCGACACGGTCCCTGCGCATACACAGGGCTGCTCCACTCTAGCACAGTGTAACCGCACTATTACCCTGCTAGCGGAGACGCAGCTCACAGCAGCAGTGTCAGCATGGCCAGGACTGGCCCCCCAATGAGCCGCACTTATAACTGCAGCTACACTAGGGCTTCTGCCCGTACAGCTACGGCAGTTGTGTGTGTGTGTGTGCGCGTGTGTGGGGGGGGGCCGGGGCGGGGCGGGAGAAAGAGGAGAGAGATCTTCACACTGCTCCCAGAGCTACGCTGGAACACTAAGTGCAGTCCAGCCGAGCTCCCCCGGCCGTGAAGTGTGGTGGAGTCCAGCCCCCACGGCACTACTGCCAGGCACATGCACTCTGTAGGGAGGACAAAGAGTTACCTTCTTCAGCTGCCAGTTCAGCCTCTGACCCCTCCATGTCCTCGCTGCCCTTCCTGTCTGCCTGGTCCCGGGAGGCCTCCTCCTGAGCAGGGGGAACAAGCTCGTGTCAGTCAAAAGGCTGGGCAGCAGGGCAGGCTGCTCCAGCGCCCCGGGGGCTCAGTGGACGCCCAAAGGGTAGACCTGGGGAAAGACAAATAGCACTTCCCTCCTTGGCAGAGCCTAGTTCACTTGTCCCGCCACCAGGGCACTGGGGCCGCCCCCGCCCCACACACACACCTCTTTCTTGGCACAGGGCGGACAGTAGAAGAAATAATGAGGATTCGACAGCACTGGCTTAAAATGCAAACTCCCGATTTCCAGGAACTTCTCCTGCCAAGAGAGAAAGGAGATTGTGAATGTGAGACTGACCCGCTCTGGCCTCAGCTCACTGCATGCTTGTTCCCCTCCCTCACCTGGATGATTTTATGCAGGTTGGGGTGCACCTGGCAGGGCTGGTCACTCTCCAGCAGGGATAGGGGGAACTCCGGGCAGCAGCTGGCGCTGATCTTGGGCTCCTCAGTGGGGCATGAGAAACCTCCGTGGTCCTGCTCGCTGTAGTCCTCCATCTCCGCACTGACGAGGCCACATGCATACAAGCCAGATGGGCACAGTACGAACCATGAACAGAGTCACTGTCACCTCCAGGTACAATGCCACCATCCCTAGCCAGTAACAGACTTATAACCCACTCAGCCCAAGGTGCCGGAAAACACCTCTGCCCATGGCAGCCAACTCCACTAGGTACCCAGACTGCCACGCAGGCCCTGCTGGGTACCGTGCCCCTCTGCTAAGCCCGGGGGGTAGGACCCAGGAAGAAGAGTAGAGAGACAGCAGCTTGGTATCAGGCCTTGGACTCTATACAAGGGCTGGGGGGCAGCTGTGTCTATACCAGGCCTTTGCCAGGCTTTCAGGAGAGGAGCAGAGGGAGTCAGATCGGGGTCTGGGTACAGACACAGAGTCCAGGCACACGGGGGAGGGCTGGTGCCTCTGGAGAAGTGGGCAGAGTGCAACACTGTCCCTGCTCAGTGCTGACTGGGGCTGGTCTCTCTGCACACAGCGGGTATTAACCAGCTGATCCTGTGGGATTCAGGGCCCTGCAGCCATGCCGCAGACCTTGGCTCAGCACGAAGTCCACCAGCCACAGAACTCGTCATGCAGACATCTCGTGCCATTCTGTGCCTAGGCACCGTACCCCTTGGCAGCACCAGGGAGAGGGAGTACACACTGCAGCCCCCAACCCAATGCTGCCTTACTTTCTTAGCCGTCCTGCTCCATGACGCTGTGTCTCCTCTGCGTGAAAATGACCCATGAAGGCCCAGGAGCTCACAGCTCTTCCCTGAATCAATGGGAAGGGTGGCAGATGGCTCCTACCTAGACTCTGAGATGAGGACGCCTCTCTCCCTGGAGAGCGGCTCTTCCTCCTGCTCCAGGCTGGCTGCCCTGGGGTGCGTATGGAAGTGCCGGTGGCTCTCGCGGAAGGCCCGAACGTGGCTGCAGAGGGTCAGCAGGAAGTTGGTGATGTCTATCTCCTGCAGCAGCTCCTCGCAGTAGTCCATGGCTGTGAGAAGGTCCTGGGAGCTGATGCTATGCGACTGCTGCAGGCTCTTGAACAGCCCTGTGGGTGTAACACCGGGCTGAGTGCATGGCTGTGTCCAGCAGGGCAGGAGGTGGGAAGGGAGTCCATGGCCAAGGTTACTCAGGCAGCTCAGAAAGCCCACAATGAGAGGACTTAGCAAGCAGTGCCCGCTCTGTGCTGAGCTCCCCACAGCTGTGCCCACACACCTGGGCCCCAAGGGGCCATGCGGGAACAGCTTTAAGCCAACTCTGACAAGAAACTAGTTTCCTGAAGAGAGTGCACCCCTCCCCTCGCCCGCCAGAGAGTGGCGTCTAGGAAGGCCCTGGTTCAGCCCCCCTCCATGCCAGGGCACAGCGCCTTGCCATGCCCCTCTCCTTACCTTTCACATAGCACTGGTGCGAGTGCTCCTGCAGCAGCGTGCAGTAACTCACCAGCTCCTTGTGCTTGTGGTCTAGCCAGGTGGCATTTGTGGGGCGCTCCAGAAACTGGGACCTGGAAAAGAGCAGCAGCATCACCACTCAGCCCTGCTGGAGGAAGAGGTAATCTGTGCAGGGCCAGGCCGGGCCATGGCCAGCCTACAAGCTCCTGCAGGCAGACAGGCACCACTGTGAGTGAGAAGGAGTATGCCAGCAGACTAGGGCAAGGCTGGAGCCAGCATCCTGCACAGGAAAGACTCGACTGTGCAGCCCTGAGCTCCCTGCACTTTCACCCCAAGGAGGATGCGCTCCCAGCCCAGAGCCAGGGAAGCTGGCTTTACCTGAAAAAGATGTCCCGTGGAGGCCGGTGTGTCCGGGGGCTGACCATCTGCTCCCGCAGCAGTTCCATGGAGCAGCTATAGACGTAGATGGGGCAGCGGACCCGGTGGCACTCACTCAGCTCGGGCTGTGAGGCCTGGCGGCTGAAGGAGATGCGTACATCCTTCCGCAGGGCAGCGCCTAGCTCTCCTGCGTCCTGGCCTGCTTCTGCAGAAGAGAGATGCCCTGAAGGAGCGTTTCCCACTGACAGCCCGAGACACCAGCCACTATGTCTGGGCTTGCCCTTTCCTCACTAGATTGCCCATTCCGCTCAGTATGCCAGTTTCCCCAAGAGCACCGCCCCCCCGTCTTGCTCCCATGCCCCCCAGCCCTTCTTCGGGCCCACAGGGAGCATGAGACCGGTTTGTAACTTCCCTTAGTCTCTCCCCACCAGACCATATTGGGCTGAGCTCCCTGGGAGCTGGCCCAGGGCTTTCCCACTCCTGTCCCCTGCCACGGCTCTGTACAGCAGCATGGGCCCTCCGCTCCTCAGACACCAGCCAGCCAACTGATTCCCCCTCCCCTTTTCAATATCCAGGGCTCTGCATGGGGCTCGAACACCCCCCGCCCGCAGTGCTGTGTCTTCCCCTGCCCTGTGGGGGCTGTGATCTCCAGCAAGGAGCAGTGGCTCCGGTCCACGCTACCAGAGCGACACAGCACACTCTGAACAGCCTGTCGGGACAGGGTCTGGGTGAGATCCAGGGGCCTCCATGGCAGAAGAGCTGGTGTCTGTCTGGCACCCAGCGCTGCACTCTGAGGAAGCCCCGTTGCTTTGCTGGAGGCAGAGTCACCTGGTCTGCAGCCTGTGGGCCAGATTAGCAGACATCCCTTTCCCAAGGAGCGGCCCCTCTGGAGGGGTGCTGACTGCATACATAGCTATGCTGCCTGGGGACTCCTCAGCCCTTCCCCATGCCCTTATCAGGGGACGGGCATACCGCACAGCCACGCCGGGCTGAGCCAGGAGCAGCACATAGTGCACAAGCCTCTGGCCTGCCTGGCCATGGCAAGCACTCTGAGTGGGAGAGGAGGACTCTCCTGGGCTCAGGAATGGCCCCTGCCCACAGAACATATGGGGTGGGGAGCCAGGGGTCAGTACCATTGGCCGGCGTTACACTGAGAGTAGGTAGGAATGCCGCAGCCGCTGCCTCCTCGAGTCCCATTCTGCCCGGCTCCCCACAGGCAGGGTCCAGGCTCTCTCCTGCTGAGCTGTCCTCCTTCAGGGCTTTCTCCAGAGAGCAAGCCATCAGCTTCTGTACGTCTAGAGAAGGAAAGGAGAGGTCAGGCCCTTCCCACATATCCCGACAGGCGGTGGCTGCTGCCAGCCCAGCACCCCAAGGGCAGCTTGGAGGGCCAGCCAACTCAGTAGCTCACCCTGGGTAACTGGTATCAACCCTTTAAATACCCACCTCCTGTGAGAGGCAAGGGCCCTCAGAGAACGCCCTGCCAACCGCCCCAGCCTCCACCCCTGGTAGCCCCAGGGGGCTTCACTCGGGTCCCCCACCCCCATGGCGGGGTGGGGAGCTCAAGGCATACCCCAAACTAGGTTGCAATAAATTGGGGAAAGCCAAAGCTCCACACGGGAGCCAAGCAACAGCCAGACTGGTCCCAGAGCGCTGCAAGAGGCCCATTGATAAGCCCCTCAGCCTCGAGCTCTGCCCATCCCCACATAGCTGGAAGGCTGTCCCCCCGCAGAGAGTCACTCAGCATTCCCGCTGCCGCCCGACTCAGTTCCCTGGCTCAGCAGGGGCAGACTCACCAGGGAAGGTGGCTGGCAGGAAGGTGAGGAAGAGGTGCTGTGGACTGACCAGCTTGGCATAGCATCGCCACTGCAGGAGACACCCAGCAGCATCGGCCGGGGACATATCGGCCTCCGGCAGCTCTGCGTTGCACAGGCTCTGAGGAGAGAGCACAGCGGGGGTAAGATTGCAGGGACGCCCCCAGGGCAAGAGAGGGGTGACGCAGAGCAGAAACACCCCAGGGGGGCTGCCTGGCCCTCGGGTGCAGCAGCCTCTGCGTCCACGCTCTTGACCTGCTGACAGAGCAGCTGGCTCAGATCCGCACTGCTGCACGCTGCATAGGCTGGGCCTCCCCCGTCACTGCAGGTATAGCACAGGTGACCATGGGGCCAGCTTCCCCAGGCCCTCCTCAGCCTCGCTCCTGTCCTGGGTCATCCCCAGCCCTTTCTTTCGCTGCCCTCTCCATGGGCAGTGCCAGCTGGGGCAGTTCTGTGTCCCTGCCCCCGAGCGGGGCCCTCGCTTCTCCCAGCCCCTGGGCAGCCAAGAGACGCTGGTGGGTCGTCACAGACAGGGGCTGGATTTTCAGCGCTCCATCCCCAGCCCCTGTCACAGGGCTGGGGCCGTGCCCCAGCAGCTCCCCTTTGGGCAGCATTCAGGAGCTTTCGGGGCAGGGGGCCCATGGCCCCAGCAGCACGAGGGATACAGGGCCAAGGGAGGTACCTGCAGGGTGCTTGTGGTGCCACTCACGTCCCTGGTAGCGCTACTGCCAATAGGGTGAGCACCCAGAGAGGGACCCTGCTGTTCCAGGGGCGCAGGGGCCTCCAGGGGCTCTTCTGGAACTGAAGAGACAGGTTGTGAGGAGGGGAGCCCAGGTGCAGGGCACCAAAGGCCCCCTTGCTCACATCTCCGGCTGCCAGGCTCTCAGCCCCTTACCTCGGATCACCGGGAGCGTGAATGGGGGCAGGTGGCCATCGCGGTCCCGCTGCAAGACCTGCTCCACGAAGGCTGTATGATCCGAGTCCGCCAAGGGGACCTCCCGGTCGCTGAGGTAGTGCTGCAGGCAGCCATGGAAGAAGTCTAGCAGCACTTCATTGGGTGCAAACGAAGAGTCCTTGGCCGTCACATCATCCTCTGCTCCAGAAAAGAACCACCAGCATCAGAGACCCCCTCCAGCCAGCTACTGTCCCAGCACCCCTCCCGACAGGCAGCTCATAGCAAGGAGCCAGCTGCACGTGACTGGTGAGGTTTTCCCTTTACGTTTACACAAGGCTGAGAGGGAGCCCTCTACTATCAGCCACACAAACCTCTCTGCACCCACCCACACCAGGTCCTGGAACCATGCTGAAGACGAGGTCCAAGAGGTAGGAAGCCACAAGACAGCAAGAGACCCAGGCCTGGCACTAGCAAACAGAGCTGCTGCCAAGCTGACCCCAGCACAGGAGCAGCAGCAACCCCCCAACGTCTCCGCCAGCGACGCTGGGGCTGCAGGAGCCACCCCGCATGCCCCAGCTGGGAGACGTGAGTTGGCACTGCTGCAGGGAGGTGAGGAGGCAGCTCCCCTACCCTGCTGTAATAACTGGGGCCCGGGGGCCTCCCCGAGCTGTGAGGTCAATGGTGCAAAAACAGATGAAAGTTTATAAAACATTCCAATCACCTACATCAATGTTAATAGAAAAGGTACAGAGGGAGACAGCCCACATCCTAGGCAGCCTGCTGATATCACCCCCAGACCGTTGGGATCATTGCTGGAGGACTGTGGGACAGAAATCGATGGAACAGAACTGGTGTGTCGTAAATTAGACCTAACTCGTGAACAAAATGATGACCGGCTGGGGTACTGCACCCATCACCTCGCTTTGGGGTCCTGAGAGTACTGGCTGAAAGACCCCCCCCATCCCACTCTGGGATGCCAGGAGCCACTGCGATACTGATGGGCCTTCACTGGCCTGATCCCAAGAGCTGCCCTGGCCAGACTGGGCCAGAGAGGGGGACCCAGATCACCTCAGCTCCAGCTAGATTCCAACCACCACCTGGGACGTGAGGCATTAGTTTCTGCTGTCGCCCCTTCTCCCTCCCTTTCGTCCCCCACCTTATTTCCTCTTTCCTGTGCCTGGCCCTTGGCCCTTTGCCCTTCGTCTAAAGAGAGTCCGGCTTAGCCGGCCAAGACTGGACATTTTGCAACACTGTGGGAGCCTGAAAGACGACAAAAAGCAATTCCCTGAACGGCTTGAGGGTGGCACCAGTTTGCCAGCGCTTGGGGTGCTGATTAGTCTCTGTGCTGTGCTTGTATTTCTCCAGCAGTGAGACTGCAAGCGAGCCAACATGAGAGATAGCAGCTGCATTTTCCCTTTGCTCTTCCTTTCTCTCCCCTTTGTAGGTGCGCGTCTGGCTTCGTTTTCAAGGAAGCAAACTAACTAAGCAGCAGCAAATCCAGCCCTCCTCTCTTCCCCAAAAGCAGGGTTACCGCAGTCAACACTGTGGAAAGGAGTGTCAAACAAGGAAGGCTTCCCTGCTAACAACTCTGCAGCAAAAGGAGTGTGGTTACAATGAATGCCTGACTCAGTAGTCACATTCCCTAGGCTTTCACTCTTCTCCCTGTCTCCAACAAATGTCAATGCTCACCTCCCGTCAGCATGAGGAAGAACATTTCAATCTGCTGGCATTTGGGTAGCAGCTTCAGGAGGCTGAACTGGAATGGGATCTCATGCACATGGGAGCCAGCCCCCATGTCAGGGCCTGCAAGGAGAACAAGGGAGATGAGGCACTTGCTCCCTGCCCATCTGAGCAGGGGAGGGGCACAGGAGCTACAGCAGCATCAGGTGGCTGGAAGCAGCACAAGCTGGGAGACATGCACACAACACTGAAGGCGCCCTTGTGGCTCACTTTTCAGAGTAGCAGCCGTGTTAGTCTGTATTCGCAAAAAGAAAAGGAGTCCTTGTGGCACCTTAGACACTAACCCATTTATTTCAGCATAAGCTTTAGTCTCTAAGGTGCCACAAGTACTCCTTTTCTTTTTGTGGCTCACTGTGTAGTGGCACCTAAAGCCAAGGATTCATTATTAATTATTTCTATTATCGTAGCATCTAGGAGTGCTAGTCATTGAGTAGGACACTAGGCATTGGACAAACCCAAAACAAAGAGACAGCCCCTGTCCCACAGAGCTGCCGATCTAAGGGCAAGAGATGGCCACAGAGACACGGCATTGGTCAGCAAGACGGGCAGCGGTCTCATCACACAATTGGCTGTAGACGGCAGAGCAGATTTTGCAGGAGGCTAATGGTTCCTTTAGGGGCTGTTTACAGGGATCTCCACCCAAGCGTGAGGGGCAGCAGGGGACAAACCACAAAAGGGCTGGAGGGTGGCACCTAGGGCCAAATGGAGGTGGGAGCTGGCTTTTCTGCACTGAGGGAGACGATGCACGGGATGGGGATAAGAGGGGATGGAGAGATCAGGAGGCGGGATGAGCGGCAGGCAGCGAGGTTAGGGAGAGAGAAATGCAGATGTTTCTTGTCTGCTGTGGCCTGGAGGAAGGAAAGTTGTTACAGAGGAAGGGGAGAGCATGACGCACTTTTTCAATTATCTCTTGAAAGAAAATCAGTGAGACCCTGTCGAGCGGCGATGCTCAGACCTCAGCGACTCAGGAGCCAAAGTAGCAGCCAGCATTACCCAAAAGAGCCACAGCCAAGTGAAGTCATTGTTTCATTTACTATAGTGCTGTAGGGTCATATTTAAACAGTATGACTGGGAAATACTTTACATTTTGTATATATTCTCCTCCTTGTGCGTCCGGGGACAGAATAGGCCCACTGCTCCTCCTGCATGGCGTAAGAGGGGACTAAAAGGGGGCTGCCTGAGAGGGATGGGCTCCGCCAGGTTAGAAATTTGCCCAAGACACATCATATGATGAGCAAGTCAACCATGTCCATACCAGATTGATCGCAGCCCATCTTAATAATGACCACGCCGTCCGTCTCCCACCAGGGCAGATGCGACCAGTATACTACTGGTGTAACCCCAACAAAGAGGATCCATGGAAGAGATATCACCACCACAGCCACATGGAGAGTAAGGACGTTGAAACAAATAGGGAGGTTTAAAGAACTCACGTACGAAATGGAACAATACACCTGGCACCTCCTAGGAATCTGAGGTCAGATGGAAGAACTTCGGAGAGGCACTAGAGGAAGAAGGCCATGTACTCTATTATAGTGGAGAGGACAAACATGTCAACAGCGTAGGATTTCTTGTGCATAAAGATATCAAGAATGCTGCCCAATGCCCAGCAGGCTTATTTCCATCCATCTAAAGGCAGTACCGTTTAATGTCACAATGGTACAAGTCTACGTTCCTACAACAGACTATGATGATGAGCAAATTGTAAAAATCTTCAATCAGCTCCAAGACATCATCGATAAGGTACACAAGAAAGATATCCTGATTGTACAAGGAGATTGGAATGCTAACGTGGGTACTGACACACAGGCAGATTGGCAAGATTATTGTGGCCCTTTCTGTAATGCAGTAACCAATGAGAGAGGATTAAGACTTTTGGAGTTTGCCAGCTATAACAATCTGGTTCTTGCAAACACATTAGGAGCACATAAAGCACCCAAAAGATTAACGTAACATGCACCTAATGGTCTACATCACAGCCAGATCAACTACATCATGGTTCAAAACTGATTTCGTTCTGGGATTAACAGAGCTAAAACAAGGAGCTTTCCTGGTGCTGATATTGGAAGCAATCATAACCTTGTGATGCTAAATTTTTGACTGTGGCTAAGGAAAATTGTCAGGCCAAAGTTCACCAGAACTAAAAGCGGCAAAGAGTGCTGTGGTACCTTATAGACTAACAGACATATTGGAGTTCCTCTCCACATGGCTAAATGCAGTGCCTTGCATGGTGTCAAGTATCAGACGGGTAGCCGTGTTAGTCTGGATCTGCAAAAGCAGATCCAGAACTAAGTTTGACTTAGAATGACTCAGAGACCGAAACACTGCAGAGTCATTCCAAGCAATAATCAGCGGAAAATTTGTCCCACTGCTTGCTGTAGAGGATGACATAGAAACAACGACCAACCATTTCAATGCTGTAATGAATGAGGCAGCAATGGACATCCTTGGGAAACATCGTAAGACGACAAAACCACGGGTCACAAATGAAATATTACAAATGTGTGACATCAGAAGAGAACTTGAGAGACAAGAACAGCACTGAAGGAGCTGATAAATACAAAGCAATTGGCAGAAAGATCAATAAAGGAATGAAGGTGGCCAAGGAGATATGGATTGAAAAACGATGCCCTAAAATTGAAGAGTGTATCAATAATAAAAATAGCAAACGAGCCTTTCAGAACCACCAGACAAATGAAGATCCTAGTGTCTTAGACAGCCCAGATTCAACAGAGGTGGATGACTTTCCAGTACTACATGAAGAAGTGGAGACAGCTGTGAAATCACTCAAGAACGGAAAGGGTACAGGTATTGACAACATCCCAGCTGAACTGATGAAATTCGAAGGAGAAATAGCAATAGATGTACTCACCAAGATCTGCAACAAGATCTGGCAGACCGGTGAGTGGCCCTCCATGTGGACACAGTCACTAATCACCACTCTGCCAAAAAAAGGCAACCTGCAATTGTGTCAAAATTACTGGACCATAAGCTTAATTAGCCATCCCAACAAAGTGATGTTGAAAGTCATATTGAACAGATTGAAGCCGCAAGTGGAGAATATCATCGCTGAAGAACAGGCTGGCTTTCGTGCTGGAAGAAGTACCACAGAACAGATTTTCAACCTTCTTGTTCTATGTGAGAAGCTCTTACAACACCAGCAGGACATCTGCCACGTCTTTGTTGACTTCAAGAAGGCGTTTGACAGAGTATGGTACGAAGCTCTCTGGGCAACCACGAAGAGGTACAATGTTGGTCGTAAGCTTATTCTTACCATTAAACAACTGTATGCCGAAGCAGTGCAGTTCTTGTCAATGGCACAATAGGAGAGTGGTTTCGCACCACTGTTGGAGTCCGGCAAGGCTGCCTTCTTTCGCCCACACTGTTCAACACCTACTTGGAGCACATGATGATTGATGCCCTAGAAGATCACACACGCAGAGTCAGCATTGGGGGGCGAACAACCCCAAATCTTCGGTTCACTGATGACACTGATGGCCTGGTAGGCAGCGAAGATGAACTTGCCAACTTTGTGAAATGTTTGGATGAAAGCCTCCACAAAATATGGCATGGAAATCAGTGCAGAGAAAACCAAGCCGATGACAAACAAACATGATGGGATCAGCTCACGTATCACTGTCTGTGGACAAGAGCTGGAGACAGTGAAACAGTTCAAGTATTTGGGGGCAATCATCACTGATGAAGGATCCAAGGCAGAAATTGGGGCAAGAACTGCGCAAACAGCAGCAACAGTGGCAAAGCTAAAGCCAATTTGGAGGAATAAAAACATCTCCCTGGAATCCAAACTGAAACTGCTGCACGCATTGGTCATCTCCATTTTTCTATGCGTGCAAGACATGGATCCTTCCAGCAAAACTTGAACAGAAAATACAGGTAGTAGAGATGAGATACTTCCGTAAAATCCCGGGCATCTCCTACTTCGACCACATCACTAATGAAGAGGTCTGCAACATCATCACCCAATGCGCTGTGTCATATGAAGACCTCCTGACGACTGTGAAGAAGCACAAGCTGAAGTGGTACGGCCATGTAACAAGATCATCTGGCCTATCCAAGATCCTCCTCCAAGGGATGGTATGGGGAAGAGAAGAAGAGGTAGCGAGAAGAAGAGATGGATTGACAACATAAAAGAATGGACAGGAAGGGACTTCGCAGAGACTCAAGCACTGACACACGATCGTCAGGGATGGAGACAATTGGTTGATTGCTCATCAGTGATGGTGCCCCAACGACCAATGTGGTTATGGGAGTGATGATGATGATGATGATATTATTCTCACAGCAAAGTGACTGACCTAGTATGTTATTTTACCAATTACAATTGGTTAATAACATAGGAAAAGCAGCTTGATTTATTTATTAACCAATCACACGTGTTCTAATATCATGTGTTGCAAGGAGTAGACACATTAAAGCGCACTTGTGGCTCGAGTGCCACAGCCCGAGCATCACTGCGTTGAGAGGGGGAAACGCTTCTGCTGCCACCACTCCTCGGGAGAGAGCCAAAGGTCGCAAAAAGCGAGCAGGGACTCAGGACTGAATTAAGCTGGAGAAGGAGAGCTGTTTAGTTGGGAAGAGTATAACCAGGAGGGACAGGACAGAATAGGCTGAATACCAGGAAATCTTAACCGGGCAGGGAGCACATTAAGCTGTGAATCCATCCTCCAGGGAAGTAGGGGCTGCATTCATGGGCACCCAGTACAAGAGGTACCCCTGGCCCGGCCTTGCGGGGGAGAGGGGCCTGAACAGCGCTTCCCCAACTCTCATTCCCACCTTCACTGACTGGTGGGTAGATCCCGCTGCCCAATGGTGCCAGGCTTACCTTGCCACACAACACAGGGCCAGTGGCTCCAGAGTGGGCAAGGCTTTCAGAACAGCTGAGCTCCCACAGGCTTGCTTGAGAACAGTGGAGATGCTGGAACTGAGCTTGCCTGAAAGCCTGGCCCCCGGCTGTACAAAGGAGAGCCGGCTGTGGGGACCTTGGTGACAGAGAGCCTCCAGGACTGTTCTAGTTCCCTTACCACCCCCCAGCCACTGGTGGACCATCGCTAGCTGCAGTGTCAACACGAAACTGCACAAACGGAATGCGTCCCCTTGCTGTGCTGCCCTCCAAGACCACCTCTATTCCCTTTTGCTTCCGGAGGGATGGTCACCCAGGTTAAATGAGTCGAGGTTCCTGGGCTGTTAGTGCACCAGATCAGGAGGTGCCAAGGGAACATGACTCGCAGACAGGTAGCTGCAATCTCTAGCTAAGGGATTTAGTGCTCAAAGAGGTTCAGAAGGGTCCTGAGAGCAGACCTCCTGGAGCATCAAGGGAGCTCCCCATGGTTTGGTCTGTAACCCTTCCTACATTCAGCTGTCCATCTAGGTGTGCAGCCCACCCTCAGGACCATAGAATCTGAGCACCTGCTCCTAAGAGGGATTCTCTTTGCAAAGAAGTTGAGACACCCACGATGTCCAGTCAAGGAAAAGGGAATGGAGACAGACAGCAGCTCTTCCTCACCCAGAACTGCTCCGCAAGCCAGAGAAAAGGATTTCTTCCCCCTCCCCAAGACCTCAGGCTGCCTGCTGGCTTTCATAAGCCCAGCCCGCCTCTTCACCAGCTGAGCCACAGGCTGGGTGACCTGTGGGAGCAGCGCAGGAGGCTGTCAGACAGTAAGAGCGAGCTGTCAGAGCTCCAGAACGAGCTGTTGAGAACTTCGTCTTGCTGGCAGTAGGCTCTGCCCCGGTTCTGTCCATCATGCCAGAGCAGAAATAGATTCTTGACTCACCTTCAGCAGCCTTGGTGTCCAAAGCCAGGGACACCCACTCCTTGTTCTGGCATAGCTGGCTGATGTACTCGAAAGTTAGCATGGTGCTAACGCAGGCCAGATCCCTGGGGTACAGCTGCAAAAGGGACACAGGCTCAGTCTCGAACAAGCCTCAAGCGGAAGACGACCCAGGGCAGAGGAAGTCTGAAGACAGGAGACTTCATCCCAACCCTCCTGATCTCCCTTGTATCCACTCTCATCCCCTCCTTAACCTGTCTCTCTCCTCTGGCTCTTTCACTTACAATACTGTCATGTTTTAGTCTCTCTCATCTTGGAAGTCCACCTTTGACTCCACTTGCCACTCCAACTATTACCCCATCTTCCTTCCATCACTGAAGGCACTATCTATAAATCGCTGACTGAGTTCCTCTCCTCCAATTCCAGCCTAGACCCTCCAGTACAGCTTCTGCCCCTTGCACTCCAGGAAACCGTTTTTGATGAGGACTCTGTGACCTCCCCCTAACCAAAGCTTAGAACGAGTGCTCCGTCCTCACCCTCCTTGACCTATCAGCCACGCTCCTCTTGAACCGTTGGCCTCCCTTGGCTTCAGTGACTGTCCTCTCCTAACTCTCTAATCTCACCATCAGTGTGTCCTTACAAGTCCTGCACCTTCCGGGGGGGGGGGGGCGTCCACAGGGCTCTGTCCTTGGTCCCCTTCTCTTCGCCCTCGACACCTTATCTCTGGGTAATTTCATCCACCTACACAAATTCAACAGCCATCTCTATGCTGATGACTCTCAGATCTATTTCTGCTCCAGACCGGTCTCCTTCTCTCTGTTGACCAGTATGTGCTGGCTAGCATATACACACACCCCTATCTCATATTATTACTAGGTATTATCCACACCATATATATATTAGTATCCATTAAACACAAATATTATAGCAATTGCATAGCCTAAATTGGCCTAATCTTAACTAGACTCCTGTTCACTTACATTAAGAATTCAACCGTGATTTCAACAATTTCCACCCCACAATCAACCTCAGCCTGGACCAGTCCACACAAGAGATCCACTTCCTGGACACTACAGTGCTAATAAGCAATGGTCACATAACCATCACCCTATACCAGAAACCTACTGACCGCTATACTTACCTACATGCCTCCAGCTTTCATCCAGACCACACCACGCGATCTATTGTCTACAACCAAGCTCTACAATACAATCGCATTTGCTCCAACCCCTCAGACAGAGACAAACACCTACAAGATCTCTATCAAGCGTTCTTACAACTACAATACCCACCTGCTGAAGCGAAGAAACAGATTGACAGAGCCAGAAGTCACCTACTACAGGACAGACCCAACAAAGAAAATAACAGAACGCCACTAGCCATCACCTTCAGCCCCCAACTAAAACCTCTCCAACGCATCATCAAGGATCTACAAACTATCCTGAAGGATGACCCATCACTCTCACAGATCTTGGGAGACACGCCAGTCCTTGCCTTCAGACAGCCTCCCAACCTGAAGCAAATACTCAATAGCAACCACACAACAAAAACACTAACCCAGGAACCTATCCTTGCAACAAAGCCCATTGCCAACTCTGTCCACATCTCTATTCAGGGGACACCATCTTAGGGCCTAATCACATCAGCCACACTGTCAGAGGCTCGTTCACCTGCACATCTACCAATGTGATATATGCCGTCATGTGCCAGCAATGCCCCTCTGCCATGTACATTGGCCAAACTGGACAGTCTCTATGTAAAAGAATAAATGGACACAAATCAGATGTCAAGAATTATAACATTCAAAAACCAGTCGGAGAACACTTCAGTCTCTCTGGTCACTCGATTACAGACCTAAAAGCGGCAATTCTTCAACAACAAAACTTCAAAAACAGACTCCAACGAGAGACTGCTGAATTGGAATTAATTTGCAAACTGGACACCATTACATTAGGCTTGAATAAAGACTGGGAGTGGATGGGTCATTACACAAAGTAAAACTATTTCCCCATGTTTCCCCCACTGTTCCTCAGATGTTCTTGTCAACTGCTGGAAATGGCCCACCCTGATCATCACGACAAAAGGTTTTTTTTTCCCCCCTCTCCTGCTGGTAATTTTTTCCCTCACCTCACCTGATCACTCTAGTTACAGCGTGTATGGTAACACCCACTGTTTCATGTTCTCTGTGTATATAAAATCTCCCCACCGTATTTTCCACTGCAGGCATCTGATGAAGTGAGCTGTAGCTCACAAAAGCTTATGCTCAAAAAAATTTGTTAGTCTCTAAGGTGCCACAAGTACTCCTGTCTTATTAAGGATCCCATGACACCTTGCATTAGCTGAAGTAGATAGGAAAACTGTCAGGATCAAGACATAGGGGTGTTTTACCACAGCAACAAATAGGGAGCTACTCTCACAGGCTAGTACTGGAATGTCCCAAAGGAAGAGGATCAAATATCGGATCGTTCTTCCGTGGTACAAGCCTAGGAAGGTACCTTCAGGACCAGGATCTGGATTGCTAGGTTCCAGAATAACGATAAGGAAAGGACTTACAAACAGGGACAAACGATGGGTGCATTACAGTGACATAAGCAAACGTGTAACTTGGAAAGTCACCCTATGAACACTACCAGCTGAAGTGCATAGTTTTGGGAGCACACCTTCTGCATAAAGTGAACGTAAATGGCTCCTGAAGACTGGTATTGCATAGAACCTTTCCCCTTGTATATTATTACTGGCTCATAGCTAAGGCTAAGTTTTTGTCACGGATATTTTTAGTACAAGTCACGGACAGGTCATGGGCAATAATGAAAAATTTATGGAACCCCGTGACCTGTCCCTGACTTTTAGTAAAACGACCCATGACAAAATGGGTAGCCTGAGCAGCTCAGGGGGAGGCGGAGGGCTGGGATCTCCAGGGTCCCCCTCTGGTGACAGTTCCAAGTTGCGGTTACCCAGAGCTCTGGGGTCCCCCCTGCCAGCCAGCACTGGCTGATGCCACAGAGGTCTTTGGAAGTCACAGATTCCGTGACCTCAGTGACTAAGCCTTACTCATAGCAATAAACCTGAATGACATTGGCTATTTGGTCTCTGAGTATCTTTCATAGTGAACCAAAGTGTGGTCAAGCAATTGTCCATACAATTTATCAACACGTCCAAACTAAAATCTTGGCCTGCCTCTCTGACATCTCATGGATGACTAGCCATCAGCTTCAGCTCAACCTGTCTAAAAAGCAGAGCTCTTAATCGCCCTCCTGCACCTCCTTTCTCAGTCACTGCGTACACCACCATCATCCTGCCCGTCACTCGGTCGTCGTCACTTTTGACTAAGACTCTCTTTAGGTCCTCACATCCGGCTATCTGTCTCTCCAATTCTTTCTCCACAGCATCTGTAAAATAGGGCCTTTACCAGACACTCATGCACCTAAAACACTCATCCAGGTGCTACTCACTTCACATCTCAATCACGGCAACATTCTCCTCCTGGCCATAACCAATGCAGCCTTCCCCGCTCGTACCCATTCAGAGTGCTGCCATAGAGATCATTTTCTTACCCTGTTTTGACCAAACTCCTTTCTTTGCAACCCTTCACCAGCTGCCCTTGCTCTACTGCATCAAATGTAAGCTACTTGCTTTCACTTTCTCTCTCTCGTTCATGATTGTGGTGTCCACTCCTGCCTCTCACCATCCCGTGAGGCCAGCCTCCCTCACCCACTCGGCACATGTTCAAACAAACACCTTTGTGCCTTTCTCCCATGCTGCCCCTCACACCCGGGAGGAGCATCCCATAAACATCTGCAAAGCTGCCTCACTACCCTCCTTCAAATCTCCCTTGATGATTTATCCTCACGCCTAGTCACGGGCTGTGCTAAGCAGTGCACAGACAGAACAAAGACAGCCCCTGTGCCAGAAAGCTTCTAGTCGGAGCATAAGAGAGAGATGAGTACAGGCAGACTGGGGAGCACACAGAGAAAGTGAAACCCTATTGGTCACCATGATGGGCAGTGAGTTCAGCACACCAGGAGTCAGTTGTCATAGTTCTGTGGGTATCCCAGCAAAGGAGAGTTTTGAAAAGGACCACCACGTAACTTTGACCTCCCCAGGTCTCCTTGGCCATGATGCCCAGAAAAGACCTGACAACAGCAAGGCCGCGCGTGTGCTGAGACCAGAGCCCGTCCTGCTGAGCAATACTGTCCCATTGTTTCCCTGCACTTCGCTGTCAGTCTGACTCATCTAAGGTCCCACGCTTAGAAGATTTTGGTCTGTATTTGCATGGAGCCTGACCCAATGGGGGCCTGGCACGTGACTGGGCTCACCATCCCCACCCGCCCTTGGAGACTCACGGCTTTGGGGATCTTCTGGTAGGGCAGCCCTTGGAGATACCTCCAGTTCTCAGCAGTGCTGCGGATGTGGCCACTCTGTGGTTCCACCCAGCACTCAGTGACCAGGTTCAGCTCGGTATCCACTTCAATGGTCTCCACCTCTGTGTCATTGTCGTCATCTGTAGAGAAGCTGGAGAACAGCGTACGTGGGGTGAGCGTCCTGCACAACCAGGTGTTTGCTCAGGCCTCTCCACCGTACTGCACCAAGGGCTGCCCGGGCTCCAGACACCCCCCAGGCAGCACCACTCGCCTACCCCTGCAGCACCTCCAGCCTCCAGAGAGTGGGCATCAATGGCTAGCCCACCCCTGCAGCAGGCCATGCCCAGCAAGGCACAAGGGCACTGCAGCTCCAAGCAGTCACAAGCCCAACAGCTCCAAGCAGTCACAGCCCAACAGCTGCCAAGGGTGCGCTAGGGGTCTGGAACACATGAGTTATGAGGAGAGGCTGAGGGAGCTGGGATTGTTTAGCCTGCAGAAGAGAAGAATGAGGGGGGATTTGATAGCTGTTTTCAACTACCTGAAAGGGGGTTCCAAAGAGGATGGCTCTAGACTGTTCTCAATGGTATCAGATGACAGAACGAGGAGTAATGGTCTCAAGCTGCAGTGGGGGAGGTTTAGATTGGATATTAGGAAAAACTTTTTCACTATGAGGGTGGTGAAACACTGGAATGCGTTACCTAGGGAGGTGGTAGAATCTCCTTCCTTAGAGGTTTTTAAGGTCAGGCTTGACAAAGCCCTGGCTGGGATGATTTAACTGGGAATTGGTCCTGCTTTGAGCAGGGGGTTGGACTAGATGACCTTCTGGGGTCCCTTCCAACCCTTATATTCTATGATTCTATGATTCTAGGTATGGCCCTCCCCATCCCCACACGCTGCTGGACAGGCCCGAGGCCAAGAGCCAGAGGGGCTGGCCCTCAGTGCTACCTGGGAGGCTGATCCCCGACCTCACCTGTCCTTGGTGGAGGTGGAGTGCGGCGGGAAGAGGACATACTGGACGATGCAAGTGTGCTTCTCTCTGCCGCTGCTGTCACCACTGGAGGAGTCACTCTGCGGCCAAGATGCTGCATGAGCCTGACTGGCAACAACAGCACCAATGTGTGCCTACCCCCTGCCTCCACCAAACCCTTCTGCCCCATCACTGTGCCCCGAAACACAGCCCACTGCTGGACCGGCACCAACAGCACCAATGCGTGCCTACCCAGTGCCTCCACCAAACCTCTCTGCCCCATCACTGTGCCCCGAAACACAACCCACTGCCATATCAGTCTCCTGTCACCACTCCCCAAATCCTTCTGACCCACTTCCTCATGCCCCCTGCAACAGCCCACCCACAAGTCCCTCTGCTCCCAACCCCATACCCTCAAATCCCCTGCGACACAGCCTACCACACCCCTCTGCCCCCATCCCCACACCTCCCCCAACACAGCACACCCCAAATTCCCCCACCTCCCCCAACACACCTCACCCCCCATGGCAGGGAAGTGGAGAGGGAGCCTGCACCTTTACAGTAGAGAGCCCCCCCAGGGCTCCATGGGACCTTTCAGCCCCAGGGCTGGGGAGACGACAGAAGCCACTGAGCCCCAGAGAAGTGAATGGGTCTCCCCACACTCGTTCCCATGGTGTCTCAGAGAGTGTGTCCCCTTGGAGGGGCTGGGTGGGGCAGGGACAGGACTCACCTGTATGGGCAGCTCCAGCACCATATTGATAATTCCGTCTCCACTGGATGCAAAATGGAAACCCTCTGACAAACGGATCCTGGGCAGCACCAGAGAAAAGCACTGGGAGATGAGTAACTCCTCCGCTCCGCTCTCCCTCCGACCACGACCACAGGAGCCCCTCAGCCACAGGAACTCCCCAGGGCCCCCCTGCAGGGACTGGGTCTGAGCCAGCCCCGACACACCGGGAGTAGCTTGGCATGTTACACAGACACGGCCCAGACAGAAGCAGAGGCCAGGCCATGGTGCCATGCTCCAGGAGACGCCTCCTGCGCCCTCACGCCAGGGAACTCACTCCCCCTTAGCTGGTGGCAGCAGGACTCGGTGAACCCTCCAGGCCCAGTGGTTCTGGCAGCTGCTCACAGAATCAGAGCCGTGCTGAGATGGGTTATGGGAGCCCAGACCAGCCTCAGACCATCCGGCCCTGCCCTGGGGTCTGCACCTTCGGAAAGGGCAGCTCCCCGCCAGCCAGCTCCCTGCCCCGCTCAGTCATGACACTTACTCGGTGAGCGTGGACAGGAGCTGGGCTACAGCTGCGATGGGCACGGCTGGGACGAGCCCCGACTGGATGCACCAGATCCAGCGCTGGTGGTAGAAGTAGCGGGAGAGCGAAGCCAGAGTGGAGGAGGCAGTACGGTTGGCTACCATGGTGAGGGGGCCGGACACAGGGGGGTGCTCCAGGGTGAGGATGAAGGGAGCCCGGTAGTCGGAAGGCAGCTTCTCATACCTAGAAGGGTGGAAGGGAGAACGACCAGCCAAGAGGGAAGCGTCCCCAGACAAGGCCTGCACTTCTGGCTGAGTGGCCTGATCCTGGATCTAACTCCTCGGGGGCAGCAGCAGGAAGGCTAGGACCTGCTCCACTTCGGTGATCCTCTCTTCCCCTGAGCTCTGGCCAGGTTCGAATTCTCCAGCGCAGCACTGATTCTGAGCCCTGCGACTCACAGCCACTCCTAGGCCATGGCCACAGCTCTGTCAGGGAACATGCCTGCTGAACCCACCCCAAGGGCACAGGCTCCCCAGCCGCACCAGCCTTCCACGGGCCCCTCCTCAGGTGCAGGGCTAATCCTCAGCGCTTCCCCTCCCGCTCGACTACTAAGCAAGAGGAGCCCTGGAAGCCTGATGCCCCTCTGCCCCACCAGCCCACCGCCACTACCTGATCAGGAGCTTCTCCAGCGGCTTGTGCAGCACGACAAGGCAGGGCCTGTCCGAGAGGGCTGGTGGGGCCCCAGCCACGGGTGGGGACTTCGAGGGAGAGCAGCTGCCAAAAGTTTTCCTCTTCACTTTGGGAGTCGCCTCTTTGCTCTGGACCCTGTGGGGGAAGCGCAGCTGCAGGATCCGGTCCTGTAACTCCTCCACTATCTGCAGGACACAGGCAAAAGGAACCCTGAGCAGCTCTATTTAGGGATCACAGGGGGTCTACAGTGCAGACTACACCCAGGTTCCGACTGCCATTCGAGCCCAAGCCCCCTTTCCATCCACGAACAGATCAGGCGGACCCAGGTCGGCAGGCACTCGGAGCCTGGGGCCTAGACCTGCTAGGGGAGAGAGTCAGACCTGGAGTCAGCCACAGCGCGGGCTGAAGCCCATGTGTTCTGCAGCACGGCTGCAAGTCAAGCCACAATCAGAAGGGCTGCCGCAGCACGGTGTGGATTTGTTCGCCCATCTGAGGGAGCCAGGCCCAGCCAGGGCAAACCCAGAGGTACAATGAAGCATGGACGCTCAAGCAGGGCTTGGAAACACAGGGCTTGGGTCCTGCAGACTTGGGCTTAGCTACGTCCTTGCTGCCTGTTGTAGAGACAAGCAACTCGAGGTGAGCAGCTAGTGCAGTGCCTTGGCGGAGGGCGAACGTGGTCCTGGGATGTACAGACAGGAGCAACAAACAGGGAGGTGATATTACTTCTGCATGTGACATTGGTGAGGCTTATACTAGAATACAGAATCCCGTTCTGGGTCCACATTTTAAAATGGACATTGAAGATTGGAGAGGGGGCAGAAAAGAGCCACAAATTGCTCTTAGGGCTGGAGAAATGCTTTATAGTGACAGGCTTAAAGAGCTCAAGCTGTTCAACTATCAAAGAGAAGACTGCAAGGTGACTGGATTGCAGTGACAAGTACTTTCCAGGAGAGAAAACACCCAGTACCAAACGGCTTTTTAACTTGGGACAGGAACCACCAATGGCTGGTGGCTGAAGCCAGACAAATAAGGCAGAATTGTTTTTCGATCCATGAGGGTGACTAACCCCTGGAACAGTCTGCTGAGGGAGGAGATGGACTCTCCAGCTGAAGGCCTTTCTGCAAGAGATGCTTTAGCCAAACAAGTTACTGGGCTCAGCACAGGGGTGGCTGGATGAAGTGTAATGGTCTGTGTCACACAAGATGAGCACAATGGTCCTTTCTGGCCTTAAACTCTATGAATCAACCGCCCCTTCCCCACTCCTGATCAACAAACAGCTCTGCTCTGTGGAGAGAGGCACCAGGGGAACTACTCCCTACTCTTGCCCCATTCTGGGTCTGCAGGAACCCCATTACACAGGCACTGCCAGATGGGTCCAGACCAAAGATCTGCCTAGCTCAGTGTCCTGGCTCCAACAGCTGCAGACAAGGTACAAAAACCCCGCTGCAGCATGTGGATAATCTGCCCCCATACTAGTCTCCTCCTGATTTCTAATAGTTACAGGTTGGGTTAAGCCCCAAAGTGCAAGGTTTTCATCCCTTCCAATATTCTTTTTTAGGGTATTCTGTACCCATGTAAAGGCCCTACCTCACTTTGAATCTTGTTCTCACCTCAGCAACTTGCTGTGACTTCCACTGTCAAATTTCCTTTTATGTTTTCAATTTGCCACTTTTCTTCCTCATTGAATGTGCCTTATCCTGGTGTTAGGAGACTAAACAGCACTCCCAACTGCCCTTCTCTAGTTCACTCCTTTCAGAGACTTTTATTAAGTCACCTGCTGCGCTGTCTGGTCTGCCACATCTGCAGTGAGTTTCACTTCTCTCTGCCTCCTTTCCTTTCCAGACCACTAAAGAACACAGGACCTAGTACAGATCCTGGGGCGCCACAATGAAAACTGAACATATCATCCCACTGTTTCCTGTCTCCTTCACAGATCCTGATCCCTCACTTTGCCTCTCAGCCCATGACATCTTAGCTTCTTAGTAGCCTCTTGCCAGGGACTTTGTCAAAATCTAAATTATGTTAACTAGTTTGCTCTTCTATCCACTACTTTATTAACACTCGAATTCTAATAGCGCAGTGAGTCATGGTTTTCCTCTGCACAAATCAAGCTAGTTAGATCAAATCATATAATCTTCAGGTGTTTTATTATACTATTTTTAATAATCATTTTGACTTGTTTAGCAGGCACAGATGTGAGGCTTATTGGTCTGCAATTCCCTGGATCACCCTTGGAGCCTCTTTAAAATACAGATGCAATATCTTGCCACCTTCCAAATCTCTGCTAAAGCAGCTGCATTTTAAATTCATTTGTCCCAAATCCCAAAAAGCTGCCTGGTCAAGGTGTCAGCTCTGTAAATACGTCCACCTGCTTCTTCTCCATGCCTGCCCCACACGCCTCGCAGGCTGCTCACTTTGTTCCCACTGCCCCACAGCGTTCTCCCTCAGACTCACCTGGTTCCTGGCCTGGGCAGGCGTCCCAATGGGGAACCCTAGCCGGAGAACCATGCAGGGAGCTTTGGAGATGATCCGCACCACATAGAATGAGGAAGGAGCTGGATCCTCAGAGCTGGAAGAGGAGTTAGTCACTGACTGGGCAGCAGGGAGAATGGTCTAACCAGGCAGCCTGGCCTTGGCAGAGCTCTTGCTGCTCTGGAGCCCAATGCAGAGTGGATGCTCCTTCCCCAGCTGCGAGGTCAGAGAGTTTCCTGCTATGGGCGAGCTGCAAGCTGGGTTTGGAGTCATTCAGAGATTTCCACTGCAAATGGGCAGCAGAGACAGAACCAGCGCTGGGGTCAGCCAGGAGGAGCCAAGCAGGCCCTGCTAGCAGGGATCAGCCTGGACTATTTCCATTGCACAGCACAAGAGGAGTGCAGACAGCTGCTGAGTCAGATGCACTCCAGGGCCCCAACAAGAGAAGACAGAGTACTGCCATGGGGGTTACAGCTGAAAGGCTTCCTGGCAAGAGGAGGGGCTGTCTTATGCAGACGGGGCAGAAAAGGGGCCAGGAGCAGAGAGGGGAAGAGGGCTCTGGCAGCGCACGGAAGGTGGGGAATGTGGCACACCTGAATGGCAGTTCCAACAGCGCATCAGCCATGGTGTTAGTGTGCAAAAGGAACCCTGACTCCTTCCCCACCCCTGCCAGGCTCTATGGAGCACGGCGGAAGCAGCACCCTGCAGTACAAGGAGCCTCTCACCTGGGCATCAGTTTGACATAGGAGTAGCCTTCCACCAGCACAAAGCTGCTCCAGTCCCGCAGCAGGGAGGTGAGCGCTGAGTGGGAGATGCGGCACTGGATGGTGCTGTACCGGCCATTGTTGCCTGGTGTGTGCAGGTGCTTTGGGACGGGTCTGTGGAACACACCAGCGAGTCACTAGCCCAGCCCTCCTGTCTGCTCCCAGCATGGCCCAAGAAGGGCCCCTGCAGAGCCCCTGGCCCACTCACCTTCCCTCACGAGCCTGGGCAGGATCAACCTGCCCCCACCCCATACACACATACAAAATGGCTGCCACAAACTCCTCTCCTGCTGTGCTGTCTGGCTCTGCCACCTCTAAGGGAGTTCCACTGTCACAGGAATCCTGCTCTCCCCCTAGGCTGATCTGCTACCTCTCCCTCTGTACAACGGAGATAGCATTACCTACCTGCTTCCCAGGGACCTAAGGGGTAAACCTTTGATCAGGGCTGGGGATTAGCCACACTGATCCTAACAGGGCGCCCTCCCCTCCTTGGCTTCAGATGATCTCAGGGTGGGCAGCAAGCCAGCTGTTGACTGCACTGTGTCCATATGAGCCAATGGAGCTTCGCAGTCACCTGCCATAATGTCAGGACATCCAGAGTGAGATTCCCAACTGGCCCCGCTCCTGGAGGCTCCAGCTCTCCAGAGGTTCCTGGCCCTGGGCTCTGCCTGGGGCGGGAATCAGAGCAGACTCCTGCAGTGTTTTACGGAAATGAGGGCCATTGTGAACTGGCAGCCCCTTTCTCAGCAGGACACAACAGGCTGTACCTGTCCTTTGATACCCCTGGAAGAGGCCACAGCCCCACTATACTGAGCCCTGGGCTACACCAGAGTTAGGTTGACGTAAGGCAGCTTATGCTGCCCTAACTATGTAAGCATCTACACTAAAATGTCGCTCCCGCTGACGTAACTCGCCCACTACGTGACTTAACTCCACCTCCGCAAGAGGCTTAGGTCAGCGTAGTTAGGTCGACCCAGTGTCAGCGTAGACACTGCCTTGCTTACATCAACCATTGCTGCCTTTCAGAAGCCGTCCTGTGATGCCCCACACTGACTGTACAATCGGTGCAAGTGCTCCTGGGGAGGAGACGCACCACTGACACACGGAGAGTAGGGTGGACATGCACAAGTGATTCAATTCCGGCGGCGCTGTACATCCATATAACTTAGGTTGACATAATTTTGTCGTGCAGACACACCCAGAGCTTCCCCAGCCCGCAGGGAGGCCTACTGAGCCACAGGGTGAAATTCCAACTGGGAGGCCCACAGGAGACCCTGCAATCAGATTCTCCGGCAGACACAAACCCCAAGGGCACCCAACACTCCCAGGAGCTGCCTTTCTTCTCCCCTCCCCCTCCAGCCAGGATGCCTTCCCAGCCTGCAGAGGGTTAATGCACAAACAGCAGGGTCTCCTCCGGCTAGTGGGCCTTCCCATGCCTGAGAGCCAAGCCTATTCTACCTGCGCTGTGCAGCAAGCAGCCACCTTCCAGGGCCCTCCTGTGCACTGAGTAATCCTGCGTAGCCCCCTTCCGTCAGCGAGGCAGCTCCTGCAGGCTCTGGCTGCAGAGCCAGGCTCCCGCTGTCCCTAGGGCTGCTTTCCTACCCACTGCGACTCATCCAGGTCATGGCTGCCCTAGCCCCACCACGGACGTACGTGTCATGCTCCAGCATGAGGACAATCCGATGCATGTGCAGCCACCGCTGCCAGAAATTAGCATCCATGGAGAGAATGGGCTTCCAGTAGGAGGCAAACTGCGAATGGCTGCAGTCAGAGCCGCTGTGCTGCAGGGACAGCACCTGAGAGACAGAGCGAAAGAGCTGGGGTTACAGAGATCAGTAGCAAGCTGTTGGTTTCCCCACGGAGAAGGTCCAAGCCTCCCCGGAGTCTGAGCCATGCAGGCACCTAGCAGGTGGGCTGAAGAGCATTACATTGTCTCTGGGGAGAAGTAATGCTTTCAGCAGCGTAACTGAGCGATGCAGCCCCTGACAGCCAGTATGGGCTTCCACACAGATGGGAAGGTATCCATAGACACACCAAGGCAGGCTGAGCCTGCGACACTCCTGCCCTCTCTAGTTGGAGTGCACCTGGAGCACACACTGCATGCTTGCTGGAGAACACTCTGCACATTGCCTAGAATGGGAAGCCTGCTATTCACCCCAGAGACTTTCCAGGAGCAGCAGTCTGTGGAGCAGACACCCTAAGCTGGCACCCTGGAGTGCACAATGCTCGGGAAAGGACATCAGGGAAGGGGTGGTTCACACAGCATCACGCGGAAGTGGAGCAGTGCAACTGTTAGCAAGGAGAACAGCCTGTGGGCCGTCCCTGTGCGGCACAGTTACCACAGCAGCCACCGGCATGGATCAGCCATCTGACACCAGGATTCAGAACAGAAGGGCACCTGTTCCCAGGCTCTCAGGAAAGGGGGAGGTGGCATACCGGGGTGGTGGAGCCTGGTGGGATGTAGAAAAGGGGCACTCCGTTCTTAGTGCTCTCAGGGATGGTGAAGTGCTCTGGAACGGTGTCAAAAGACTGCAGGTGAACTAGCATCTGATCGGTCTGGTTGATGCTGCAAGACAAAAGCTACTGTTAACTCTCCAGGGCGCTCCCAGCCAATCTAGCATTCAGAGCTGTGCTGTTAGGCCAGCTGGGGGCATGTCCTTGGGGGAAGGAGGATTCCCCCATGCCCGGCAAAGGACACACTAGAGGGAACCCGAAAGCAGCAGCCCACCCCCCCAGGCGAGAGAGCTCAGCGACAGCAAGGAAAGTTAGGAAAGGGCTCGGCCAAGTCCTTCCCTCACAGGTACAGCAGGCAGGGAACAACTGCGCAGAACAGGGGTAGATGCCTCTGCAGAGCTCGGGAACACTGGGCAGATGCCCACAAGTCATCTGGGATCAGCCACACACCCCACCTACCTGAGAATCACCCACAACTCTGACCTTCAGAGCAAGGCAGCATTGCAGGGTGGTGCCAACCTCACTGGGCACACATCCCCTGCTCACTGCCCAGCCCCTCCCAATGCCTGGGGTCTGGTTAGATACAGCAAACAGACCAGGGAACGAAGCGCTGTCGGCTCTGGGAATCCTACTGCCTAGGACACAAGTCAGTTCAAGTCCCTCTTCCCAATTGTGTCACCGCAACTGGCATTCCTCTTCAGGCCACCCCCACTGGGGGGCTCAGGTGAGCAGGGAAAGGGGGTGCAGAGGCACCCTGGAGCCAGCAGGTACTGGGGTCAGACTATGAGAGCGGCAGGGAATGGCCAGGCTCACCTCTGCAGCGTGTTCCAGAAGCGACGGATCACTGTAGTGCGGTACAGGCTGGTGATAGGCTTCCTCATGGTGCAGCTGATATCATGCAGGATGTCATAGCTGCCCTCCATTGTCACCTCCACCCAGGCACTGCGCTTGGAGGGGTCCAGGGGCCATCCCGCCACAGCCAGGTATTCTATCCGCATGTTGTGCTTCCACAGCAAGACCAGTTTCACCTCCAGCTGGGAGCCACCTGCGTGGGGGGAGAGCAGGGCAGTGAGGGGCTGCGGTCAAGCTCCCTCCCACGCCATGACCCAGCAGCATCACCTCTTGCCTCCAGACGCAAGCGTCACCTGACATGGGGCCCCTGAACAGGTACGATGATTCCCAGAATCCTTTGGGTGGGATGGTCCCTCTGCTCCGTGGGGTCAGGGCTGAACTCAGCACCCCCAGCCTGCCCTAAGCACAATGCACCCAGGCTCTGCTCTGACTCCCCAGCGATGGGGACTCCACAACGCCCCCCAGCAGCTTGTTCTGGCAGCTGGGTGGGCCATCCAGCTAAATGAGCCCCCTCCTACTTACCCCGGCCTTTCCCTTCAGCCATCGCGGCCTGCTCTGCACCCCACAGCACAGGAGCACAAGTGGGCCCAGGCCCACTCAAATACCACTCTGAACTGGCAGAGGCCACTCTGCCTTGTACACGTGTCTTCCTACCCCCAAACACCTTCCAATCACACGCTGAGCAAGGGGACGTGTGGTTCATTCTCTCGCGCACGCCCCCACGAGGACAGAGGTGTTTATGCAACACAGCCTTTTGCTGGGGAACTGTTTTGAAATGCACACGCTGCTGTGTGCATGTCACAGACATGCACCTGGCCTTTGGAATGAGAGGCCAGTTCCTAGGGCAGGCTCAGACCCGCCAAGCAGAGCTCTGTCTCCTGCACAAATGAGCTTTCCCCTTGTGAAGGAAGTTCCATGGTGCCAGAGGAGCAGAGTGGTCAGTCAGAGGCTTCATCCTGGAGTTTTGGGCTCTCAGACATGCTGGGCTAGGTCATGGAGCACTATGCACACTAGGACCAAGACCCTGCCCCTAACTCAGCAGTCTATAGGCAGCCAATGCGGAGTGTACGACAGATGTGGTTTGCTCACAGTATCCTGTACTGGTGAGGAGACACGCTGCGGCACTCGGTACCAGCTGGAGTTCCCTGATGGCTGACAGCCTTCATGTCACACTGGTCCCATCTCTCCCCAGACATGCCTGCCCCAAAGTGAACAAGCCAGCCTGCCCCATGGGCTGTTCTCCAAAGTCCTTCAGCTCTTTGGGGCCTGCTCCAAGCGCTCCATTCCCTCACTTGTCAGAGTGATGGCAGCGCCCAAGGAGGGCCTAGCTGGGCCAGGGGGAGCAGAACATCCATCCCACACATTAGCCTGTGGAAGCAACCCAATCGAACGGGTCATCGCACTGCCGACTCATTCACTCACTCCCCCACGAGGTCCCCAGTGCTGCACTGCTAGCAGGGCTTCTCAAACCTTTCCTCGGCGAGTGGCTGGAGATGCTAAGCCACCAAAGGAGGTAAGTCACTGGTCAGAAGCCAATCATCCCAACCAGACCTGATGCAGTGCTGCCCGCCTGAGTCTGCAGCCAGCCTCAGTTTCCCCCGCACAGCGCTACCCAGAGCAAGAGTGACATTAACTAGACTCTGGTCAGCAGCAGAGCAGCTGTCCAGAACCACACCCACAGCAGTGACACCAATGAGAAAGAGTCTGGTCAGCTGCATTCTGCTGCTGCCTAATAGCGAGGCATCCTTCTCCTTTGCGGAGCCTGTGCTGATTACACCATCAGGTCCAATTTTCCAACCATTTTATAATTCTGTTTTAAAAATTGTTGTTCCAACTAATTTACATAGTGCAATGATTCTCCTGCAGGCATCCTGTCTTTTCATATGCAAACGATTTCTTGATATTTGTGTTTGGCAGTCTGCTCTTCAAAAGTCCTGTTCTCACCCTAGTTTCCGCTGTACATTTCTCCTGCTGGAATTTATGCTTCTTTACTTAGCTTCACCAAAGCAAGATTTCCATTTTCTCTCCCTCTCTCTAGGTAGCACCAGGTACATTTATGGTGCTACTGAAATCCTGCCCATGCTATCATTTCTGCAGCCACTCACCTGGCTCTGCTGCAGCCACTGCTGTGCTGGCAGGAGTGCAGGCAGCTTAGGTAATGTAAATACAGCGCTACCTGCTGGCAGCCACTCTCTTTGCATCAAGTGCTACTATTTGCACCTTCCTAGTCTGCAGCCTTGGTTCAGTACTTGTGCCCATATCAGACCTTGCACCGATGTCACCTATGGGGCACCCCCTCACCCTGTAGCTGCTCCCCACCTCTGAACTGTGGGTATCACCATACTGTGAGACAGGATTTGCCTAGCAGGCACACAAGCACCATGCAACTGCACAGGGCAATCCTGTGCATGTGCCATGGAGAACAAGCTTCTTCCTCAAGGCCATGGTTTCCTGTCCTCACCCCACTGAGGCTGGCCAGACTAAGGCTGTGTAACTGGGAATGGAGCCCCAAGTCACAGAACGGCATGGCGCAGGCAGGTCACCTTTGGTGATGTTGACCTCCCGGATGCTGTAGCCCTCACGCAGCCGGACAGAGACTATGCTCACGAGGTCTGCATGCACCTCCTTCTCAGTGTGCTTCTTCCTCCTCATGGCCAGAGCCGGGTTGCTACTCGCGGACACCAGGTGCTCGTTGAACAGTCTGTGCTGGGACACTGCAAACAACAACAGGCACATGGGTCACGCAGCTCCTCCACTCCCCAGCCTGCAGCAGGAGCCCAAGGCACTTGGGGAGTGCAGCTGTGGGACCCCTCCCTCCCAGTGAGCAGTACTTCCCTCCAGGCTCACTCAGGAAGGGGCAGGAGAGGCCTGCTGGTGCAGAGGAGCTATGTAACAGGTGGGGGCCCAGCTTGAGCACATGATGTGACAGGCGTGATAATCAGGAGCAGCACAGCAGGGTTATGCATTTAACCAGACAGGAATGGCAAGGCCGCTGCACTAATCCAGCTGCAAGCTTCTCAGGCAGGGATCCATTTCCCCTCGTCCCTAGGGAGTCTCATGCCTACCCCAGGTGCTGTATAATGATCAGTTAGCAGGGCCCTGACAGCCTTCGCTGCAAGGTTTAACTACTAACAGCTTTTAAACAGCATCAGATGCCCACAGCACCTCCCCCTGCTTCCTTCAGGCCACACCCCCTCTGAACCACCCCCACAGACAGCAGGCACTTTCCAAGAACTGCTGATGCTTCTGAGCCTTAAGGCCAATTTTCAGTAGACGCAAACTGTCATACCCCCCCCCCCCCGGCATCCTCAGTGGCAGCACCCACATGCTGGCATTGTGGCCATTTCTCTGGGGACCATAATCTTGTAAGCCAAGTTCCCATGTGCAGACATGGTCTGGATGTGCTCTGCAGAGCGCAGCCAACCAGGTCAGCGTTCAGAGAGCCTCCATGTGCAAAGGGGCCAGTAAGCGTTTCCTCACCCTCACTGTACTCCCGTGGCAGCAGGGATTGTGCTCAGGCTTCCACACACAATCCCCTTTGGGCTCAGATCAAGTCTGGCTGGGTAAGCAAGCTGAGAGCAGGGGGCAGAAAGGCACGCTAGCACCCAACTCCCCAGCTAATGCTCCCTAAAGCACCATGCCCCAGGAAGGGAGCCACAGAGATTCCGCTCCAGCATCCAGTAGCGTTCAGAGCCTCGAGGCGGCCTAGAATTCTGCGGGCCTTGATCACATGCTCTGATCCACTGAGCAGCATGCTTGTTAAGCTGTCCTCCCCAGACCCGAGCTCTCAGGGCTGCTGGAGAAAAGAGGACCACTCCCTTGCCTAGTGTGTACTTCAGTAGGTAGGAGGGGCTGGAAAAAGGCTCTCCCCACTGCCTCCCTCACCCACTGCTATTGGCAACAACCAGGAAAGGGAAGGGGACATTGATGTATCCAGTCCCCACTGCACGAAGGAATTCCAGACCCCCCATCCGACAGAGCAGGACATATATGCTCTCCTCACCACAGTAATACTCTGGGTTCAGGGACTCCCCAGTGCGCAGGAAGGAGTACAGCAGGAAGGCCTTGTGATACACATTCAGGTCGAGGCTTAAGGGATCCAGCTCAGGGCAGGTGGACAGGTACGCACCAAAAGTTGCCATGGCAATAAATTTCATCAGTTCCACATTGGGGACGTGGCCGAAGCTGCAGTCATATGAGTAGACTCCGCCCACCTGAGAAGGAGCAGGAAAGAGATCCATGTGAGACAGAGCAAAGGAGGGGAGAGGAGAGAGACAAGCACAGGTAAGCTCCACTCCATCCTGCTCGGGGCGAGTGAGTATCAAACCCATTGACCCAAACAGGGAGAGCGCATACCAGCACACACAGCATGGTGCCTCCGCTGGGGGTCAGCGCCCCTGTCCTGGATTGGCATCCCCGTCCCCACTTCCCACCCCAGACTGGCATACCTACAGACTGGTGCAGCACCCCACCCCCACCCTCCACCTCAGACTGGCATACCAGCATACACGGTGCAGCCTGCAGTGCCCTCGCCGCCCCCACCCCAGGCATACCTGCACAAAGGAGCAGGCCACAGTGCTACTCCGCAGCTGGTTGAGCAGAGTTTCACACACAGCCACATCCGGCACGCTGGTCACACCATCTGTGATTATGATGATGCCTGGGGGTAACAAGGCACCATTTCAGAGCACCATCCCCCATCTGTGATCAGACTCCCCACCCTACGCCCCCAGGGCACTCGCTGACTCTTTGCATTACCACACCATAATGGGATCATGAAATGCTGCAACCCAGAGCTGCTGCCCTGAAGCCTGGTCCTTCCCCCACCTGAAGGGCCCAACATGACTCCTTGGGCATGCCCACCATGAGTCCAGGGCTAGAGGGATACAGACGTCCAGGCCAGGCTCCCTGAATCCCAGGAGGTGGAACTAACCTGCACTGGAGTTGGAAGGCAGCAGCTGCAGTGCTAAGATCCCCTGTCGGATCATGCTGACGAGGCCAATGTCAGCAGTGACCATGGAGACACCGGGCTTCCTTCCAGAGGGTTCCTGTGTGGCACAAGAACTCTCCTGGCTGAGGAGTGACAAATCTACCTAGCAACAAGAAACCAACGAGACGCCATCAGCCACACTCTGACCCTGTTCCACTCACTCTTTTTGCAGGTCCCCTGGAGTCTAACAGCCCCATACATTACCCCAGCCCTAGTGTGATTTACCCGGTCCTATGCTAACCTTTAATCTTCTAGCCCTTCTCAATCCCCTTAATGTGGCATTCCCCTGAGCTCTCACTTCTACTGGCCCCTGAGAATAAGGCTTCTACCTTACGGAGTTATATACCCAATATTCTGTCTGAGCAGAGCCTGGGCTTACTAGATCTCCCCATGGGGTGAGTAGAGGAGGTGATGCTGGGGCCACTAGACTTCTGCAGTCAGCACTAGGAGATGTATGGCTACACTGCAATTAGACCTGACAGCTGACTTGGACTAGTGGGGCTCAGGCTGTGGGGCTGTTTCATTGCAGTGTACACTTCTGGGTTCGGGCTGCAGCCCAAATAGGGTCCCAGAGCTCGGACTGACAACCCAGCCTGGAAGTCTACACTGCAAGGAAACAGTTGCACAGCCCAAACGCCAGTCAGCTGGCACAGGCCAGCCGCTGGTGTCAACTGCAATGTGGACAGACCCTAACTCCTTCAATCTAGTGCAAGCTGCAGCTGTGCAACATCTCTCACCGCGCAGACCGAGGTCTCTCTTGCCGGGCATCTAAGAAAGGTAGGTCTCTTTTGCCCTGTCTGGGGCACTGATCCTGGAGGCGCTCTGAGGACTCGGGTCGTAAACAGATGTGTACCTATGTGCTTAGATCTGTACAAGCAGAACAAGTCCTGTTACAAAGACTGATACAAATGCTGTCCAGTCTTTCCCGTCATTTGCCCAAAGGCTATTGTGGGTGAAAGAGGGTGTGTGGTCCTGGGGTACATAAATATTTGTCATGTAAAACCAAGAGCAGCCCTGGGCCCTTCTGGTCTGGGATGGCGTGGGACAGCTCTGCCAGCCTCATCCCATATAACTATTATTACCAGGTAAGGGTAAAAAACCTCCCCGGGCGCAATCAAAGGGCTTCTCTTGGCTGGGGAAAGATACATGATCAGCAAAAATTAAAATCCCTCAGTGCACATCAATACCCCTTTAATTCATTGAATCCAATACAGTCATCAGTGTTTGCTGGCAAGGACACAGTCAACTGAAAATCTAGGCAACTTCAAAAAATAAAAAAAAATAAATTCCAATTCTAGCGTGTCCTCTGCTCCAGATCCTCGTGCCCAAGGCCACTGCCAGTTTCCGTGGTTTTACAACCAGTCAAATAAATCCAGCTGCTTAACTGTATAACCCCAAGCTAGGGTAAATATTTCCCACATGACCCCTCCCAAATACCTCTTGGTCCTGCTTACCTACTTTGGAAACCCCTCAGTCCACTTATCTCTGCAGCCATGTGCTGTTCTCTCAGCCACTGAACAAGGCTGTTCCTCAAAAAGGACAGACTCCCAGCTGAGGCTTATACAGCATGCCCATCCTAGTACAAGCCAGCATCCTATGAGCCCCTCCCAGAGGGGCAGGGCAGGTAAGCAGCCCCAGAGAGCCTAGATCTCTCCTCCAGTCATAGAATATAGAATCATAGAATCATAGAATATAAGGGTTGGAAGGGACCCCAGAAGGTCATCTAGTAACCCTGTCAAAGCAGGACCAATTCCCAGTTAAATCATCCCAGCCAGGGCTTTGTCAAGCCTGACCTTAAAAACCTCTAAGGAAGGAGATTCTACCACCTCCCTAGTAACGCATTCCAGTGTTTCACTACCCTCTTAGTGAAAAAGTTTTTCCTAATATCCAATCTAAACCTCCCCCACTGTAACTTGAGACCATTACTCCTCGTTCTGTCATCTCCTACCATTGAGAACAGTCTAGAGCATCCTCTTTGGAACCCCTTTCAGGTAGTTGAAAACAGCTATCAAATCCCCCTCATTCTTCTCTTCTGCAGGCTAAACAATCCCACTCCCTCAGCCTCTCCTCATAACTCATATGTTCCAGACCCCTAATCATTTTTGTTGCCCTTCGTGGATCTCTCCAATTTATCCACATCCTTCTTGAAGTGTGGGGCCCAAAACTGGACACAGTACTCCAGATGAGGCTCACCAATGTCGAATAGAGGGGAAGATTTCGATCTTTATCCCTACTTATACATCCCAAAATGATTGGCTTCTTGGAACAGGGACACTGCTGACTCATATCAGCTTCTCACTGTCACCCCTAGGTCCTTAGAACTGTGCTAGAATTCGTCCCTAGTCTGTAGTGTGATTGGGTTTTTCCAAGGAGACCCTACACCATCCATCATCTCTGCCTGCCTCACCTGGGGCTTGAGTTCATACTGTTGTTGGAGCATCTCAGCCACTTTATTCTCAAAGGCACACAGCTGTGTGTAAATTTGCTGCAGGAAGCTCTCTCTCTTGGTCTCATCCAGCTGACAGCCTTGGAATAGCACCTGAGCCAGAGACACATGGGAAAGACATTACCTTAGGGTTTTAAACAGCTACCCATCACAGTGGTATCTGACCCACGGACCCAGACACACACATGCACTACCCTAAGGAAATGCAGGAGAAACACAAGAGATGGCAGGTAATTAACTCATGACAAGAAAGGCCTCACACCAGCCACCTCTGTGTAGCAATCCTGGGAGCCACCACAACATGCACCTGTCAACCTCATTTGGGGGCAAGAGGTTCCTGCTGCCCTAGGAGTCAGGCAGAGGGAAAGGCACTGAACAGGAGGAAGTAGGGCTCCTTGTCCAAGCTCCTAGATGCCTCTAACTTCAGCCTAACATTCCTCAAGGCGGCACATTTGTTCTACTCTAACTCACATGCAGCCTGATCCAACTACCTGTTGATAATTGGCAGGATAAAGCCTGAAGTAGCCTGAAGCAAAAGAAAAAAAAATTAGGGTAGAGACTAGGGAAAAAGCCTGAGCAACTGGACAGTGAAGTCCACTGGTCAGGGAGGTGGGAGCCCAATCACAGCAGATAATCCACACCAGGTCAAAGATGATGCTCTTACCATTTATATTACAGCAGTACCCACAGGCCCCAGCCAGGATGGGGGCTCCATCATGCTGAGTGCTGCACAGATCCAGAGTAAGAGACAGTCTCTGCCCCAAAGAATTCGCAGGATGACAGGGAGGGGAACATGATGCAACACACATGCAGAGAGTTCAGGAGATGATCGGCACACAACTTGCTAGCTCCATTCTCCCCCCCGAGATGAGTAACAGATTGGGGGAGAGGGAAACAACTAGAATATGGACAATTTTATTTAGATGAGTTGCACATATATATACACCCTTCTCCTCCCCACCATATGCACAGGGATCCCCATCTGCCCCTCAGCCCAGGGCTAGTTTCTTGAAGGCCTCATGGAAGAAGTGGGTCTTGAGAAAGGATTTCAAGGAGGAGAGGATAGTGGCCTTGCAGATCAATTCAATGTCACTACAGGAGATGCACTAGAACAAAGCACACAGACGGTTATGGGAGAACTGGACAAGCAAGCAGTCCAGGATGACATCAGTGACAGAGGGCTAATGGGAAGGACAGAGGGAGGCATCCTCATTATGTTTATTACGGTCATGCCTAGAGACTAACCAGGAGTGGGGCCCCGTTGTGCAAGTACTGTATAGACAGAGTAATAAGCAGTCCCTGCCCCAAGCAGCTTACATTCCAAACACACAGACAGAAGACAGAGGAAAGGGGTAGAACACATCAGCAGGATGAGCAGAGTGATGGTCTGCAAATGGCATGGTAGCACCATGATTTTTGAGGGTTAAGGTTTTGCTGGGAAGTGATGAGCTACATGGGTGCCTTCTGGCCCCACCAACCAGAATTCAGTTGTTTAAACGGGAACTGCCCTTGCATGTGTGGTTTACAAAGCGCCTGAGCTGTGGTCCAATCTCACTAGGAAGCCACCCAAAAAAGTGAATTGAAGAGAGTTCAAGTCACATTGGGGCAAAAGATATCCTAGATGTACTTCCCTTAATTAATGGCAGGCTGCGGCCCACAGATCCCCTTCTTTGCTTGGCATTGCCCACATATGCCAAATCTCAGCCTCCTGTCCACAGGTACATAATGAAGCTGTGCCCACATGAGAGGAGTTGCTCCTTTATGGTCTAGCATTGCACCAGACTACAGGCTCTCATGAAGCAAGACTACATCATCATATAGCAGTGCTCAGACAACTCCCGTCTCCGCCTCCCTAGGATCTCACCAGCAACCAGGGCAACAAAAAGTGCTCTCACACAAAGATGGGGGGAGGGGAAGGAGGTAGAACGTTACCTGATGGGACTGCAGGCCAATGATGGAGGAATATGCTTGGATGGTGACAAAGATCTCTGGCTGGTAGGTAATTTCTGAACCAGGAATTCGGAAAGGTTTTAGCAATCCCACTAGGCATCGGGAAAGGGCATGAAACACCTCATCAAAAATGATCTCCCCTGTTGAGTCATCCTGCAGAAGTACAAACAGGAAATTTTAGCTGTTCCCCCTGATGTAATTGACAAGGGTCCCTAGCACATGGAGTTACACCATACAGCCTTCTAGAAATACTCTGCAGAGCCCCAGCACGGGGAGGCGAACACTCCTGGGCCAGCTCCTAGCAGGCAAAGCCCATGCACAGATAATCCCTGCATAAGGGGCAGGATTTTCCTGTAGGGATTATCTGTGCATGAGTTTTGCCTGCTAGGAGCTGGCCCAGGAGTGGCAGCTGGCCAAGTGGCAGCTGCTGGCACACACTGCTTCTACTGGGAGCCAACCTCTCCTGGCACACAGAAGGGAGATGCATGCTGGGAGTAAGTGCACAGGAGGAAGCCCTTCCAGAACAGAGATGGCAGCAGGAGCTCCTTGTGGGCAGAGCCACGGGGTACACAGGAAGAGGCAGGGACGCATACACTTACCACAATGCCTGTGGACGGGCTCAGGTCGAGCTCAATCACAAATCGGTACTGTCGTGCCAGGAAGGTGACCTGTGTGGAGGGCACTAGGAGATAGGGCCTAGGCCGGACAGACTCATGTGGCTGCCACCCATTTGGCAGGATGCTGAGAACATCCAGTTCATTATCTGACTTCACCTACGGGAGAAAAGAAACAGCAAGTGAGGGAAAGCCAGGCTTGCAGGGGCGCAAGAAAAAGAGGAAAAAAAAAAAAAGAATTGGGCTAAAGCCTTTCACAGGTTCCCAAGAAGCAGTAGTAGCCAAAAGTCCTACAGCTTCTCTCCTACTTGGCCAAACTGCCAATGCCAGAGGGCACTGATCAGCACACAGTGCCACCCTGCCTTCAAGCCTGGGCACATGTACTCACCAGCTCTGACTCAGGCACAGCCCAAATGACTTGATGCAGGTGATTGAGGAACCAGGCTAGGCGCACGTTGCGGGAGATTCGATAGTCTTTCTTCATCAGGAGGAAGACCTGCCCTGCGTCTTCCACCTGCAGCAAAGAGGAACAAGTCACCATATCACTAGGGAGGAGACGACCAGAGAACACACCAGCTAAGCTGCTTATTTTTCTCCATTAACTAAAACCCTTCTACAGCTAAAAGTGCATATTTCTCATCTCTGCAGATACATACTGCTTCTCCATCCTCACCCACCCACCATGCCTCATCCTGAGCCAAAGCTGTAGGGTCTGGGTCAGGGACTGTGCTTTGCTAGACGTCCGTGCAGCTCCTTGCACAACAGGCCAAGGCTTTGGCGCCACTGTAACCCTGAACAGCGACAGTCACTGCAGGGCACCAACACCGTTCACTAGGGAGCCTGCACAGTTCAGGCAGACGCTGCAGCCAGCACAGGCTGTCCCCGCCAAACCCGCAGCCAGACCCAGCACCAACCCCTCCCCCTCCACAGCATCAGGCTCAGACCTCAGGCCCCAGCCCACCTCCCCCTGACCAAGCTTCCCGCCCAGCGCCAGGCCCGGCCCAGCCCGGCCCTGCCCCTTCCCCCCGCCCAGCGCCAGGCCCGGCCCAGCCCGGCCCTGCCCCTTCCCCCAGCCCAGCCCGGCCCGGCCCCCCGCCCAGCGCCAGGCCCGGCCCAGCCCGGCCCTGCCCCTTCCCCCAGCCCAGCCCGGCCCGGCCCCTTCCCCCAGCCCAGCCCGGCCCGGCCCAGCCCCCCGCCCAGCGCCAGGCCCAGCCCCCGCCCAGCGCCAGGCCCGGCCCGGGGCCAGCCCAGCCCAGCCCAGCCCCTTCCCCCCGCCCAGCGCCAGGCCCGGCCCAGCCCGGCCCTGCCCCTTCCCCCAGCCCAGCCCGGCCCGGCCCAGCCCCCCGCCCAGCCCCTTCCCCCAGCCCAGGGCCAGGCCCGGCCCGGCCCGGCCCAGCCCAGCCCCTTCCCCCCGGCCCAGCGCCAGGCCCGGCCCAGCCCGGCCCCTTCCCCCGGCCCAGCGCCAGGCCCGGCCCGGCCCCCTCCCCTGCCCCCCGCCCAGCGCCAGGCCCGGCCATGCCCGGCCCAGCCCCAGGCCCCCCCCCATGGCCCGCAGGGGGCGGCGGGCGGGGAGCCGGGGGGGGTACCTCAGAGGCCCCTCGCTCGGCGGCCGCCATGTCCGCCCCGCCCGTGACCCCCCGTGACCCGGAAGCGGAAGGGAGCCGAGCCAGGCCCCCCGCGCGGAGCCGCCGGCGCCGCCATGCAGGTGCGCGGGGCGCTGGGGGCGGGTCTCAGGTGGGGGCTGGTGCCCGCCCCAGGCGGCCGCGGGGGGCAGCCCGGCCTCGGGGGGCGGGGCGTGGCTGGGGGGCGTGTGAGATGGGGAGGGAGGGGGTGTGTGATGGGGGGGAGTGGCTGGGGGGCTGTGTGAGATGGGGGGAGTGGCTGGGGGTCTCTGTGAGATGGGGCGGGGAGGGGGCGTGTGAGATGGGGGGAGTGGTGGGGGTCTCGTGAGATGGGGAAAGGGGGCTGTGTGATGCGGGGGCGGGGCGAGGCTGGGGGTCTCTGTGAGATGGGGCAGGGCAGGGGGCTGTGTGATGCGGGGGGAGTGGCTGGGGGGCTGTGTGAGATGGGGGAGTGGCTGGGGGTCTCTGTGAGATGGGGCAGGGCAGGGGGCTGTGTGAGATGGGGGAGTGGCTGGGGGTTCTGTGAGATGGGGAGGGAGGGGGCGTGTGATGGGGGGGAGTGGCTGGGGGGCTGTGTGAGATGGGGGGAGTGGCTGGGGGTCTCTGTGAGATGGGGAGAGAGGGGGTGTGTGATGCGGGGGGAGTGGCTGGGGGGCTGTGTGAGATGGGGGGAGTGGCTGGGGGGCTGTGTGAGATGGGGAGGGAGGGGGCTGTGTGATGCTGGGGGAGTGGTGGGGGTCTCTGTGAGATGGGGAGGGCTGTGTGATGGGGGGAGTGGCTGGGGGGCTGTGTGAGATGGGGGGAGTGGCTGGGGGGTGTGTGAGATGGGGCAGGGAGGGGGCTGTGTGATGCTGGGGGAGTGGCTGGGGGTCTCGTGAGATGGGGAGGGGTGTGATGCGGGGGAGTGGCTGGGGGGCTGTGTGAGATGGGGGGAGTGGCTGGGGGTCTCTGTGAGATGGGGCGGGGCAGGGGGCTGTGTGAGATGGGGGGAGTGGCTGGGGGTCTCTGTGAGATGGGGCAGGGCTGTGTGATGCGGGGGGAGTGGCTGGGGGGCTGTGTGAGATGGGGGAGTGGCTGGGGGTCTCTGTGAGATGGGGCAGGGCTGTGTGAGATGGGGGGAGTGGCTGGGGGTCTCTGTGAGATGGGGCAGGGCAGGGGGCTGTGTGATGCGGGGGGAGTGGCTGGGGGGCTGTGTGAGATGGGGGGAGTGGCTGGGGGTCTCTGTGAGATGGGGGGGGCAGGGGGCTGTGTGAGATGGGGGGAGTGGCTGGGGGTCTCTGTGAGATGGGGCAGGGCAGGGGGCTGTGTGATGCGGGGGGAGTGGCTGGGGGGCTGTGTGAGATGGGGGGAGTGGCTGGGGGTCTCTGTGAGATGGGGCAGGGCTGTGTGATGCGGGGGGAGTGGCTGGGGGGCTGTGTGAGATGGGGGGAGTGGTGGGGGTCTCTGTGAGATGGGGCGGGGCAGGGGGCTGTGTGAGATGGGGGGAGTGGCTGGGGGTCTCTGTGAGATGGGGCAGGGCAGGGGGCTGTGTGATGGGGGGAGTGGGGGGGGCTGTGTGAGATGGGGGGAGTGGCTGGGGGTCTCTGTGAGATGGGGCGGGGCAGGGGGCTGTGTGAGATGGGGGGAGTGGCTGGGGGTCTCTGTGAGATGGGGCGGGGCAGGGGGCCGTGTGAGACAGGGGGCAGGGAGTCGCTGGGGGGCCGTGTGATGCGAGGGCGGGGAGTGGCTGGGGGGCTGTGTGATGCGGGGGCGGGACGTGGCTGGGGGGCTGTGTGACACGGGCTGGGGAGTGGCTGGGGGTCTCTGAGATGCAGGGCAGGGGGCTGTGTGAGATGGGGGGAGTGGCTGGGGGTCTCTGTGAGATGGGGGCGGGGCGGGGGGCTGTGTGAGACGGGTGTGGGGAGTGGCTGGGGGGCTGTGTGATGCGGGGCAGGGGGCTGTGTGAGATGGGGGGAGTGGCTGGGGGTCTCTGTGAGATGGGGCGGGGCAGGGGGCTGTGTGAGACAGGGGGCAGGGAGTCGCTGGGGGGCCGTGTGATGCGAGGGCGGGGAGTGGCTGGGGGGCTGTGTGAGACGGGGGTGGGGAGTGGCTGGGGGTCTCTGTGAGATGGGGGCGGAGCGGGAGGCCGTGTGAGACGGGGGTGGGGAGTGGCTGGGGGGCTGTGTGATGCGGGGGGGGGCGGGGCTGGGGGGCTGTGTGACACAGGGGCTGGGGAGTGGCTTGGGGTCTCTGAGATGCAGGGCAGGGGGCCGTGTGAGACGGGGGAGGTGGCTGGGGGTCTCTGTGAGATGGGGGCGGGGCGGGGGGCTGTGTGAGACGGGTGTGGGGAGCGGCTGGGGGGCTGTGATAGGAGCAGAGTGGTTACTTCACCTCCATCCAGCTTTGGGGCCCTGCTGCCAGCAGCCCCTGCCCCATCTGGGGCCTGCAGCTCGAGAAGGGATCTGATAAATCCAGGAGGATTTAGAGAAGAGCCATGAAGAAGATCAGCAAACATCCTTCCAGGGGTAGCAAACATAGTGTATGGACGGTGACTTAGCCTTGGGCCACTGTGCAAACCATAAAACTTCAAACTACATCCCACATTATAAAATATTGTAACTGCAGATTAAAAAGAACACACCCTGTTAATCTGCTTGCCTTTTCCTTATTTTAGTGCCTGACCATGCAAATAGGGCAACTGCTTTGAATCACACACACACATTGTCAGCTCCCAACAAATATTCTGGTTTTTGAGAGGCCATAGAAAAAGGCCCCCAGGACAAAAACACAGAAAGCCATTTTGACCTAAAATGGCAGTATAAATGACAGCGTAATAAATCATGGCGTAGGTCTTCTGCATGTCCTAAACCGCATGGACAGAGACGATTATATTTTTCCGTTCTTTCGAAGTAAGCAGTCTGCATGGATTAGAAACAGAGAACTGTAAAGGCACTCCTTAGTGTGTTGTTACAAAGGTTGTCTAAATACGTGGCATACCCATATGTCTTTTTAACAAGGGGAAACTAGGGTGACATATTTGAAATCAAAACAATAGCCGTATCCAGTTGATGCCTTGTAGTGATAGACTCGAGGGTCTATCTATATAGCCTAATAAAGAGAAGATTAAGGGGTGACTGGGTTACAGTCTATAAGTACCTATATGGAGAACAGATGTTTAATAATTGGCCGTTCGTCTAGCAGAGAAAGTTATATCATGATCCAATGTCTGGAAGATGAAGCTAGACAAATTCAGACTGGCTATAAGGTGTAAATTTTTAACAGTGAAAGTAACTAACCATTAGAACAACTTGTGAAGGGTTGTGGTGGATTTTCCATCGCTTCAGTTTTTACTTCAAGGTTGGATGTTTTTCTAGAAGGTATTCTCTAGACATTATTTTGGGGCAGTTCTCTGACCTGTGTTATGCACAAAGTCAGACTAGAAGATCACAATTATCCATTCTGGTCTTAGAATCTATGAAACTACTTTGATCTCTGTATAACTGCAGAGGTACCTGGAACTGGGGCTGTGCTGAAGAGTAGGCTGGGGCTTCCTGTGTCTCCCATTTTCACCATTTTCCAGTTTCCCCCAAATCAATAAGGTTCTGACCCTTAATGCCTGAATGTGGTGTTCAAGAGATATAATGTGACAGAGGGAGAAATACTATCGAGTTGAGTGTGAAACCTTCTTGAACATAGCCATTTAAAATACAGTCTTGTCATGTTGGCATGAACATTGAAGATCCCTGTCAAGGTCTTCACTGAAATGCCTGATCATTTAAAAAAGCAAAAACCTATCACAAAATATGGGATAGGTCAAACAGACTGCTTTATTTATTTATTATTCCGGGGGGGGGGGAGGGGGATGGCATAGCTCAGTGGTTTGAGCATTGGCCTGCTAAACCCAGGGTTGTGAGTTCAATCCTTGAGGGGGCCATTTAGGGATCTGGGGCAAAAATTGGGGATTGGTCCTGCTTTGGGCAGGGGGTTGGACTAGACGACCTCCTGAGGTCCCTTCCAACCCTGATATTCTATGATTACTGTACTGCCTAGGAGGTCTAGTTATGGGCCAGGACCCCACTGTGCAAGATGCTGTACTGACACAGAACAAAAAGACAATCCCTGCTGCAAATAGTTTACATTATAAATACAAGACAACAGACACATGGGGGAGCACAATGAGACAGTGCTGATCGGTATGCTGGGCAATAGTCTCTGCGCACCAACAGCATAAGTGTTGTCTAGTGTTTTGTAGGCCTTGTGGAAAAGGATAGTTTGAAAAAGGGTAATGAGTTTTACATATGTTTACAGGGAGCTTCTTCATAAGAACGGCCATACTAGGTTAGACCAAAGGTCCATCTAGCCCGGTATCTTGTCTTCCGACAGTGGCCAATGCCAGGTGCCCCAGAGGGAATGAACAGAACAAGGAATCATCAAGTGATCCATCCCGTTACCCATTCCCAACTTCTGGCAAACAGAAGCTAGGGACACCATCCCTGCCCATCCAGGCTCATAGCCATTGATGAACCTGTCCTCCATGAACTTGTCTAGTGCTTTTTGAATCTGTTATAGTCTTGGCCTTCACAACATCCTCTGGCAAAGAGTTCCACAGATAGGCAAGGTGCGGACAGACCACAAAGGGCCTTGAAAGTGAAGACAAGCAGCTTACGTTTGATGGAATAGAGAAGAGGGAGCCAGGAGAGAGATGCGAAGAGGGGGGTGATATGGTCAAACAACTGGCTACAAAAATGATCTCTGCAGCAGCATTTTGAATGAATGTGAGCAGGGCAAGATTGCATTTGTCACAGCCAGAGAGAAGGATGCTACAGTAATCGTGATGTGAAATGGTGATAGCCTGGATGAGAATTTTACTTGTGTGGAGGGGTACGACAGTCCATCTCTGACAGATGTTAAGCAAATAGACTGCAAGATTTAGAAAGAGCTTGGATGTAAGGACCTAGAGAGTGGTCCGAGTGGAAGATGAGACCCAGGTTTCCAGGCCCAAGTGGCAGGCAGGATGGTGGCGTTGTCCACAGGGTGGTCCATAGTGATCAAGAAGAGATGGGGGAGAAAGAGGAAGAGCTCTGTTTTAGCCATGTTGACCTTAAGCTGGCCGCTAAACATCCACAAGGAGATATGAGAGAGACAGATTTTCACAAGGATAGAGCAGACAGGTAGATCTGTGAGTCATCTGCATAGAGATGGTGGTTGAATTTCAGTTTGCAGATGAGATTACCCAAAGATAAGTGAGAAGAAAAGCGGATCCAAGACAGAGCCCTGTGAAAAATGGCAGAAGTTTGGAGAGCAGATGAGGTCACACTGAAGGTGTGATTAGAGACTTAGAAGGAGAACCAGAAGAGGGCCAAATCATGGAAACCAAGGGAGAACAAGATTTCAAGGAGAAGGATATGGTTGACTGTGTCATAGGCAGTTGTCAGGTCAAGGAGGATGAGGATGGAGACTGATTCTGAGCTTTGACTAGGAAGAGATCGTTAGAGACTTGGTGAGAGTGATTTCAGTGGAGCGCAAGGGGTGGAAGCCAGATCGGAGAGGGTCTAAAATGGAATTGGAGGAGAAGAGATCAGACAGTGACTGTAGACAGCATGTTCAATGAGCTAGGAGATGGGGAAGTAGTTGGAGAGGCAAGTGAGGTTATAGGTGGTTTGGTTTTTTTAAGATGGGAGAGACTAAAGCTTGCTTGTATTGTGAGAGAGGAAAGAGCCCGAGAATAATGAGAGGTTAAGGAGAAAAGTGAGGGTGGGGATCAGAGTGGGCAGTGAGGGAGATCAGGAGATTGGTTCACTGGAGCAAGTGGAGGGGTTCGAGGAAGAGAGCAGATGAGACACTTCTGTATGTGTGACAGTGCAGAAGGAGAGATGTTGGAGGGGGAGGGGGAAGGGAAAGGCAAGCTGAGGGGAGGGGAAATGTTACGTCGTATTTTGTCAACCAAATCGGTGAGATCCCGTGGCAGGAGAAGGGATATGTTTGGAGAGTTGGGCCACGTCTGCACTACGGCCCTTCCAGCGGCACAGCTACACCGCTGCAGCTGTGCCAGTGTGAGAGCTCCTGTGCAGCCGCTCTACGCCGGCAGGAGACCGCTGGCAGAGTTGAGCCACCCCCCACGAGCAGTGGTAGCGATGTCAGCGGGAGAGTGTCTCCTGCCAACATAGTGCTGTCCACACTGGTGCTTTTGTCCGTAACACTTAGGTCAGTCAGGGGGGTGTTTTTTCATATCCCGACCCACAAAAGTTTTGTCAACAGAAGTGCTAGTGTAGACAAAGCCTGAGTCGGAGACGGTGAAAAGGCAGTTGGCTTTGCAGCCATAGGAATCAGGGACATTGAAGAAGTAGTGTTGTTTAGCTAGGAAGCTGGCAGAACTGAAACGGGTGAGAACAGATTTGTAATGGAGGAAGTCAGCCTGCTCGTCCATAAGAGATGCTCTGCAGTGTGAGAGCGGACACAGAGGAAACAGGTGTTGGGGGTGAGCCAAGGCTGGGGATTGGCAAGGTGGACCTTGTGATGAGAGAGAGGGTCAAAAGAATCAAGGGTGGAGGTGAGAGAAGCGTGGAATGAATCAAAACAATCCTAGAAATGGGGGGAGAGGGTTGAGAGCAGAGAAGCGCTGATGGGCTGGAGGCAAACAGAAAAGGCGAGTTCCAGGGCAGGGGCTGACTGGTGGTGCTGTAAGAGGGCAGGTGATGGTGAGAGAGAGGGAACACAGCAATTAGAGAGAGCAGTGCTTGGTGAAGTCCGAGTCAAGTGCAAGAGTTGAGCCAGGGCTGCAGGTCGAATGAAGGGTAAGAAAATGTGCAGCTGAGAGGTTGGATGGGTTATCAATGTGGACGTTGAAGTCATTGAGGATGAATGTGGGAGATTGCGAGGAGAGGAAGGAGAGCCAGTCATCGAGATCTGAGAGGAAGGCTGATGGGGAGGAGCTAAGTGGATGGTAGATGAGAGCAACGTGGAGTGGGAGAGGAGAGAAGAGTCAGATACAGTGCTGTTCGAGGTAAGGGAAGAGGGACAGGGTGGAAGCTGTAGGAGCAGGAGGGGAGACATCCAACGCTTCCACTACGGTCTGTTCCAGGGTGGGAAAGGTAAGAGAAGGAGGGGCCTCAGTAAGAGGGAAGCTGCAAAGGCTGGATGAGGCAAAGGGATCCCGGTCTTGGTGAGAACCAGGAGCTGGTAGGAGGGAGATATGAAGAGTCTGTGGATGGCTGTGATCTTTTTAGAAATGGCGTGGTGTTCCAAAGGGACACAGGGAAGGGCATGAGGATGGAGGAGAATGGATGTCAGGTTGGGAATAGTGCAATGAGGGGGCAGAGATGATGGTGGGCATGTGTGTGGCAGGTGGAGCGGGTAGGGATGGAGGGAGGACCAGGGCTGGTGCAAATGTCAGCAGAGGTGAGGAGGAGGAGGTGGCAGAGAAGGATGTGGATGTGGGATCTGGATTTGTGGTGGTGGGAGGAGTGGTAGATTGGAATGGGAAGAGGAGTGAGTAGAGCTGGTTGGAACCGTACAGGGGTGATGGTAACCAGGATGGGGAGATGGACCCAGTGTGGGGAAGGGTTGAGGAATGGAGAAGGATGGTTGCTCTGAAACAGGAAGGGTGTGGTGAGAGCCATGGGTGGATGCCTGTAAAATGACTGTTTCATGATCTGCTTTCCCAATCAGCATTCCCTTCCCATTGTTTGGTTGCTCTCTCCCACCCTCCTTGGTGTATTATTATTCTCTTTGTGGTTTACACTGGTAAATTAGTGGGGCAGGGACCTAGTCCAACTGTGTTTCATAAAGAATTTTGTGCAACTCTGCTACTGTGTAAGTAACATAGTAGCCAAGATCCTAGAGTACTTTTCGTAAGAGTCCAGTGTTTGACCCAGCTTCCTAGGCTGCAGATACCCACCCATCTGTTAGGTGGCATGCTGTGCCCCAGTTGACTGCCACCCTCCATCCCAGAGGATGTCAGTGAGATGGCTCTATGTAGGTATGAAACACTTTGAGATGAAAGGCAGTAGTCAACTCCGTTTGTGGGTCTAGGTGTTATATGACACTAATCACCACAGTGTCAGAGCACCAGCCGCAAATTAAAAATGGCAGATGAAACATGGGAGCCTACAGGTTCCATGGCAGCTGGAAATGACATGTGGTCAGTCAGAGACCAAAGGCAGAGGGTGAGGGAAAGAGGCTGGTACCTGAGTCTCAGGTGGGTATGGGGGTTGGGTCTAGTGGTGCTTAGGAAATGCAGGAAACCAACTGCCTTGTGAGCTGCACGAGACTGAGTTCCTGGCCAAAGAGAAATGGGACTGTGACAGAAGAAACCCCAAGCATTTTATCTCAAACACGTTTCTCTCCTGGAAGAGTGGTATTGTTCTATCCGCTAAGGGGGAGTGGGGCGATGCATATGAGTTTGTGTCTGGTGACCTCAGTGCATTTCTGGGGCTGAGGAGAGCACTAGGCCTTGTCCTAACCCTTCTCTTTCCCGCTTTCTGCAGAGGGAGGAGAAGCAGCTCGAATTGTCCCTGGAGGCGCTTATTAGCCAGGTGGCTGACCTGAAGAATTCCTTGGTCAGCTTCATCTATAAGCTAGAGAATGAGTATGACCGGCTCACCTGGTAAGAGGGTGTGCATGTCTGTGAGTGCGGGGTGTCACGGCTAATCTGTCCTGTTGTGCAAGATGTGCTCTACATTCTGCTTGCTGGGGTTCACAGAAGCCTGACTATACTCGTGGCCCTTATTTCCAGCTGCTAAATCCCATGAAAAGAATCCCCACCCAAAAAATCTTTTCTTAATACTAACTTTTCATGCTAGCAATTGCAGGTGTTGCCACATGGCGGTCAAGTGATTTTGGAGGGGAGGTGCCCACACACTGGGTTTGGCAGATGATCTTCTGAACAAAGAAGCAGCCACAAGCCTTGTAGAAGAAGTGCAAACTACAGAGGTGCCTGCTCCTTGTGTTGGCTCCTGAGCAAACTGTGCTTCAGGACCAGTCATGAATGGAGTAAGCGGGGACCCTCCCTTGCTCTGTATAGATTCTAAGGCCAGAAGGAACCACTGTGATCATCTAGTCAGACCTCTTGTATAGCACAAGCCAGAGAACTTCTGGGGAATGTAGGGATAGTTGTGCATGATATTCTCCACTCTAGAAATGGTCTGGTTCTATTATCTGATCTAATGTGGGTGGTTTCCTTGCTCGTTAGTCCAGGGTTGCAATTGATTTCTAAATCTCGGTTTGGGTCTTTGTTCTAGGGTTTTTATGCAGCGCCTATCACCATAGCATTGAAGTACTTGAGGGACACACATCTCTCCCTATATGCTGTCATGACTTTTCAGCTGTGAAAATTCAACTTCGGGATTGAAATTTTCAAGATTTGGTCTTTGCCCAGAGATTAACTTCATAGGAGAGTTTGACCACAATCCACGCTGGTGTTTCTGAGTTCGGGGGGGGGTGAACTCCCCACTTTTCCCACTTCTAAAAATGGCCACATTTTACACATTCCGTTGCCATGGTGATGGACACAGTGTAAGACCCTAGAAAGAATAGAATTACCCTACACAGCTCAGTGCTGCATGTGTTCTGAAATGTGACCTTGTCTTGTGAGTGAGTCCTTATGGAAAGGAATGTCCACCCCCAAGGAAAGGAAGGAGCATTTCCAGGACATCAGTCATGGGCAGGATAATGGAACAGCTGATATAGGACTTGATTGATAAAGAATTAAAGGAAGGCAGTGTAACTGATCCCAATGAACATGGGTTTATGGAAACCAGATCCTGGCAAACTAACTTAATATCTCTATTTGATGAGATTGCAAGTTTGGTTGATAAAGGGATGCGTGTTGATATAATATAGATAGACTTCTGTGAGGTGTTTGACTTGGTACTGCATACCATTTTGTCTGAAAAAAAACCAAAAACTAGAAGGATATAAAATTAACATGGCATACATTAAATGGATTAAAAACTGGCTAACTGATAGGTCTCAAAATGTAATAGTAAATCATCATCAAGTGGATGTGTTTCCAGTGGTGTCTCGCAGGGATTAGTTTTTGGCCATATGCTATTTAACATTTGTATCAGTGAGCTGGAGGAAAACACAACATTACTGATAAAGTTTGCATATAACACAAAAATTAGGGGAAGTTGTAAATAATGAAGAGGTCAGGTCACTGATTCAGAGTGATTTGGATCTCCCGGTTAAGCTGGGCACAAACAAATAATGTGTGTTTTAATACAGCTAAATGGATATATCTGGGAACGGAATGTAGGTCATACTTACAGGATGGGGGACTCTATCCTGGGAAGCCATGACTCTGAAAAAAATGTGGATGTCGTGGTGGATAAGCGTTTGAACATGAGCTCCCAGTACTGTGGCCAAAAGAGCTAATGTTATCCTGGGATGAATAAACAGGGGAATCTCGAAGAGGAGTAAAAGAGTTTATTTTTCCTCAATATTTTTCACTGTTGTGACCGCTGCTGGAATATTATGTCTAGTTCTCGTGCCCACAATTCACGAAAGATGTTGATAAATTGGAGAGGGGTCAGAGAAGAGCCACAAGAATGAATAAAGGATTAGAAAACCTGCCTTATAGCGATAGACTAAAATAGCTCAATCTATTTATCTTAACAAAGAGGTGGTTAAGGGCTGATTTACAGACTATAAGTACGTACGTGGGAAAAAAATATTTTAATAATGGGCTCTTCAGTCTAGCTGAGAAAGGTTGAACATGATCCAATGGCTGGAAGTTGAATCTAGCCAAATTCAGACAGGAAATAAGGTGTAAATTTTTGACATTGAGAGTATTTAATCATTGAAAAAATTTACCAAATGTCTTGGTCAATTCTCTGTCACTGGCAATTTTTAAATCAAGATTGGATATTTATCTAGAAGACGTGTTCTAGGAATTATTTTGGGGAAGTTCTCTGGCCTGTGCTATACAGGAGGTCAGACTAGATGATCACAATGGTCCCTTCTGGCCTTGGAATTTGTGAATCTATGAATGACTATGCAAAGGCACAGACAGGTGGATCTGGTCAGGCCTCAGTGCAGCCAGCTTTCTCAACATTCTCAGATTCTGAGAGTTCACTGAAAGGAAAGATCCAGTTGGATTTTATCCCTGCCTAGAGATGGCCTTCAGATCTGTCTGCCCACACCACCAGGAGTCATCCTCCATAGGGGTTCTAGCAGCGGGGATGTATGAGGATTTGTATGATCTATCCTCAGTTCTGAGCTCCATCCTTGGTTCAGCACTGGCCTGCAACTCCTTGATACCAAATCTTTGTTAAATCGGGAACTTCAACAGAGCCTTGAGCTCCTTAATCCCAGCCAGGGACAGAATTGCATTGAGATCTGAGAGAGACCACATCCATCTCATTCTTTTGTTGCTCCTGATTAGGGCCACTATATCTTTCTTCCTGACTGCACTGCTTACCCAGGCCATCCCCCCCAGCCCCACCCCGTGTGTGGCAGTAAAACTCATAGTTGTTGCTTTGAATCTTTGTCCATGTGGATCTTACTCAAGATGTGCTTGGGCCTCATGCATGAAACTGTGTGCATGGCTCCTTGAGTAGGACCTTGAGAGGGACCCACGTGGAGAAGACATCTTGAAAACCCACATTTACTATACGATAAGTAAATTGTTTGTTCCACGTTTCTTGGGGTACGTCTACAGTATGAAATTATTTCGAAATTATTCTATTTGAATTTTCAGAAGCTATTTTATACATTCGGTCTTCTGTGTCCCCACTAAAGAGCGTGAATTCGGTGGAGTGCGTCCACAGTACCAAAGCTAGCATTGAATGTCGGAGTGGTGCACTGTGGGTAGCTATCCCACAGTTCCCACAGTCCCCGCCTCCCATTGGAATTCTGTTGGTGTGGGCAGACAGATCTGAAGGCCATCTTGTCATAGCATGTAATTTAAAACCTACAGGCACCTCCTTCCCCTTTTCCCTTTCAGTGGTGCTGGGAATGGCGCCACCCATGGCATCATACAGGGGGAGGTGGAGTTATTAGTCCCTGCTTTGAGCCTTTGAAGTAGGCTTCTTTCACAAATACCAGAGACCACCCTTCCTCCCCCAGCCTGCTCTGCCCCTGGCTCTGAGGGTTTTGCAGAGACGAGTGGATGACGAACTGAGGCTGAGCTGTGAGAGAGCTCTTTCTGTCTCCTGCATCCATTCCCAGGTCTCGCTCATCCCCTTTCCCTTCCCAGGCCCTCAGTACTGGACAGCTTTGCACTGCTCTCAGGCCAGTTGAACACGCTGAACAAAGTGCTGAAGCATGAGAAGACACCCCTAATGCGCAACCAGGTTATCATCCCCCTGGTGCTATCTCCAGACCGTGATGAGGAGATCATGGTAAGAACCTGGCAGCTCTGCTCTGCTGAGAGATGCCCATGGAGCGCTGGAATGTGCTTCAGGCAATAGCTCCAACTCACCTACAACCTCCTAATGCTTAACACGCATGGCCTTTCCACAGAAGGAAGAGGGGGATGAACCGTTTGGGGGAGGGGTGGCTCATCCCAGAGCTGCTGTGTGGAATCGTTTCACCTGCGAACTTGCACTTTGGTACAGTCTGTAGTCCTTGCTCCACTTTGTGAAAATGCAGTCACCGTGCAGCCAAGGCCCCTAGAGAGAGCATCCCCTGTACTGACAGGCCTCCCCACTGGCTGTCCAGGAACTTCGCCTCAGCCATGCTCTCTCCAGAAGAAGTCTGCATCTTGCATCATGTCCTCAACTAACTGACCAACAGGGAAGTAAATTCCACAGTCCAAGACACGCAACTAAGAACCCCCAGGCCCCCAGATATTGAAATGTGGGGGCTGTTAGCACAAGCATCCCAGCTAAATGTGACTGTCATGGCAGTCATTGCCTTGGGAGAGAAGAGGGATCTCGGGTAGTCCCTAGAATGTTTGGATACTATGAGGACAGGCGTAGTGTAAGAACCTAGTTAGATAGGACCCAAACCATTTAATGCTTTGTAGATCAAAATCGCTCAACAGCAAATTGTTAGCCAGAGCTCTAGCTTCCTAGCCTGTGTTCTTTGCTCCAGTTGAGTGACTGCTCTGCTGGAGGGTTGGGCTCTGAGCGTGGATTCTCTGATTGTTCCAGCGACAGACAGAAGGACGTGTGCCAGTCTTCAGCCATGAGGTGGTGCCGGACCACCTCCGTACCAAGCCCGACCCTGAGGTGGAGGAGCAGGAGAAGCAGCTGATCACAGATGCAACTCGAATCAGCTCTGATGTGGCACAGGTAGGGGAGGAACAGCTAGGTGCTGCACCCACCTTCAACCCAGAGAACAGGCGCAGGCTCCCCATTTCTCTGTCTTGCTCCTGGGTTGCTACACCCTGCCATTCTGTCCTTGTTGTAATTTGCTTTTCTTCTAGGCCCTTCTCCCTTTCCCCTTCTGTGATTTCTCCAGCTGCCCCAGACCATTGGGCTCCACCTCCTCCTAAAGTGCATCGCATTCTGTAGGGATTGCTGTTTGATCAGCAGAGATGAAGAGTACACAGTCATTCACATGGCTGTTCCCTGCCAACCTTCTTTTGGACCCAGGCCCCCTAAATGCCTGCATTCAGTCACACAGCCACTGAGAAAGGTTTTATACACTCACCTTGCTGTCTTGTACCATGCTGGAGATGTCCTTGCATTTTCTCATTATTTCCACTTTGCAGAAACAGATCCAGAGCCTGAACAAAATGTGCTCAAATCTGCTGGAGAAAATCAGCAAGGAGGAGCGAGAGTCTGAGAGTGGAGGTATGGCACTGGGGTGGAGATGGGGTACAGAGTCCAAGGGGAAGGCTTGAGAGGTCAAGTAGAACACAAACCATAGGGCCTGAGGAGAGCAGAAGGGCCTTATGGGAGAAGAGTTCGGGGTGGGTGGTGGGAGGAGAGGCTGAGCCAGGAGAGCCATTTTTTAGAAAGGAATCCAGACTGTTTGAGATGGGTTTCCTGTGTGCCAGGCATTAGGTATTCTGTGCTGTAGGGAAATCTAATTGATCCAAACTAGCATCATTCAGGTGAGTTCTGATCCTATCAGGAATGTCATTCTGGCCATTCTGGCACCACTCCATGCAGGTTGCTATTTCTTGTTTTTTCCTTGATGATGCTGTGAGTGGTGCTGTCCAAGATCCAAAATATAGGTTTTCTCTGCCTCAGAGGGCTTACCATCTAACCAAGGCAGATGTGTAGCAGCGATCTGACTCCAGCAGCCCACCTACAGCACAGCAGCCCACATCCTGGTCTTCCCCGGCCTTGGTTACTACTTGCAGGGTGACCTCAAACCCCCCACCACCACCACCGCCCCAAAGCACCTCAAAACCGTCTGGTCTGAACTGCCCAGCCCTGTCCGGGGACAAGTTTGTTGCTCCTCTAAAGAGACAAAATTGCAGTTTGCTACTTTAACTGGAGTTAACAATCACTTCAATTCAAACACAGCACTAGGTTGGTTTAGATAAAAGGGAAACAAAAATATTAGCACAAAGAGACAGCACCACCCAACCATCTAATTTCCTTCCAAATGCAGCGCTGGGATGGATATGGACCTTCTCCAGATTTTGTGGATCTGTAATAGCTTTGATAAGTGCTTTTATTCTCTTAGGATAGTCAGTCAGTTTAGTAAGTTTAGTTTGTTAGCCAGTAGTTCATAGTTAAATAGCATTAATCTAGGTTTTAGTATCTCATGAGAGTACAGGTGTCTATGGTGGGGCCGAAGACTAAGAAGCATGGCTTTGAAAGATGTGTGTTATGTTCCGTGGTCTTCCCAGCTTCGGATGCCCACACCAGGGGCTTCAAATGCCTAGAGAAAAGACCTCGTTCTTCGTGTGATGCTGTCTGTTGCACATTTACTCCCCATGTCCTGCAGGAGAGACAAAAGATTTCAAGCCCTCTTATTACAAGAAGTTTTGACTGTTACCCCTTTGGGATTGGGGGTATCAAAATCATCTGAGGGAAAGAACAGGTGGTCTGAATCAGCCCCAGGAATTTCCAGAGTGAGGAAGTTGATTACGCCAAAGGCATCAACCTCTGCACTGAGCTCTAGTTCCAAGGCAACCAAGCATTCAGTAGCTAAACCTTCAGACCCCGTTGCAAGAAAGGTACAGCCCTCTACTGAGACCATTCAGGATAGAGGACTTAAACCCCCTGACATCATGTTGGACCTGAGGACATTAGTTCAAACAAACAGAAAGCCAAGATGAAACATATCTTGGAGTTGGAAAAGATTTCCCATTTTTATTCATCAGATTCGTTGGATTGTGAATTCAGTGTGGGTCCAAAGTTAGCTAAGGAACCGCAGCCTAAAAACATAATAGCCAATTGTAGGGTTTTCTTGGCCTTCAGACAAAGTTTTGTTTAATAGTTATAAAGGCTTGTTCCTCCTCCTGAGACCAATGCAAAGTAGCCAAAGAATCCAAAGTATCCATCAAAATCGAGCACTTCATCTCTTCCGGTTCTTTCTATCATGGTTTAGTCCTAAGTGGAGCACAGGATCTGGTCCAAGAGGTGAATATAGCTGGGCCACTTGGTAATAGTGACCATAATAGAATTAAATTTAATATCCCTATGGTGGGGGAAACGTCACAGCAGCCCAACACTGTAGCATTTAATTTAAGAAAGGGGGACAACACAAAAATGGAGAAGTTAGTTAAACAGAAATTAAAAGGTACAGTGCTAAAAGTGAAATCCCTGCAAGCTGCATGGAAACTTTTTAAAGACACCGTAATAGAGGCTCAACTTAAATGTGTACCCCAAATTAAATAACCTAGTAAGAGAACAAAAAAAGTGCCACTGTGGCTAAACAACAAAGTAAAAGGATGATAAGACCATTGCAGAGAAACTAAATTAATTCTTTGCATCAGTCTTCACGAAGATCATCTGACTTCTTGGCTCCACCTGCGAAGACACCTACATGGTCTCCAAGAAAGACTAATTTAATCTGTATCTCTGCTGCAGATTCCGACCTCAGTTGTATCTCACATAGTCTTTGTCGTGCTGTATGGAGTGGCTCACAACCTAAGTTCCCTGTAAGCTGTGCAGCCATGCAGCAGGTTATTTAGGGAGGTGCAGATCCCCCAGCCCAGCCCCTCCAGAGCTGCTGGCGAAAGGAGCCCTTCACCCGGCCCAGGCCCACCGGAAGTGCTGCAGCTGGGGAGAGGTGCCCCTCCCCTGGTCCAGTCCTGCCCCGCCAGAGTGGCTGTGGAGAGGAGTCCCTCCCCCGCCCAATCCAGCCTCTTCCCCAGCCCGGCCCCACGCTGCCGGAGCTTTCAGGGAGAGGAGCCCCTCCTCCGGCTTGGCCCAGCCCCTCGGGAGCTGCCACGGCTGGGGAGAGGTGCTCTTCACCCAACCCAGCCCAGCTCTGCTGGAGCCGCCGCGGCGGGGAGAGGTACCCCTCTCCCCCATCCCAGGTGCTGCTGTGGGGAGAGAGCTGGGGGGGGGTCCTCTCTGTTCGCCACAGTCCCGAGGCAGCCTGCACCCCAAACCCCTCATCCCCGGCCCCACCCCAGAGCCCGCACCCCCCACACCCCAACCTTATGCCTAGCCCTGAGCTGCCTCCCACACTCCAATCCCCTCATCCCCGGCCCCATGCCAGAGCCCGTGGCCCCAGCTGGAACCCTCACCCACCCCGCACCGCAACCCTGTGCCCCAGCCCTGAGCCCCCTCCCACACACTGAATCCCTCGGCCCCACCCCGCCACATGAATTTTGTTATGGGCACCAATATGGCGGTGATGTGTCACATGTCACCTCCATATTGGTGCACATAACAAAATTCATTCCTCACATGGGTGGGAAAAATTAGAGGGAACACTGCTCACAGCTATGAGTGCCTACTGCTTACCTCAGGGCAGACTATCAAAGGGAAGGCAGGCATCCCAAACTGGTGAAGCCTGTCTGAGCTTCTTCCCTGAGCAGGGTCTGTCAGAGGATTGTAGCATGTGTGCTGTGGTTTAGCAGGTATGTACCCAAGTGGAAACAAATGTTGGCTTCACTCAGCTGCATTCTGTGTTTTAGCTCTGGTATAATTTCCACTGATCTAAGATATTGAAGCTCTTAGGATAACCTGTTCCCAGATGGCAGCACCTTTGTTGTCTGGCTTCCTCTTAACACTGCGAATTTCAATAACCTTTGTAGTTTCCTAAAGACAATATATAAAATTGACTAAGTTGGCTAGCCTTTTCAATAAAGAGCTAGCCATGCCCCAGATCACTCAACATATCCCATGAGTGGGAATATGCAGAGTTCATCCTGAAGAACTCCAGTTACAAGTGAGTAACCTTCATTTCTACAAGAGCTCAAGCAGCATCAGCTGCATTCCTTAGGTAAGGTACCCATCAGTGACATTTGCAGGGCTGCAACCTGGACATGTGAAAATATGTACCCGAGTCGTATTATTTTCCAAGCACCAAGGGAAGATGCCAGATCTGGACGAGCTGTATTGCAGTTCTTGTTCAGATAGACTCTGAAACCCTCCTCCTTGCTGCACTGCACCTGAAGTGGAATGGACGTGAGCAACCACTTAAAGAAGAAAAAAAAACCAGTTACTCACCTGTTCTGTAACTGTTGTTCTTTGAGCTGTATTGACACATCTATTCCATGACCCACCCTCCTCCCCTCTATCTTAGACTCCAACTTCCTGTTTCTGGTAAGAAGGAGCTGAGGGAAGGTCAGGACAGCTCTGCCCCTCTATTCCATTGGCTAACACCACAAGCACGCAGACAGTGCATGCGGTGCTTGATGGGTACTGGTATGGGGAAAGAGCTCTGGCTTTGGTGCACTTGAACACACATGCTCACCCTGAAGGGGAATGGACATGTGCAACACATCTTGAAGGGCAGCAGGTACTGAACAGGCAAATAACCATTTTGTGTGCCATAAGGAGTCTCAATTCTAAAGTTCTGTGCTCTATCTGTACAGGAAACCTCCTGTTTTTAAAAACAGATCTTAGGTATTTCTGGTATCCGTGGCCAACATGGACTAGCATGGCCCTGTTACCTGAAACCATGTATGTTCAGTTCTGGAAAGTAGGTTTGGTTTTCCAACGGTCTGGGAAGGCTGTGGCATCTTATTCCATTGCTACCTGCCAATCCACAGCATGGCATCTCGGAGAAAGGGGCCTTCATGGAGCCTCACGGATGTATCGTAGGTGTCCCATAGTGTCTGAGCACCTCACGGTCTTTAGTGAACTTACCATCATGCACCCCGGTGAGGCAGGGCAGGGCTTTTGTCCCCGTTTTACAGATTGGGAACTGAGGCACAGAGACTGACTTGCGCGAGGTCACACAAGGAGTCCTTGAGGGGGAATTGAGCCCCGGTCTCCTGAGTGCCGCTAGCATGCTGGCCCATCCTTATTCTATTTCATCTACTGGTATCCATGCCAAGTTCATTGTTACGGACGCAGGACAGTAGTGAGCCCAGGTTGCCTCCTGGGAACTGTCCAATGGACTTGGCTGTTGAAATGCTCCAGAAATCTTCTCTTTCCCTGCAGGTTTACGGCAGAACAAGCAGACTTTCAACCCTGCTGATACCAATGCACTGGTGGCAGCTGTGGCGTTTGGAAAAGGGCTGTCGAACCGGAGGCCTCCAGGCTCAGGGGGACCTGTCCAAGCAAGTCAGCCAGGAGCCGGTGCCATCATAGCAGGGGCTTCAGGCATCCAGCAGGTCCAGATGTCAGGTGCTTCCAGCCAACAGCAGCCTATGCTTGGAGGAGTGCAGATGTCACAGGCAGGCCAGCCAGGTAAATAAGAAGAATGCCTAAGAGTGCTTGGTGTATGGGGGGGAAGAGAGGGACATCAAGGCCAGCAGTCCTACCCCAAGCACCACGTTCACCGTGCTGCCGGGGAGAGCGGGCTCTGAGAGCAGAGGGATACGCAGTATGGCGCTGGGGAGACCTGGCTTTGAGAGAGACATCTTTGAGGCAAGATGGGGGCTGAGGGCAGGGAGAGCAGAGCATATGTGGCATGGAGCTGGAGAGACCTGGCTTTGAGGGAGACCTCTCATGGAGTTGTGGGGGACACCAGGGTGTAGCTGAGTAGACTGCGGTATCTTGGGGATCTAGGTTAACCCACAATATGATCCAAACTGCCATTAAACAACAACTCAGAGCTGGAGTCAACAAAGGGATACAAACGGTGAAACGAACCCATATTCTCTTAGTACAAGGGAAATCTAGACATGAGGCTTCACCTCAGTGCAACTGAGCTTATTCCCACACCTCAGCACAAGCCACACTAATCTCTGTGGATCTTTAACATGGGTTAAAGCCCACTCCTGGCCCACGCTCATCCACTCTGCTGGGAGTGACCGAGAATCCTGTTTTAATAAAGACATTTCCCAGCATGTTGCAACCAGACATGTCAGAATGCACAGCATCCTGTTGGGGACCATGCATGCAGTCTGCAGGCTAGCGTCTTCTGTCTGTATTTGCTCCCCAGCAGAGAGTGAGCGCCCTGGGAGTGTGACCCTACCCCCCCACCCTCTGCACCTTCCTAACTCCCACCTCAGAGAAGTTAAGCTCTCTCAGTGATGGATTTGTTTTTACTTGAAAAGTCTGTGATCTGTTGTGAGGTTTTGGGGACCATCCAGATGGGTATGGGGTTCTGTCTCCACCTGCCCTGTAACCTTGCGGTCCTTAATGCTGTGCAGCTACCGTTCAGATGGCTGACATCAGTGGATTTCCAAGAAAAGCCAGAGATTCAGAGATGAACTAGTCAGGGAATCCAGCATGAACAAGTTACACAGAAAATAAACATAAAGACGCAAACTTGATTTACATTTCCATGTTCGATAAAATCCCTTTGCTAATAGAAGCTGCCTGTTGTCTCTGAACAGTTGCCCGGTGTGTGCCCTGCTGTGGGTGGAATCTGGCATTCACTGACAGCTTCCTGCCTAGAGGTGTCCCTCAGTTTCTGGATGAAAGCCTCCTTTTTAAAGGGGTCCCCCCAAAACTATGGTGACATGTGGTTATTCAGAGTGGGGAAATTCCATCTTGAGGTGATAGCTGGGGATGTCTCAGTGTCTCCCTATTAACTCTCATCATTCATCATTATCTGTTCCTGGGTTGGACAATGGATGATTACATGGAGCCACTTGCCTTAGGAGGTGCCCCTCCCTGCTATGAGGTGGAGTTGAAGTTGTAGTACCAGTTATTAGCACAGTTTTCTCTATATAAAAATACTTAGATTCATAACCAGTCTGTACACCTATTTCATTATGGCCATCACATTCAGAACATGACAAGCTGTGATACAAGATCTTACTCAATATACTTTGCATACTGTATTCTTGTTCTGTAAATCAGTGGCTCACTGCCATTCTCTCCGGGGGGTGTCTGGACCTCGATTGTCATGTCGGTTACTAGCCAGAAATGCTGAAGTCAGCGGTAAGGCACGCCATGGGCATGACTCTGAGCAATAGAATGTGAGTGCTGTGGATGCTCAAAGCTGAAGGAAGTTACGTAGATGCAGACTCTGGCTAAGTTTGGTGTTAGGATCCAGGCCCATGGATTTGCGATGCGTAAGTGTCCTCCAGAAACTCAGCTTTATTCAAAACACACATTTCTAGCCCTTACAGTTGTGAAGGAATCCTTTGAAATATAACCCAGCATAACCAGTGCAATGGTGTCTGCTGGTGTCAGCAAACATCCTGAAACAATGCCCCAGAGAGGTAGAATGGCCTCATTTATCTCAGTGGGGTGATAATTATGAACCACGACAATGTAAATGTCAGCACTGTTAGCGATTTCATGGTTGGTCCTGTTAGCAGAAACCTCCAGTTAATGTGTTTCTCCAAATGCTCCCATTCCTAGGGTGTGGGAGGCCCAGCTGCCACTTCCCCCCACAGCTTCTGCAATGAAATGACAATGTAGTGTCAATACAGAATTCTGTAGCACACAACACTGAATTTAGGGCAGCCCAGAAACAACTGAATTAAAATCATAAGGAAAGCTGAGCTGATTGAATTACTCATGCTCCTATTTACTTCACTAAAAATCTCAAATTTCTAAATTATTCTTGAAGCTGCCACAGAATCCAGGGGTGGGGGGTATGATGTTTGGGGAAGGAGGTGTTAATTGAGGGTAGTGTGGATATAACTCTGCCTACTGGTGAGTTCCTGGATGTGCAATGATAGTATTGATGGAAAACACCTTTGAGCAGCAGTCTTAACTCTAAATTAACATTGAGGAAGACAGTGTTTAGTGTTAGTCATTAATGCTCTGAGATCCTTGTGAAATGGAAAGTGCTATAGCAGAGCAAATTATAATGTATGGCTTGGCCAAAATAATGAGCAATGGTAGCAAATCTACCTGCCTGCAAACATGTGATGGAGGGTGTAACCAGGAAGAAGAGGGGAAGGATTTATTTAGGATGGGACAGAAGTTGGAACTGGATGACAGGAGAGGATCACCTGATAATTGCCCTGTTCTGTTCATTCCCTCTGAAGCACCTGGCATTGGCCACTGTTGGAAGACAGCATACTGAGCTAGATAGACCATTGGTCTGACCTGGTGTGGCCATTCTTATGTTCTAACCAGCCTGCCCTAGAGCCTGGGGTTGGGACTGGATGGCTCCCAATAGGGCTGTTTCTGCACTGATGTTTTGGTGGTGCTCTCCTGTACAGACGATTTATCTTACAAGTGACTTCACAACTCCTTTTTCTTCTCTAGGTAAGATACCCAGTGGCATAAAAACCAACATCAAATCTGCCTCAATGCATCCATACCAGAGATGAGCAGGGAGGAGCCTCGTCCTGGCTGACCACACAACACCAGCATTCTTCCTGCCAATTGCCACTCCAGGATTTCCTTCCATGCCTGTCAAATCCCCTCAAGCCTCCACTCATAATCCCCAGCAGGGAGATTTCTGGGTGGGCTCTCCCATCCTGTGAGCTCCAGGCTGTCTCCTTCCTCTGGTTTTATTCAATGCTGGAGGGTTTGTGCGGAGCTGCTGGTGGCCACATGCTTGGGGTAGGAGCTCCCCAGACAAGGGAAAGCCTGTCTCCCACCTGGTCTGGCCTGGAAGGGTCCATACGCTTCATTCATCCGAATGCAGAACCTGAACGGCTTCAGAGAAAACTCTTCTCCTGGCTTTTGTGTAAGGAGGTCCATGAAGGTTGCACTGCCTCCTCCCTTTCCCCTGCCTCCCATTATTGAATAAAGACCATGTACTATGCCAAGCATGACCACTGCTGTCTGTTTGTCAGGTCCAAGGGAGCCTCGCAGCCTGAGTCTCATTTCCCTTTGGGAATGGCTGTAGAACAGTTCTGCCTGTAAACATGGCATGGAGCTGGCCATTTATATGGCATCTTGTTCTCTATTGAATATTGATACGGAGGTTGAATCCAGGAGTTGCTGTTGGGTTTCACCTGGACACAGCACTCCCTGCCATGAGCAGAAGAATTTTTGTTTACTGTAAAACTCGCAATAGCTATTCCCCAGGCACCAGTGCTGGAATGAAAAAATCCATCCAAGGGGAAAATGAGCAACCCTGTACCACCCTTCGAGATTCCATGTTGTGAGGGTCATAGCAGAGGGAGCTGCAGGAACAGAAGCACAGATGCTCTGTTTCTTATCTACGCTCCTCTAATGCCTCTACTTGCCTTGATCCCGTCCCATCTCCTGATCTCCCTCGCACCCATTTTTGCTCTTCTCCGTAATTTCTCACTCTCCTCGTGCTCTTTCCTCTCACAATACAAACATGCTTTAGTCTTTCCTATATTAAAAAACCCTCGTTTGACCCCACTTGCCTCTCCAACTACTGCCCCATCTCCCTCCCATCTATAAAGTTCATTGAATGCACTGTCTAAAATAATAGATAATCGAGGCCAGCAGGGACCACTGTTGATCATCTCATCTGTCCTCCTGCCTAACACAAAGTGTAGAACTTGCTGTCTGGAGTTCCATCCCAGGCCCTCTCCAGTCTCGCTTCCACCCTTACACTCCACTGAAAGCACTCTTGCCATAGTCTCTAATAACCTGTTCTTCTTTTGGAAGTCCTGTCCTCCCTGGGCTTTGGTGATTTTGTCCCCTCCTGGTTCTCCTCCTACGTCTTTAGTCACACATTCAACATGTCCTTTTGAGGGAGATCTTCATCTGCACTCCCAATGTTATATGGTGGCTCCATAGGGCTCTGTCCTTGGTCCTCTTCTCTCTCTACACACCTGTACAGGGTGATCTCATCCACAAATACCAGTTCAACTACCAGCTGGATGCTGATGACTCTCAGATCTACCTTTTCTCTAGGCATGTCTCCTGTCCAGACTAAAATCTTGGCCTGTCTCTGACAGCTCCTCATGGATGTCTAGCCATCAGTTCAAGCTCAACATGGCTAAAACAGCTCCTGACCTTCCCCCCGTATCCTCCTCACTACCTGCTTACTTGATCACTGTGGACAACACCATCTGCCCGCCTGTCACTTGGGCCCATTACCTGGGCATCATCTTCGACTCAAACCTCTGTCTAAGTCCTTGCATCTGGGCTATGTTTTAATCTTGCCAAGTCTTTCTGCATAACATCTCTAAGATAAGGCCTTTTTCTGTCCACCCAGAGAGCTAAAACTGTCATCCACGTTCTCATAGTTTTCTTGATTATTGCCACATCCTTCTGTCTGGCCTTGACAAATGCCGTCTTTCCCTGCTTATATCCATTCTGATCGCTGCTCCAAAGATCATTTTCCTAGCCTGTTGCTTTGACCATGTCACCCTTCTCTTTGCATCTCTACACTGGCTCCCGCTTCTCTATCACATAAATATAAGCTGCTTGTCTTCACTTTCCAGGCCTTTCATGGCCTATCCCTACTTTGCCTATCTCATTCATTCTCGTAATGTCAACTCCCTGCTCTTATCAGCCGAGGACGTCAGCCTACATCTTCTACTTGTTAAATTTTCAAACAAGCATATTCATGCTTTCTCCTATGCTGTCCCTCAGGCTTAAGAGGAGCTCCCCGTAAACATCTGCAAAGCTACCTCATTATCTTCTGTGACAAAGTTCCTGCTCTACCTTGGTGGGTCTGGTGCTTATTGGTGGATTTGCTCGCCTTGGAGCTTCACGGCAGCCCTCAGCTTGGCTGTTTTTCTGAACCCACAGTCCAGGTCGACTCCTCCTGTGTCTGACCAGGAGTTGGGAGGATTTGGAGGGAACCCGGGTCCGCCCTCTACTCCGGGTTCCAGCCCAGGTTCCTGTGGAATGCAGCTGTCTAGAGTGCCTCCTGGAACAGCTGTGTGACAGCTACAACTCCCTGGCCTCCTTCCCCATGGCCTCCTCCCAACACCTTCTTTATCCTCACCATAGGACCTTCCTCCTGGTATCTGATAATGCTTGTACTCCTCAGTCCTCCAACAGTCCGCATTCTCACTCTCAGCTCCTACTGCCTCTTGCTCCCAGTTCCTCACACACACACCACAAACTGAAGTGAGCTCCTTTTTAAAACCCAGGTGCCCTGATTAGCCTGCCTTAATTGATTCTAGCAGCTTCTTGATTGGCTGCAGGTGTTCTAATCAGCCTGTCTGTCTTAATTGTCTCCAGAAGGTTCCTGATTGTTCTGGAACCTTCCCTGTTACCTTACCCAGAGAAAAGGGACCTACTTAGCCTGGGGCTAATATATCTGCCTTCTATTACTCTCCTATAGCCATCTAGCCCGACTCTGTCACACTTCCTTCAAATTCCTCCTTAAGACTTTCCTTTACCATGATGCCTACAAAAAAATTGACTAAGGTTAGGCTGTTGGTGTGCTGAGACCACTGTCCAGGGTACTGACTGGTGGTGTCCCATTGTTTGCTTGTACTCTTCCATCCAGTAACAGAGATTCTTCTTCAAGTGCTGGCCCTTCTGTATATTCCACTATGGGTACACGTTTTCCATGCACCCAGAGTTGGAGAATTTTGAAGGCAGTGTCTGCCAGCCTAAGATCAACACAGACTTTAGACTTTGTCAAGGTGTCCCTAAATTCAGTCATGGCAAGGGCTTACCTGCCAATGGACATGTTCCAAACAATGACTTTATAGATCAGGTCATGAACAACCCTTGAACATCAACCAAAATTTCTCTCTCTCGGCACATACGGCTTCATGCACTCACATCACATCGTTTGACAGACTCCATCTTCGTTGCCTACAGGCATGGCTTCAGACAGTGTACTCATCAAACAAACAGTCCATGAACACAAAAGTAACAGTTCCTACCACAGTAATCATCTCTACTATGGTGGAAGGATCCCCACCAAATATGCATAAGTGTTCCCTTTCTTTCCCCATCACCAGGCACAGTGATCATTACAGATGTCTCCCTCTTAGGCTGGGGAGCCCAGATGGACAGTCATACAGCACGGCACTTGGACATCCCAAGAGACTGGGATGTATATGAACATTCTGGAATTGTGGACAATCTGAGAGGCTTGCAAAGCCTTTCTCCTATTCATACAACGTCACCATGTCTTGGTAATGTCGAACAATATGACAACCATCTTTTACATCAACAAGCAGGGAGCAGTGAGATCCATCCCCGTGTGCAGAAGGATTCAATCCATGGAATTGGTGCATCAGCAGTCAGATCAGGCTTTTGGCAGCTTACCTTGCAGGGAATCAAAATGAGTTGATGGTCACACTCAGCCGACACTTTGCTATCAACCAGGAGTGGGAGCTACATGACTCCATGGTAAACAGTATTTTTGCTGGCACCTTAAAGACTAACAGATTTATTGGAGCATAAGCTTTCATGGGTAAAAACCCCACTTCTTCAGAAGTGGGTTTTTTACCCATAAAAGCTTATGCGCAAATAAATCTGTTAGTCTTTAAGGTGCCACCGGACTCCTTGTTGTTTTTGTGGATACAGACTAACCCAGCTACCCCCAGATACTTGACAGTATTTTTGCTCTATGGAGAACCCCCACCACGGACCTGTTCACCTCTCAAACAACCAGGAAGTGTAACATATAGTGCTCCAGAGGCGCCCTAGGGCTTCATTCGTAGGATGACACTCTCCTTCTGTGGTCAGATCATCTGAACTAGGCCTTCCCTCCCTTACTACTCCTATCTTAAAAAGAAAAGAAGTACTTGTGGCACCTTAGAGACTAACAAATTTATTTGAGCATGAGCTTTCGTGAGCTACAGCTCACTTCATCGGATGCAGCTTAGTCGCTAAGGTGCCACAAGTACTCCTTTTCTTTTTGCGAATACAGACTAACACGGCTGCTACTCTACTCCTATCTTGAGTCTTGCAGAAGATTCATTGGGACAAGACACGAGTCATCATCATCACCCCCAACTGGACCAGACAGTTTTGATTCCAGAGACTTGTACTCCTGTCATCTTACTCATCGATCAGTATTCAACCCTTTTCCAATAGCCTGACCCGGGGAAGGGCAGAATCAAGCATTCCAACCCCCAAGCACTCCATCTCAGGCATGGGTTTTTGGATGGGCATCAACTCTAAAACATTTCTGCTCTGAAGCCATGCAAAGCATCCTTACTAATAGTTGAAAAGATTCCACTCGGAAAGGCTACTTAGCCAAGTGGAAGTGTTTGTCTGGGCACAAAAAAAACTTATATCCCCAGAAGCTGCAGGTATTCTCCTTATTCTGAACTATCTTCTTTCCCTCAAAGTAGCTCGTCTTTCCATCAGCTCTTTATGAATCGACCTGGCACCAATCAGTGTGTACCACCCACCTTCATATGGGAACTCAATTTTTGCTCACCTGCTGACTGCCTGGTTCTGGAAGGGCCAAGTTAGAACTTTTCTGCCATTAAGGAACCCTGCTCCTCAGTGGCACCTACGCCTTGTTCTTTCGGTGCTCACAAAGCCACCCTTGGAACCACTGTCTACATGTTCCGTGTCTCGCCTATCTATGAAGGTTGCATTCCTGGTAGCCATAATCTCAGCCAGGAGGTGGGTGTAGAATAAGTACAAAATTAAAGAATTAAAGTTAGCTTGATAAGTTAAATGATAAGGCCAGAAGGAATAAAGTAGGGAGGACGTCTGGTTCAAAGAACTACTAGTGAGATAAAGGGAAGTTTCTAAACAGAAGGCCTCTGACCAATAGGAGAAGCTGTAGATGGTTTTAAATAAGACAAAGAGAATCTGTCTTTAAATAAGCCAACATGACCCTTCCCCAGCCCACACACCAATAACGCCTGTGTGAGCCCAGGTGCAATGGGGAACCTGTTGGACAGCAGGAAGGAGG